GTGTTGTTAGGTTTCCCACTGGGGTGTTGTCCAGTAAATATTGGCTGCCCATGGACATTGCAATTTTGTACCAGAGATAAAACAATTCTATCATTTTATTTGGTGGAGATAAAACAAATTATCATCTCTGAAATCTTGTTTGATTCAGAATCCTAATTTCCTTTACTATTGTTTTGTGGGATTTTTTTTGTTGTTACTCTTTTTTGGCCCTTTTCTTCTCTGTTCATCCAAATCTTTCTCTCTTTCCCCTCCCCTGCCACCACCTTCAAGTAAAAATTTGGAGCAATACTTTCCATGTAATATCTACATACTTGGTTTTCTCAACACCAAGAGAAAACTATAAGAGAAAAATTAGAATATGAATAATACACAAATATAGCATACTCTTTCTGATCTATATTACACCTAATTTGGTAGCCCAGTTGACTGAAGGATAAATTTTGTTTGATTTTTGAACTTGGAAATTATTACTCTTGTACTCTTCATTACCCCCTAATTGTGTTGCTTCAGGTTGTTTCTGAAATATTAGGATTCAGTGTTTTACTACTATCTCTGTCTTAGGACACTGAGGAAGAAAAAGAGAAAATGTGAATGTCAATAGAATATATTTTATTTGACTTATACTGAACTTCATTCTGCTGCCTTCATCCAGGACCAAGTTCTACCATTCTGTTTTTCTTGAGACAAGCTTTGCTCTCTTATTCCTTTGACATATTTTGTAATAGTAGTGTTACCTTTACGTGGGGCTTTGTAATTAAGAAAATATTTCCACATGGACTATTTCATTTGGCCTCTCTGGGACACTGGAAGAGGCAAGATGGATGGCCCCATTTTTGAAAGAGGAAACAGATGTTCACAAAAACCAAGGTCAGAATCCAGATCTTCGGATTCATGTCTACCCTTCCGACATCACTGTGGCACAAGGAGCCCCAGAAATAGATTTACTTTTCTTTCTCCCCTTTCTCTTCCTGGTAGATGAACATTAGAATCTTGGTTTTTGACCTTATTTTCTGATTAAGGACTTACTACTATATAGTTAGAAAAAGAGCTATTGCCCCATAGGCTGTTAGGTAAAAAGTTATAATATTTAGCTGATTAGTGACTAAATGAAATTATTATAATAGAAAAACTTGAAGAATAAGGTGGTTATTAATAGTGTAAAAGTTCAGTCACAAATAATGAAATAAACCCCAAATAAAAGTGGGTAGCTCAGCTGGTAAAGAATCCACAAGCAATGCAGGAGACCCTGGTTCAATTCCTGGGTCAGGAAGATCTATTAGAGAAGGGATAGGCTACCCACTCCAGTATTCTTGGGCTTCCCTGGTGGCTTAGCTGGTAGAAAATCTGCCTGCAGTGCAGGAGACCTGGGTTCAATCCCTGGATTGGGAAGATCCCCCGAGAAGGGAACAGCTTCCTACTCCGGGATTCTGGGCTGGAGAATTCCATGGACTATCCATGGGTTCGCAAAGAGTTGGACATGACTGAGTGACTTTCACTCACTCAACAGTGGCTTAAACCGGAAAGCGGTTTACATTCCCTGCCAAGTAAAATTCTGGAAGAATAGGCTGGTATGGTGACTTTGCCTTGCAAATGCCCCGAACACCCACACTCCTTTGGGCTCACTGCTCTGGTAGCCTGAAGTGTGGTTCTGTTTCTTAGTGCAAGGCAGCCTTCTCAGTCTGGGCAACAAAAGGGAAAGAAGCATAAAGATAAATCCATGAATAAAAAGGAAGTTCTTACTTTCATGAGGGAAGTAGACATGAACAATATAAATAAGCAAATGTATTATGTTAGGTGGTTATCACTGCTCAGGAAAAGGACCTGGGGATGAGAGCATCATAATTTTAATGAGATAGTTAGGTTGGCCACAGCATCAGGGTCACATTTGACGGAAAATTTGAAAGGGGTGAGGTAGAAAGAGGGATGTCTAGGGGGAAGAATGTTTATGCCAGAGGGAACCACAAATGGGAAGGTTGATTTTGGTTTGTTTGAAAAAAAAATAGCAAAGATGTTAGTGTGGCAGGAGAAGGGTGAGCAAAGGGAAGACAAACAGGAGATGAGAGAGGTAAGGGAGAAAACAGATTACATGGTAAAACACCTTACAGGCCATCACAAGGCCTTCAGCTTTCACACTAAGATGAGAAGCTGTTGGAGGTCTAGGGCAGAGAAAGGATGTGATATAAGAAAAATCCAATAGGGACCTTGGCTGCCATGCTGAGAAATGCCTAAAGGGGAGGCAAGAGGAGCAGCAGGGAGGTCCAGTAGGATGCTCCTGTGGTCCAGTAGGATGCTCCTGTAGTCCAGTGGAATTGGTGGTGGCTTGGACCAGTGTGGTACCAATGGAAACAATGAGAAGTATTTGGATTCTTGATATGTTTTGAAAAAAAGTGGCGTTTTACATTGCTGTACTAACGCATTACTACAAACAGTGGTTGAAAACAACACAATTGATTATCTCACAGTTTTCACTGGTCAGAGTCCAGGCATGGCTTATCCTGGTTCTCTGCTTCAGGTTGTCATCACCCTGAAATCAAGGTGTCCATGGGTGTCCCTTCTTATTCGGAGGCTTGAGTCAGGAAGAACCTTCTCCCAAGCTCATTTAGGTTGTTGGCAGAGGTCATTGCCTTGTGACAGCAGAACTCCTAGGGGCAAGGTTCTTTAAGTTCATCAGGAGAGCCTCTAGCCCACTGGCTAAGAGAGTCTTAGTCATGAGAATGACATCCCATCACCTTTGTTTTATTTGGTTGGTTGGACATATCATTAGTTCTGTTGTCACTTAAAGGGAGGGAACTTCTGTGTACTAGGAGACTGGAATTTATTGGAGGTCACCCTAAGGTTCTGTCCACCACAATGAACAAATAGTTTTGTTTGTTTGTTTACTTCAATGTGTGAAGCAAAGAAGAGAACAAATGAAAACCTGGAGTTGCATTTACTGAGATAAAGAAGACCTAGGGAGGGGAGATCAAGAGCTCAATTTTGGCTACAGCAACAAAACCAAAAAACCGAGCTGCCTGTTACACACCCACAGGTTGCTGTGTCCTTCTCCAGGGGATCTTCTTGACCCAGAGATCAAACCTGTTTCTCTTAGGTCTCCTGCATTGGCAGGCAGATTCTTCACCACTAGTGTCCCCTGGGGTGTGTTCACGTGCACCCACAGGGAGATATCAAATAGTTGCATGTATGATTTAGAATTAAGGGAGAAGGTGAGAGATATAAATGTAGGACTCACTAGCCACATTTAAAATAAGTGGTATTTAAAGCCAAGGAATGAGGTTGCTAGGGAGTTGAGAGTAGACAGAAAACAGTTCTAGACCTGGAGGTCCCCGACATGAAAGAGCCAGAGAGTCTGTGGAGAAGCAGGAGAGAAGGGAGATGAGTGTCTGACAGTGTAGAGTCCTTGTAGTATCCATTATAGGTTGATTTAATTCATTTCAATCTCAGAAAGCCAAGCTTTTTTCTTTGATCTCTCAGTTTGGGGAGACACCTTTCCACCCTGCTCACTCTTTGCCTCTGAATGCCCTTAGATGTCAGAGGTTAATGGAAACAAGTTGTGAAAGTTCAACAAACAGTTTGCATTCTTGCCCAAACAAGCCAACCTAATTCAACCTGAGAGTGTGCAACATGGTCAGTGGGAGGGTAGTACTGTTTTATTTTGGGACCGACCGAATAGAAAACAGGTTGCTCTGTGAAGCATGTAACCCCTGGTGTCAGGTGACACAGATCAGGCACTACCTCAAAAGCAAAGGCTTCAAACAGTGACAAGAGAATGAGCCTTCCGTTAACGTCCTAGAAGTGGATGAGACAGGCCTTTCTGTCTACACCTTCCGGCATTTATTTTCGTGTACTGAAATCATTAAATGTATTAAAGTGTAAGACCTTTCCATGGGCATAATGAACTATGCTTTGTTCACCTAATCATATATTGGAGTTAAAGATATGTTTCGATACCATTTACTTTGGGTTAAAATCATTTCTGTTCTCACAGGACACAGAAAAAAAAAATCATGAAATTCTAAGTGGTTAAAATAGAAAAAAGGACTCCACTTGGGCAAATTCAGTACTTTCTATGTAATTAGCATTGTAGATGATGTATAAATGCATGTACATCTGCCATGTCATTAGCTGTGTATGTTGAAGCTATGTTACTCAATTCCTAGTGCTTGTTACACCTAAAACAAAACCCCAAATGTTCACTTAGGAAAAAATATCTTTTCGCCCCACTCAAGCATTTCTTAGGTGTCTTCATTGCCTGGCAAAGTGTGCACAGGTGACAAATTATTAAGGCTTTTAAAAAAATGTTGGTAGCACTGATTCAGAATTAATCATGTTTTCAAACAGTGGGCAAATAATTCTATCAGCTCTCTTGCACAAATTTGGTTACAGTCCTCATTTATCAAGTGAGGAAACAGAAGCAGAGTTCGACAACTTTCTTTGAAGGCAGGGGGAGCAAACGCTGCCCTTGGCAGTGAGGCGGGCTGGCTCTGTAAGACCACACAGCTAACATCCTGGTGGGGACCCGTGGAGTCCGGAAGCAGGACTTACCGCAGGGGAATGAAACGACTGCCTTGCTTTTCACATGGGCCTGGAGGTCAAGTTAGTTTATTTGTTTTTAATTTAGCTGAAATTATAGGCTGGCTGAAAGATTCCTTTGACGGTGGGGGTCTTTTGAATGAGTCACATAAACTTTTGGTTTCTCTCTCACTTTCCTCCAACCCCTTGTCCCATTTGCAGGATTAAAAAAGCACTTGGGAGGTATACATTAATCTTGCTGGCGTTGTCAGGAGTGATCAGCGAGTTTTATTAAAAGCTCTGGGACTGCCTGAAAGACCTCCTTGTCTGAGTTTGAAATGAAAGGGACATGTTAAGATCTTGGGGCACGTTATCAGGACCCTTCTCCCTGCCCCTTGGACTATGAGCTGACAGCCCTGGAGGAAGCCAAGAAGCCCTCCTTTGTTGAAGGGATTTCCCTGATGAACGGAAAAGACTTGGCCCCTGTCGGCATGAGCTCTCTGAGCTGGGCTGGGCTAGGTGCCCTGCTCCTGCTGCTGCTGCTCCCGGGCTGGGCCAGCCCCACCTTTGTCCGTGTTAACCAAGGGGTCAGGGTGATGAAGGGCAGTTCTGCCTTCCTGTCTCAAGATGACCTGAAGTTCACCATCCCCAAAGAGAAAGATGCCTGCAAAGTGGAAGTTGTGATGAATGAGCCAATAACCCAGAGGGTTGGGAAACTCACTCCACAGGTAGGTCATATCTGAGATTTGCTATTTAGTAGTGTGTATGAATCTGAGTGTGTGAGAATGTTAGGGAGGGAGGGGGGAGAGGAGAGAGAGAGAAAGATAAAAGGTCTTCCTTCAAGCTGCCAGAGCTGAGTGATGTTAAGAAGTTCAGATTTGAAATGGTGAAGCTGCAACTGGTGGCCATAATAATGTGTTGTTTTTTCTATACAAGGTGAAACCTGTTAAATTTTTTTTTGAGGTATAATTGACATACAACATTAGTTTCAGGTGTTCCAGGTAATGATTTGATATTGGTCAAAACTATTTTTGAATGTTCTTGGCTGACTGTGAATTACAAAACCAACAGGAGTTACTCCTGCTTATGTTAATACCTGTGGTGGAAGGCTGGTTCAAACTAATGGATGGATGGATTTTTAAATGAAAAATACATAAATTGACAAGTCTTTCCAATTTATCCTCTTTATTGAAGAGAATGCATATAAGGCTTACTAACATCAGGGAATCAAATACCACTCATTTAGGTACATCAGCACTCTCTGAGAAACTTAGTGGGGAAACAGAGAGAGGAAAATGGGGACAGAGAGAGACAAAATGAAAACAGGGCCAGCCTTCCAAGGGTTGGAGTGGGCAGTCTCCTGTGTAGTGTGATATGGTCAGTCTTTATGGGACTATTACTGTCCCAGATTATCTCACCCTGACCAGTCAAGGTGCCTTTGGATAAGATGTCAGGGTTCCAGGACAATTTTAGGACATGCTTGTACCACAGAATAGCAAAAATAAAATGTGAAGACATTTTCATCTATTACCATCACTCAAACAGTCCCTTGAGTAATGGAAGAGATCTGGAAAAGAGATATGAAGATACTTTAAATAGTCACTGTTCTTCAAAAATGTCCACATACATTTTTTTCCTTTTAATCATGGCCTTGGAGACCTTGTCATTTAAGGGTATTCTGTGCTCAGTCCTTTTGTAGGGTAAAGAGTTATCCTCTAATTCACTGGGTTTATGAAAGACTGAATTATCAAATATTTGTTTAAAGTAAAAGTTTTTCTCTATACACAGTAGAATATTACTTCTGGTATTATTACTTCTTACTCTGGTTTAACTTTCCTCTCAATGCAAACAGTTTTGATAATATTCAACACTGGATGTGACTACTTCTGGCAAAATACATCATTGCTATTTGTTGAACTGTGAGCATCAATGTTCTTTCTGTCTATTTAGCTAAAAATAAAAAATCCATCAGCTTATTCAAAAGTGATAATAGATGTTGTAAAGAAGAACTAAAGAGAGAGAGATAGAGGACTTCCTTGGCAGCCCAGTGGTTAAGACTGTGCTTCCAGTGCAAAGAGTGTGGGTTTGACTGATGAAAGAAATCAAAGATAACACAAATAGATGGAGAAATATACCATGTTCGTGGTCAGAAGAATCAATATAGTGAGAATGGGTATACTACCCAAAGCAATCTATAGATTCAATGCAATCCCTATCAGGCTACCAACAGTATTTTTCAGAGAACCAGACAAATAATTTCATAATTTGTATGGAAATACAAAAAAACCTCGAATAGCCAAAGAAATCTTGAGAAAGGAGAATGGAACTGGAAGAATCAACCTGCCTCACTTCAAAGTATACTACAAAGCTACATTCATCAAGACAGTATGGTACTGGCACAAAGACAGAAATATAGATCAATGGAACAGAATAGAAAGCTCAGAGATAAATCCACGTACCTATGGACACCTTATCTTTGACAAAGGAGGCAAGGATATACAATGGAAAAAAGACAACCTCTTTAACAAGTGGTGCTGGGAAAACTGGTCAACCACTTTCTAAAACTAGAACACTTTCTAACACCATACACAAAAATAAACTCAAAATGGATTAAAGATATAAATGTAAGACCAGAAACTATAAAACTCCTGGAGGAAAACATAGGCAAAACACTCTCTGACATAAATCACAGTAGGATTCTCTTTGACCCACCTCCCAGAGTAATGGAAATAAAAGCAAAAATAAACAAATAGAACCTAATTAAATTTAAAAGCTTTTGCACAATGAAGGAAACTATAAGCAAGGTGAAAAGACAGCCTTCAGAGTGGGGGAAAATAATGACAAACAAAGCAACAAAGAATTAATCTCAAATATATACAAGCAACTCCTGCAGCTCAATTCCAGAAAAATAAATGACCCAATCAAAAAATGGCCAAAGAGCTAAACAGACATTTCTCTCCATCAGAAGACATACTGATGGATAATAAACACATGAAAAGATGCTCAACATCATTCATTATCAGAGAAATGCAAATCAAAACCACAATGAGGTACCATCTCATGCTGGTCAGAATGGCTGCCATCCAGAAGGCTACAAACAATAAATGCTGGAGAGGGTGTGGAGAAAAGGGAACCCTCTTACACTGTTGGTGGGGATGCAAACTAGTACAGCCACTATGGAGAACAGCGTGGAGATTCCTTAAAAACCGGAAATAGAACTGCCATACAACCCAGCAATCCCACTGCTGGGCATACACAACAAGGAAACCAGAATTGAAAGAGACATGTGTATCCCAATGTTCATCACAGCGCTGTTTACAATAGCCAGGACATGAAAGCAACCTAGATGTCCATCAGCAAACAGATGGATAAGAAAGCTGTGGTACATATACAGAATGGAATATTACTCAGCCATTAAAAAGAATGCATTTGAATCGGTTCTAATGATGTGGATGAAACTGGAGCCTATTATACAGAGTGAAGTAAGTCAGAAAGAAAAACACCAATACAATATATTAACACATATATATGGAATTTAGAAAGAAGGTAACGATAACCCTATATGCGAGACAGCAAAAGAGACACAGATGTAAAGAACAGTCTTTTGGACTCTTTGGGAGAAGGCAAGGGTGGGATGATTTGTGAGAATAGCATTGAAACATGTATATTATCATATGTGAAATAGATCACCAGTCCAGGTTTGATGCATGAGGCAGGGTGCTCAGGGCTGGTGCACTGGGATGACCCTGAGGGATGGGATGGGGAGGGAAGTGGAAGGCGGGGTTCAGGATGGGGAACACATGTACACCCATGGCTGATTCATGTCAATGTATGGCAAAAACCACTACAATATTGTAAAGTAATTAGCCTCAAATTAAAATAAATAAATAAAGAAAGAAATATGAGTTTGATTTCCAGTCAGTGAGCTAAGATCCCACATCCCACATGCCTCATGCCCAAAAAACTAAAACATAAAAAGCAGAAGCAATATTGCAACAAATTCAATAAAGACTTTAAAAATGGTCCACATCCCCCCCAAAAAAAACCTTGAAAAAAGAGACTGATAGCTCAAATTGACATCTCTAGGTATTCCGCTTACCTCCCTATGGTTATATCTGATTATGAAACACATCAGAATTCTATGGAGGGCTCTCGTGTTGGGAGTATTGCTTATGATATTGTCACTAAATGTCTCCTTCCAGTTTCCCATGAGCTTTTTCTTTTATCAGTCAGTGATCTTCAGATGGGCATCTAAACAGTGTTAGTTTGTGCTAATGGCCCCAGGTCACACTTGTATTCCCAAGTGTGTAGTAATTGCAATATCTCCCCACTTTCTTCCAACATGTAACTTCTGCTGGAAGGTGTGTTTGATTGATGTCTGTAAGTTAGGGGAAAGGTAGAGGCCTGGGATGGCTCACGCCTCAAGCCCTGATGCACTGAAAGTGATAGTAGCATCAGTGGAGCCCTCACTACAGGCACTGGGGTCAAAAGTAAAACCTTGGGGTTTTAGGGAGCAGCAAAATAGAACCCTAATCCTACATGACTGGGGTCCCTGATAGAGCAGGGACTCAGGGCTGTATGGAAAAAAGTGGATGCCTTATAAAGACTGAATTTGATAATGCTTCCAATCAATATATAAAAAAAAATTGTTCAACATTTATTTAGAAGTGAAGTTGACTATTTTGTGAGAGAAGAAGAGAGGGAAAATTCCCCATGTAGTGCAGAGATATTAAACTCTGGCCTCAAGCATGCAAAAACAACACCCTATTATTCCCCAGATTCTCCCTCCTTGGAAAGCATTCTGGGGAGAATCTACTGTGACTTAAACCTCTGGGGATATCCTGTCCCTCTCTCCATTACAAAAAGCCTATGACTTCTAAACACATATAGCACTTTCTATGAGAATAATGAAAATGTCATCATTTTTAGTGATACTTTAATGGTCCTCATCACTTGGCCAGTTCTGAGGCCCAGGAGAGCAAAAAGGGATCCCTGTGACGAGATGTAAGCAGAACACTTATTTGGTCACAAGAATCAAGGATTGTAGGAGATCTCTAAGTCACCTCCTTTTCAAACTTTCTCCGATCTTAGGGCAAAAATCCATTATTAGAAAGATGATGTGGAACAAAAACAATGTACCTGTCTGGTTTAGGAAAGTCAGCATTGCAAGGCAAAGGAACATGGCTCCAAACATCCACAGAGGATCCCCTAGTGTGCTGTGGCTCATTAAAGGATCATGCTTCAGTGTATGCATACCCAGAGGTACCTCTGACATCTCAAATGAATTTTTCTTATCTCAGAATCCACCTGCCAATGTAGGATTCAAGACTCAAGAGATGTATGTTTGATCCTTGGATCAGGAAGATTCCCTGGAGTAGGAAATGGCAACCCACTCCAGTATTCTTAACTTGGAAAATTCCATGGACAGAGGAGCCTAGTGGGCTACAGTCCATGGGGTCACAAAGACTCAGACACGATTAAACATGCACACATGAAGTAAATATATTTATCTTCTTAAAATGTGGAATTTCATTACCTTCTGGAAAAATATTAGAGCTTTGTACTACCAAGAAAACTATATCCGGAAAAACTTTGTTTTTCAGATCACCAGGTGATCTTCCTATTTTCTTATTGTGATAATTTCAACAAAACCAAGATTCCTATGTGAAAAGTGCTTTTTTGAGGAATATGTGCCTGTTTTTAATACAGGCAGATGCAGTTCTCCCTAGGGATTTATGTCTTATGGAGTTTTTGAAATTAAGCATAACCATGTGCATGCATGCATGCAAGTGCACGCACACACAAACACACAATGTAAGCATTACTCTTCAATAGAGCTTACTAGGAAGGTGAAAGCAAGCTTATGTGAGCCCATTCCTAGTGAGATGACTGTATTAACAACACCCTGCTGTGTAATGAACAGTTTCATGTGATTTGCACAGAAAATGTTTTGTTTAACATCTGTTCAATTAGTGTTTTCATTTCATTACTGAAGTTTGTCTTAGGACCAACAGGTTCATTTTCCTATTGGATATTTGGAAACGGATGCGCTTGGCGCACACCAGTACCTTCTGTCTAGAGAACCCTCTTGACATAGTCAATTAGAGAAGGTCGATGGCGATATGTTTTCCTCATGTTTTAGGACAAGACTTACCCCCACACAGCATTGCTCACACCTGTCCCAAAGCAAGAAATTTCCTGGGTGGAAAAGCACCACGGTTTAGAGCTGAGCTTGCTCTTTTGAATAGGAAATATAGCGGTAAGAAAATATCTCTCGTTTGAACCAGTTTACTGTCATTAAAGTGAGTAATGAGTTAGGAATGTGTGACAATTTAATTATAAATTGTAATTGAAAAGCAGTTGGAGTGGAAAAAAACAAAGCTAGACAGTAATTAGAAAAGGATTTAGCTCTCCTTTGTTTTGCTTAGTAAATTTATGGACAATTATGGTTGTCCCCTTTTATAAAAGGAAAACATATTACGAAACATAAAACAGATGTTTCTTTTAACAAAGCAGATTGTCTCTTTATTACCATGACTATTTGTCAATGATATGGGGAAGGTCTTTCCTTTATCTCCTTCCTTGTTGTCAATTAAAAAGAGGAAGCGAAGATGTGTGTAGAACAGGAATACAAATAAATGATCTCCTCTTCTACAGACGTCTTTGCTCCCTCTTTCTGACAGTAAGGAAGGAGATAAAGAAGAGACCTTCTGACTAGAGTAGAGTCAGAAAGGATTATGTTTTCTGTAAATGTGTGAGGCTGTACTTAGGTACAGGCTAAGAAGCATGAATTCAGCAGTGATGACATCTAAATACCTCGAGAGTATTTCTTAGTACTCTACCAGGTCAGATTGCACAGAATGGTGTGACTGGAAGAGAAAATTCTTTTAAAATATATGACCCCAGAATATAACAATTAGAAATTTCCTTAATAGTTCTGAGTTAGGTGGTACAGTTAATTATAATTCTGCTTGAAGAGAGAAAATTGCCTTGATGTTGCTGTTTGTCTCATAAGTCAATTCTGTTATTACATAACTATTAAACACAGTCTTTTGCAAATAAATGAGAAACTACTGTGGGTCTTGTTTGCTTTTGATCAAACACAATAGTGTCCATAGTAAGCAGCTTCATCTTTAAATATAAAAACATTATTTGGTAAGGAAAGCAATAAAAGGAGAAGAAAAAATACACACAGAGCTAATATAGCATGTTGGTATGTGGGGTAAGACATGTCTTTTCCTGGGTACATACAGGTATGCGTCCTTAATTGCTGTAAACCCCTGAAAGATGTTGGCGAATTATGTTTTGAAAAATGGGACCATATTTTAAATATACTATAAAAAGATAATTATTTAGAGATCATCACTGCTTAATTTATCTGCTTCATCTGCTTGGACTTTCATAATTTAGATATTCTCAAAACAGGCAACAGCTATATAAGCAGGATGGTCATGGACATGGCGGAGAAGGCAGTGGCAACCCACTCCAGTGTTCTTGCCTGGAGAACCCCAGGGACGGGGGAGCCTGGTGGGCTGCCGTCTATGGGGTTGTACAGAGTCGGACACGACTGAAGTGACTTAGCAGCAGCAGCATGGACATGGGCTGGGTAAAGGTGTTGGTGCTTAAAACGCACATATACAGGGAATTCTCGGGTGGTCTAGTGGTTAGGACGCCACTTCCACTGCTAGGGGTAGAGGTTCTATCCCTGTTCAGGGAATTAAGATCCTATACAACTAAACATACATACACATACATAATGCTAAGAGAACATAATTTCTCTAGGCCATACTTTACTGCTGGAAAAACTAAAAAGTGTACCAATGATTTTCACATATGTATCCCTTTCTTCTCATGAACTAGGTCTTTGACTGCCATTTCCTTCCCAATGAAGTAAAATATACTCATAACGGTTGCCCAATTCTCGATGAAGACAGAGTGAAGCTTAGACTTTACAGGTAAGTGGCAAAGGAGCGTTCTTCATTCTTTGTCAGATAACCATTCTGTGTGATTCTGTTTCTTTGGTTAAGTATTGCTATGGTGGGAGTTACTAGATTTCAAACAAGTAAGTAAGTAGTAGTAGGAACTGGAGACCGAATGGATGAGGCAAGAATTGTAGCAACCTTTCAGTTACTTTTATTTATATCCTCTTCCTTGGGGCTTTTCTATGGCTTGGGGCTTTTTCTATGTTTCCGTTTATAGTTCTTGTACAGGTATCTCTGGTCATTCAATTCTCCATTTATGATTAAAAATGGAGGTTACAAACTACACATTTTTAATGAGAATTAGGAAGAAAATACATTCTTAAAGTGAATGAAATTCTTCATTTTGATTGTCAACTGCTTAGTTTTAAGAAGGGCAATATCTTCTATTTTTAAACATATTATATTTTAAAAAGGTTTAAAATGATAAATTATGCAGTTGGACAAAGTGGCATTATGACCCAGCAGTTCTACTCCTAGAAACACATATGTACAAGAGAAATTAAAACGTATGTTCACACAAAAATTTACACAAATGTTTACTGCAGCATTTTTTGTACATGTCAAAAAGTTGAAATAATCAGTCTGATGAATGAGTAAACAAGATGTGGTATATTTATACAATGGAATATTATTCAGCCACAAAAGGGATGAAGTACTGTTACATGCTGTAACACAGCTGAGCCTTGAAAATATTATGCTAAATGAAAGAAGTCAGACATAAAAGGTTACACATTAATTTCATTTATATGATATGTCCAGAAAAGGCAAATTCAGAAAGGCAGAAAGTAGATTGCAGTTGCCAGCTTTTGGGGGTGAAGGGGGAGTGACTGCTCATGGGTGTAGATTTTTATGGGGGGAGGTGATAAAAGTGTTCTGGAATTAGAGAGCAGGATGGTTGCACAGCCTTCTGAAAATACTAGAAACACTGAGTTGTAAACTTTAAAAAGGTATATTTTAGGATTATGTGAATTATATCTAAATAAAAAGTTAATTTAAGAATTAAGCTCATGGTTATGTTATTGCTTACTTTATAGAAGCAACTGAAATCAGTGTAGGTGGAGTAGGCCTTATATAGTTTTTTACTTGGTTTTTGTCACTTTAAAGAGTATTTGACTAAAATACAGCAGCATGAGTTTCCCTTAAGTACCAGAGGAATACTAGTCTAGAATTTTGTAGCAGACAGTGAATTATCCTGATCACCTATTATAGGTCAGGCTTGTGCTAGGTAGGCTTAGGAAACAAAAGCAAGAGGATAAATGGACTGGTTTTCATGGCCTGATGCAAAAGATGGCTAGATAATTGTGATGCAGAATGACAAGCCAGAAGAGAGGCATGAAGCAAATGCCATGCTCAGAAAATGAGATGGCACCCAAGGATTCCTTGGGAACTAGGCAATCAGCATACAGGGCTGTTTGATCTTCCTAAGACTTTAAAGGTAACTAACTGGCTTCAGAGAGCTTGCTGATGAATTCTGGCTGTTCCCATTTCTTTGAGTTTCTAAATGATGAGGCGGGTGGAGCAACACACTTAAAGTGCAGAGTTAGAGCACCTGTCAGTCTTCTTGGTCTTGAGGATTTAAAGTCGAACATTCAGAGGAGGTGGAGGCAGAAAAGCAGACAGCATGTTTTTTACACTCTTACCTCATCTCTAGCCCTTTTGGTAAGCTACTTGATCTTTCTAAGTCTCAGTTTCCTCATCTGTAAAATGGAGTCAACAACACTGCCATAGATTCCTGTGAAGACTGAATGATAAACTCTTTGTAAGGGGTCTAGCATGTGCCTGGGCCATTATGAAAGCACACCAATGGAGAGTCTATTATTGATACACGACCATCACTTTAATTTTCTCCCTTCAATAAAGAATGACAGCCCATCAGTTTGCTGTATGACTCAGGGAACTCCAAGCAGGACTCTGTAACAACCTAGAGGGGTAAGACGGGGATGAAGGTGGGAGGGACGTTCCAGAGGGAAGGGACCTAGGTATGCCTATGGCTGATTCGTGTTGATGTTTGGCAGAAACTAACACAGTACTGTAAAGCAGTTATCCTTCAATTAAAAATAAATACATTTAATTAAAAAAAGAATGACAATCCATCCCTATTAGGTTCTGCAAATATCCAGAGAATGTAGTTCCTAAGTGAATGAAGGGATTGGAGGTTACAGTCACTGATCACCCTTTACATGCCACCCACTGAGCTGAGCTTCCCCAGCTAGACAGCAAATAACTACTCTTGTAGTGGCATTTGTGAAAAGCGAAAAGGGCATGATGCTTCAGAAACCCCTCACCCCTTCACTCCTGAATTAAAAGTCAGTGCATATACTAGATATGCAGGATACTCCTAAATTGCACACATGCTCGAGATGAGACTCTGAGCTCAGAGCAGTCATTAAATACCCATATTGATGATAGATTTGAGAGAAGGTGTTAAAAGGAGGGTCATTGGAAAGGGAAGTATCATGAAAAGGAGATGACACCAATTTAAGGAGAAGGGAAAAGGACGGGGAGGTGGGGTGTAGAGTATAAAGTAAAATCCAAGCTCTACCTGATACACGGATTGTGTGAAAGATAATCTTTAAGCTTCAAGTCAACTTAGTGCACAAGTATCAGAAGAACATGTGCACCAATAATGTTGCCTTTGCTCTGTTCTGCCCTCAGGTTTACTGAGACAGACACCTTCACGGAAACCTTTATCCTGCGGGTCTACCTCCTGGAACCAGACTGTAACATCATCCGCATGAGTGATAATGCACTGGAGGTGTCTGAGTTCTATGGCCTGTCCCGAGTCATTGATAAGAACCTGCTCAGATTTGATTACGAGAGGATGGCCAGCCTGGAATGCACAGTCAGACTGGACCCTGTGGGAACTCAGCTGCCAGCCCACGGCCAGCTGGTTCTGGTGGAGCCCCAGCTGGAAGAACCTCGTGGAGATCAGCCACATAATTTCTTTCCTGAGTCTCGTATGATATGTTTTAATACTTATTTGGATGTTACTAAATCTGCCAGATCTTAAATGGTCATCTTCCACCATGACAAAGAGTTTTACTTAATAGAATTTGTAGCTGGTTGAAAATGTAGGTTAGTGGCTAAGAGTGCAGACTTTGGTAACAGAAAAACTTGGGCTTGAAAACTGTCTCTGCTATTTATTTCCTGTGTGATGTTGGGTCAGTTTCTTAACCTAAGTCTCTGAAAAAAGGGCAAGGATGGTGGCTGTTCCATAGGGTTGTATAAAGGTGACAGTGAATGAGATCACACACACACAAAGCAATTAACACAGTGTCTGGCTCCTACCAAGTGCTCAGTAACTGTCAGCTGTTATTATTAATAGTAAGTAGCAATAACAGTGATAGCCAGAGTAGCTGGGGAATTTATTAGGTGTTATTAGACTTGAAGCAGGTTTGGGGTAAAGCTGGTAGGCAGGAGATATGGTTTAAATCAGGAAGAGCTGATGGATAATGTTCCTCTTGTTATTCATTTAGTTACCACATTTTGGGCACCTCATATATGCATAATAGTGTTCTAGGCACTGTGGAAAGACCAAGAAATATAAGGGAAAATCATGGTCGTAGTCATACCTGGAATTTGGACAGTAAGTTATAGCTAAAGACATGTTTGCACATTTGTCATCTCATTTAGTCTTTGGAGCCTTCTGGGTAAGAATAGATACACAGTTTTTACATCAGGGAAGTGTGCAAAAGGCCACTAACATAAGTGGCCTGTGTGTATCATAGACTGTGCAAGAGTGGAAAATACAGTTGGCAGAGACAAAAAGGCTATGTACTGGAGAGATGACTGCAGTTTTTAGTGGAGGAGATTAGGTTGGTTCAGGTGGTCAATGAATATTTGAAGAAAGCTTTAGTAAAAAGACTAAGTGGACCTGGAAAATATGCAGAATTCAGATGTGTTTAAGTGGGGAGTGAATTTCATTGAATAGAATATTCTAGCAGAGATTGCATGGTGGTGTTATAGAAGTGGATGCTGTATATACAGACAAGAGCAGGATTGTGGAAGGCCTCCAGTGAGCCTATTTGTCAGAGACGGTCCACCACCAGAAAATGCATTTTATGTTTTTTCTCTCAAGCACTTTTGGTGGGTAAGGACCTTGTTAGAGAATCAGTTGATTGTTTTTACAGTAAAGAAATGGCAGGTTTTCAGAATAATGACCACCCACTCAGTGAATGATTGGCGGGTACACATGAGTGTTCTTTGGTCAGTGAGAGGGAATAAGTGTCTGTGGGAGGGAGGGTAGGTTTTTAAAGTTAATCACTAAGGTACAAGTGCCTCTCTTAATTCCCTGCTATACATTCTAGAATTGGGAACAGAGCTGAAGTGTCCAGGGGGCAGGTGTACCCTGGGACTGAAGAAAGTTGGAAGTCTCAAAGTGAGCTGTGAGGAGTTCCTGCTGATGGGGCTTCGATACCAGCACCTGACTTCCCCTTCTCCCAATATTGATTACATCTCCATTCAGCTGGACCTCACAGATAGCAGGAGTAAAATCATATACAAGGTAGAGTCTATGGGCTTGTGTGTCTGGGTCTCCAGCTAAGAGCTGGTTCCCTGGGGGCACTTGTGCTGGCTCCCGTGTCAGTGAGGGTTCCAGTATGGTTGTGGGTGGACCAGCCTAATGACTCACTGTAACTGCAGGCTTGTTCTGCCAGTAAGTGCTTAAAACAGGATTGATTTTGCACATAATATCCATGTGTAATTTCCCTTTTCTGGCAATCTTGTAGCTCTACCATTGCAACTTAGAAAGGACCAGAATCAGGTTACATGCTAACCTTTCTCTCCCTTGCCCTTCAATATTCTTCAACTTCTCATTTTTGCTTTTATAACTCCTACTCTTTGATGCTTCATTTACCCCTTTATTAGACCCTCTGTTGGAGAAAATCAAAGGGTCCACACACCAATTCAGCAAGGCCATAGGAAACTGGGAGAGAGGGGGTCCTCATCTCACTGTTAGGGCTATAGCAGGGCCATCTCCATCTGCCAGTCTCTTTTAAATTCTCCTTCCCTTTCTTCCTCTTGATTTCTTCTTATTGAAATATGACAGAAAGTGAAGTCAATCTAAATGAAAGATTGGCATGCTTCTCTACTAACTCATGTACTCTGTAATGTGTTTATTTGGTAAGCTGGAGTGACTATGAGCCTGCTGAAACAGTTCAGATTTTATGCTGATTTAAGATGATCTGAGATGACATTTGTGAAAGACCTCCATCTTTCAGTCTCACTTCTTGGTACGATTTCTCCTAAGAGACCCAGTTGAATGTTGAATAGGAGTTAATAAAACAAAGAATGATAAAGAAATGATTAAACAGGGTTGTAGTATTTTATAATTGAGAACTGGAAAAATTGTGAGGTGGTCTGGTCAAATTGATCAGGTAAATCACTTGGGGAACTTTGAAAGAAGAGATTTAAGTCTGACATTAATAGTTAGCCTGCCCTTGGGCCTGGGTTGCCTGGGTTCAAATGTTTACTTAACTAGCTGTGTGATTTTGTACTTTATGCCTCATTTCTAAGATCTCGCAGTGGACATAGTAGTACTTCTTATTGAGACGATTTAATGACGTGATGCTTACAAAACTTGGCACAAAGCTGAACACATAGTAAGCTCTACACATATTTTTTGCAGTGAAAAAACTGATGTTTTTGGAAACAATTGGTTTAGCCCAAGCCCCTTATTTTATACTGGGGCCACAAAAACTGCATATCTTGACCGTACATGCATGGCTGAATCAAGACTAAATTCTCAGTCTCCTAACGATTAGTACACGCTTTCTGTTTGTTTTGACATGAAACATCTTTGACTTTTAATGCTTTCTTATCTCCATAGAAAACAAAATTTAGAACCATTTTTCTTCCTAATTGATTTTTCTTCTTTTTCCTTGTATATTGATATAGGGTTTTCTTTGTTGATATTTTCAGATTAGTTTTATTAGAAGTTTCCTCTCTCAAATGACCTTCCTGTATTATTTAGAATTAACTTTTACCATAGTCAGTTTGGCATGTCATAAACAGATTCTTTTATGATTATAGTAATATGCTCAATGGCAGAGGTTATTTAAAAAAAAAAAAGCACAGAAAGAAAAAATAAGAAAATGGAACTAGGGTATTTCTAATATTTATATGTATATAAATGTATGTGTATATATACACATAATTACACACAGACACACAGAGGTGGAGACACGCATGCCAGAGTCAGTTTATGGAACTGAATTTATATTATATTTGAAGTTTTGAATTTTGTTATTTTATCATTTTTATGCTGGTATAATTCATTCTCATCAAGAGACTAACTGATTATTCACCCATAATTTCTTATAGATTTAAAAATATTTTCTTGTTTATGTTTACCTTTTTAATCTGCCTGAAATAAATTTTATCTTATTGTAAAATAGCAGAACAGTTTTTCCAAGTAGTCAAAATTTTCAACACTATTTGGTGAATAATAAACCTGTTTGCCATTGATTTTTTGATTGTTCTGTTGTATAGAAAGACATTATATGTCTGTTTCAAGGCTAGTTCTCTTATTCTTTTTTTTTTTTTTTAGTTCTCTTATTCTTTAGATTTGCCCACTTATTCTTGTGCCAGTACCTTACTATTCCAAAATAAAAGGTCTAAAATGGACTTTAATATTTTATAGGCAAGTTTCTCCTCATGGCCCTCTTTAAAATTTTCTTATCTATTCTTAATTCTAGACAAATAATTAATATTTATGTTAGTTTTTTTAAGCCCCTAATTATTTTTTATCAGGATTGGATTAAAATTATAAATTATTTTGAGAAAAATTGGAATATTGGAGCATTTACCATATTGAGTCATCTTTTCCAGGCAAAGGTTATCTCACTTCATTGAGGCAAATGATCTTTGATATGTTTCTCTTAAGTTTGCAGTTTTCTTCATGTCACTTGCACACATTTACTAAGTCCAATCCTAGGCAGTTTGTTTTCGTGAAATTATTCTGACTAGTCTTCTTTTCCTCTACTATTTCTTCTTGTTGGTTAGTGATGATAAACAGGAAAGCTATTTCTTGGTCTAATTTTCTTTTGTCTGGCTTCTTTCTTGAATTCAATTATTCTAAAATTTTTCAATTCTATAGGCTTTTAAAGACTGTACTAATTACATCTTCCATTGATGATAATAATTTTTCCTTTCTTTTTCAGTAATTATTCCTCTTTTTTCTGCTGTATTCCCCACTAGTTTGGCTAGAATAATATTAAATGCAGTGATGCTTATCAGAATCATTGTCTTGTACATTTTATCACTATTAACTGCACACGATGTTCTTTTTAATTCTTCTTGCCTTGAATTCATCTCTCTTTGAAATTCTTACAGTCACATCTGCAGGCTTTTTTGGGTCATCCTTTTACGTTTAACCTTTGTATATAATTTTAAATGCCTCTCCTATAAAGCAGATATAATTGGATATTTAATTTCAGAATATTAGTTTTAAACAAGAGAATATGGAAAATATTTCTATAATAATGGATATCTATTTTTTTTCTATCATCTTGTTTTATGCTTTCTTGCTAATTAATAAAATCATCTTGCACTCTAGGTTATATTTTATTTGCCTTTGTCTTTACTTATTTAATATCCCATTTTAAAATTTAGTTCTAAATTGAAAAAATTCTTTAACCTTTATTTTTAACATATTAAGTAAAAAATACAGTGAAGTCTTTTGCTTCCTTCATATATGTTATGAGATCTGATCCTATTTATCCTTTATCACTGCAATTACCCACCACCAGGCTTGGTTAACATAATCTGCAACTTTAATTCTAGCATATCATCTTTATACCTTATGGTACTTATTTCATCTTTTATTTCAGGTATACTCTTTTGACATTTGTATCCATTTTGTTAGTGTTTCAAGTAATATTTTCAGGCTTAACCTCTAGGTTTAATATTTCTTATTGTTCAGCACCAATCCTTTTATACTATGATTTCCTCATTCTTGTTTAAATTATAAATCTTCAAATGCTTTTCAATGGCACATTAGGACTACATAGTCTAAACTCTCAGTGTTATCACTTTTTTGTTTTTATAAACCACAGTGTGGGAGGGAGAAGAGTTGTCACCTTCTGTTTCTCTTGCTTTTCTCTCTTTCTCTGAGCCCTGCTAGCTAGTTTCTGAAATTCCAGGCTGAGGAGTGGGTGATTTTGGAGGAATGTTGGAGAGACAGGTCTTATTTGACCAGGCATCAATGGAATATGGCTTTGTGCTCTCTGCGTTTGGTGGATGTTTCAAGCTGCTTCTTAATCTCAGGGCAGTTTCATTGTTCTCCTGGAGATTCCCCTCTGCAAAGGCCTCTCATCTTTTCTAGTCAATTGCAGTTCCTCCCAGTGCTTCTAGGATATGACCTCCACCTCCAGCTTCTTTCTGCGGAGATTTTTGGCTTCTCACAGAGGCACCTAAAAGTCAGGGACCCAGATGACCCTAGACCAGCCCTCTGTCCCACTTGCTCCGTATCTGAGAGCACTCACATATTCCTTCCTGCTGCAAACAAGGCCTAGGGACTGATCCCAGCACAGATACCATGTTTCTTCTGCCTCTGGCCACTTAGCCTCCTCAGGGATGAGCCCAGCATCAATCCTCTGTGTGCTCCACTGGTAAAAGACACATTTAAGGCTGGTGTGATAGAAGCTGACACCTGGGACAAGGGATGCAGCATTCCCCCCTCCCCTCTTCACAGAGGGCATACAGTGTGAGGTGTCAAGGCGGTGACTCAGCCCAACACAGATCAACTTCTGTCGGTAAAGAAATCTCTTCCTCTTACTTCTCTCAACCCTTTTATATTCTTAGAGTGGGTGAGAAGGTTCTAGAGTCTGGAACTGGTTACAGACAATTTGTTTTGTAAATTCTGCCTACAGTACCTGTCTTACATTGTCTTTGAAATGCTCTCTCTTGGACCTTCAGTTGAGACTAAGTCAAGAACTTCCTTTTAAACATTCCATTATATAAGTATCCAGTGTTCAGCAGTACTGCACTCATGTGGCTCTGATCATTAATCCTGGTCTCCCAATAATGGGGGACATCAAATTCTGTCATCACAGACCAGTTATCTTCTGCTGAGGATCCTTTCTACCCATAGCTCTTGTTGGGGCCTCAGATCCCAAGATGCAAGTTCATGATTTCCCTGGAGATCCCCACAATGAGAACCTCTTCCTCATAGCTCTCTTACTTGGGGAAGGTATATTTCTAGCCTGAAGAGTTACTTGCAATTTTGAAGACCTACCCCTCACTTAGAGACCCAGGGTCCTAACTAATACACGACTGAGCAAACGTCCTTCAGTTTCATGAGCAGCTATTTTAAGGACAGGTTCCTTCATCATGCCGTTGTCACCTTTGAAACCTACAAGAGGTGGATGGGGTGGGAAGGGGAGGTTGGTTGTGTGTGCCAGACACTGCTAGTGCTTTGTTTTTTCTTAAGAGTAAAAAAAAAAATTTATTTATTTGGCTCTGCCTGATCTTAGTTGTGGCATGCAAGCTCTTAGTTGTGGCATGTGGGATCTAGTTCCTCAGCCAGGGATTGAACCTTGGCCTTTTGCATTGAGAGTGCAGTGTCTTAGCCACTGAACTGCTAGACAAGTTCTTGTGCTTTACTTTGGCTATCTCTTGTAATCCTCACTCAGTACTTAGGACCTCTAGGACGTCCATGTTATAGGTGGGGGAAATCAAGATTTAGAAGTTAAGTAACTTGTCCAAAGTCATATAAACCATATGTGCTGGACATGGAATCAAAAGAACAGTTCCATCTAATGACAAAATTGGTGCTCCACCTCAACCCTGCCTAAATATTGGAGTCACCAGAGGACTTTAAGAATATCAAGTTGTTTTTTTTAATCTCCTCCTTAGGAAAGTTAAATTAGAACATCTGGAAATGGAATTTGGGCATCAGTATGTGATTAAAATCTCTCTAAATGATTCAGATCACTGCTGGATGCACCCACTAGGCTGTGGCTTTGTGTTAAATATCGTGCGATTTACCCTGCTATTATATCAATAGCTTCATTTATAGTTTTCCCCTTTATCTTTTCTTTCTCCTTCCAAAGTCAGAGCGCGCGTGGCTGCCTGTCTATATCAGACCTGGAATTCCTAATCAGATTCCAAGAGCTGCATTCATGGCCATGTTTATTCTGGAAGTGGATCAGTTCATCCTGACCTCATTGACTACATCGGTTCTGGACTGTGAAGAAGATGAGACCCCCAAACCCTTGCTGGTATTCAACATTACTAAAGCCCCGCTCCAGGGCTATGTGACTCACCTGTGGGATCACACCAGACCAGTGTCCTCCTTCACCTGGAAGGATCTAAGAGATATGCAGATTGCCTATCAGCCTCCAAACAGCAGCCATTCTGAGAGGAGACTTTATGAGGTGAGAGGGAAGAGGGACAGAGCTGCCAGACTCTTTGGTAATCAGAGAGTCATTGAAAGAGCCACTTCTCTTTAACCTGCAGGTTACCTTGTATGGTCATTGCCTCAGAGGAGAATCAGTCGCTGCAAATCAGGTTGCAAACCAGGCAGGTGATGCAAATGAACAAACCCATCTGGAGGGAGATTGGGGGGAAGTGAGGAAGGAGCTGGCAATTTAGGGAGCACACGTAACTCAGCTCCAGCTGACTGCTGCATGTGAGAATATGGATGTACCCAGTGTTGCTGTAGCTTTCCTTTTTCAAGAAAAGTGGAAAGCTCTACTTTTTTTTGGTAAAAATATTTCAAGTTTCATAACACAAGTGAATGTTTATGCACAACTGAAACAGGCTTACAGACCTAGAAAACAAACCTGTAGTTACTAAAGGGGATAGGGGAGGGGGAGGGACAAAGTAGGGGTATGGGATTAATCGATAAAAACTACTATGTTTAAAGTAGATAAGCAACAAAGATATACTGGATAGCATAGGGAATTGTAGCCCTTTTCTTGTAACAATTTTTAATGAAGTATCACCTGCAAAAATACTGAATCACCATGCTATACCTGAAACTAATATAACATTGTTAATCAACTATACGTCAGTTAAAAAGTTTCAACATTTAAACATAGAAGACATTGTAAATTTAAAACATAAAATAACAGCTGCAAAACATTTCTGAGGCCACATTTGGCCCCAGGTTCACCAGGTTGAGACTCTGGTGCCTCCAACAGCCTTCTTGCATTACATAGACCATTGAAGTTAGAGATGGTCTAACTTCTATTTGTTTATAATTCTTTCATTAATAAATTATTTTATATTATTTTCCATCAAGGTTTTCTACTGCATTCCTTAATTTTAAGTGATAATGCTTACTTAGGGTAGGAGATTCCATATTCTCATTAAAATGACTCATTTCACTATCACTTTCCATCAGGAAAGTCCTCTTTCTATCTAATCTAAATCGTTTCTGCTATTTCTGCCTCTTTCCTCTTGTTTTGTATTCAATGAGAGTAGAGAACAGCTGGTTACAGACTTGTGCATAATAACCCTTTACTAACTTGTAGACCTACCAGCAAGTTGATTGAAAAATGATGGAAAATTTAAATAAGCAGGTTAACACAGACTTGAGTTCAGATCTATTAAGGAAAATATGTGTCCCTGGGGTTACCAAATTGCCCTCTGTCTAGTTTAGGCATTTTTAGCCTCTAGTCTCAAGGGCAGACTATAAATGCCATGCTTTGCCCTTTACTTGTATTTTCTTCACTTCATAATAGTAAATGGCAACTGGTTTTTTCTTTCCTGTCTTCACTTCTCATTTCTTCTATAGCATGAGGTAATTTCTCTTTAGATGTCCGGTTTTATCTCACGTTCACAAATAAAGCATTGCGACTCTGTCTGCTTTGTATGTGTTATGTCTGGCATTGTACAATGCAATACTAAAGCAGAACCTGTCCAAATGTGTGCTTTTTTGGTTTGTTTTGTTAGAAGGTGACTTTCAACTTTCTCAGTGGAGATTTTGCACTGTTCAGTTATTTTGGCCGGAAGCCACCTGGGGTGGGATTCCTGAGAGCAGAGCAGTGGCCAGTGCACTTTAAGCTAGCTGATCCTTCGCTCAGCTGTTATACCTGGTAGTCTGTTCTTGTAGGCATGAAAATCCAACTTCACTCTAGTAGGTACTACATTTATCTTAGAGGAAATTTCCTTAGTGATAGGGCTCAACCTAATATATATCTATATTAGACCTCCAAAATGATATCCCCCATATCAGTATAGTTTCATTTTCAATGTGTTTATTTGTCACTCTGGAATCTCTTTCTTTTTTTATGTAGTATTTGCTGATACGGTATTATCTGATTGTTTCTTTTATCCTCTCAATGGACCACACATCCTTCAAAAGTAGGTAGCCTGCCTTCCTTTACAGTGTTATACCTCATCCTTCTTTGTCAGCACCTGATGTAATACACACATAGCATGTAATAAAGCTCAAAATGTATAAGCCTGTTTATTAGCTATGGAATTCAAGGGAGCAAATAAAATATGGATATTTAATAATATATCTAGTGGGATAGCTGCCTGTAGATCAGGATGTCTGCAACATTGTTGGCATTTTGAATTGGCTAATTCTTTGCTGTAAGGACTGACCTGGTCATGGTGGGATGTTATTAATAGTAGCCTCCCTGCCTTCTATCCATTAGATGCCTGTAGCACCTCCATGGGCATACCTATTTGTGAGACCGAAAATGTTTTCAGATATTCCCAAATGTCCCCTGGGGGGTGAAATCACAGTCAAGAACCACTGCTCTAGATCCTATATCTTTGCGAGAAGCTGAAGTGGTCTGATGCTGGACTGATGTAGTCTCCTGAACAAATGCAGGGACACATTGCTAGCACACTTGCTTATTTCAGGTTAAGAACTTCATTCATAGAGAAGAAAATTTGGAAACACTGATAAATTAAGGAAAAGACATAGAGCTGGAAAAAGTGAGATTACGTTGTCAAAAATGAGGTCAGGCAACAGCAGAAACCTGAATTAGTTTTGCCTCCATCTGCTGTATATATCCCAGAGTTAATGGTATTTTATATTATAAATTGTCAATATGTAGTTCATATTCAACTGTTTGTTTACAGGTGGAGTTAGAGGTCCATGACTTCTTCTTTGAGAAGAGTGCACCTATTACAGTCCATATATCCATCAGACCAGCAGATACAAATGCCCCGCGAGTGTCCTGGAACACAGGTGAAGTGCAATATAGGAGTCAAACAAAATAGGGAAGGCAAGACAAGAAAGTCCATTGGTCAGTGAAAAAAGGTAGCTTTATTCCCATTTTACACACAAGCAACTGAAACCAGACAGGCTCTGGGTATCTAGTTGGTTTTTTGGTTTTGTTTTTCCTACTGTCAGGATGAGAAATTTAAATTGAGTATTCGCGTGTCCTGAAACTAAGTTCTTTCCTCTACAGGAAGTAAGCCAAAAGGTCTCTTTCAGCTGATTGAGGCAAAAAAGTGACTGTTTGTGATACTGAGCATAGTTGGACTGAGAGAGAAAAGGTCTCCAACTTGAACTTGTTCAAAGGAATCAAAGAAAGACACAGACTATAATCCATTATCTTATTTTTAAGTTGGGTTGCATGGACATGAAAATACATAATTAAGAGTTTAAACTGCTTTGTCTTCTTATTTTTAATATATAACTGACTTACAATCTTACATTAGTTATATGTATACAATATAGTGATTCAATATTTTTATATATTATACTCCATTTAAAGTTATAAAATATTGGCTATATCCTCAGTATTGTACAATATATCCTTGTGGCTTACTTATTTTATACTTAGTAGTTTGTACCTCTTCATTCCTTCTCCCTATATTGCACCTCCCCCCTTCCTTTTTCCCACTGGTAACCACTAGTTTTCTGTGTCTGTGAGCCTGTTTCTGTTTTCTCATATTCATTTGTTTTATTTTTCAGACTCCACACATAAGTAATAAAATAGAGTGTTTGTCTCTCTCTGATTTATTTCACTAAGCCCAATATGCTTTATGTGCATCCACATTGCTGCAAATGGCAAAATTTCATTCTTTATTATGGCTGAGTAATAGTCCGTCATATATATAAGCCATAAATCTTCTTTATCCTTCCATCTGTTAATGGACACTTGGATTGTTTTCATATGGTGGCTATGGTAAATAATACTGCTATGAACATTGGAGTGCATGTATCTTTTCAAATTAATGTTTTTGTTTTATTCTGGTATACTCAGCAGTGTAATTGCTGGGTCATATGGCAGTTTTATTTCTATTTTTTTGAGAAACCTCTCTACTATTTTCCACAGTGGCTATACCAATTTTGTTTTTGTTGTTCATTTGCTCAGTTGTGTCTGTCTCTTTGTGACCCCATGGACTGCAGTACGCCAGGCTTCTCTGTCCTTCACTATCTCCTGGAGTTTGCTCAAACTCGTGTCCATTGATTTCATGCTGTCATCCAACCATTTCATCCTCTGTCGCCCTCTTCTTCTGTCCTTAATCTTTCCCAGCATTAGGGTCAGTGTATCAGGTTCCCTTTTCTCTATATCCTTGCCAACATTTGTTATTTGTGTTTTTTTGATGACAGTCATTCTGAGAGGTGTGAAGTAATATCTCACTGTGCTCTTTCTTGATTTGCATTTTTCTGATGGCTAGCGATGTTGAGCATCTTTTCATGTGCCTGTTTGCCATCTATGTATCTTCTTTGAGAAAATGTCTATTCAAATCTTTTGACCATTTTAAAATTGGATTATTATTATTTGCTGTTGAATTGTGTGAGTTGTTTATATGCTTGTATATTCACTAAGCTGTCTTTTCATTTTATTTATGGTGTCTTTTACTGTGCAAGTTTCCTTTACTATATATTTACCTTTACTAGTGGATTTTTCTTTTCCTATAGATTCTTACTTCTTGTTGGAGCCCATTTGTTTCTTTTCCACTTAAAGAAGAGCCTTTAACATTTATTTAAGAATTGGTGTAATGTTGACATGCTCTTTCAGTTTTTGCTTATAAGTTCTTTATCTCTCCTTTATAATCTTGCTGGATAGAATATCCTAGGTTGTAGGTTTTTCCCATTTAGCAGTTTAAATATATCATGCCATTCCCTTTTGACCTGCAAAGTTTCTGCAGAAAAATCCACTAATAGCCTTGGGGGAGGAGGGTTCCCTTGTATGTGATTCTTTATTTTTCTCCTGCTGCCTTTAGAATTCTCTCTTTAACTTTTGCCATTTTAATTATGATATGTTTTGGTGTGGTTCTCTTTGCTTTCATCTTGTTTTGGACCCTCTATGCTTCCTGTACCCAGAAATCTGTTTATTTTTTCAGGTTCAGGAAGTTTTCGGCCGTAATTTCATCAAATATCCTTTGACCTCTTTTGTTCTGTCTTCTCTTTCTAGGATCTCTGTAATGTAAATGTTATTATGCTTGATGTTGTTCCAGAGGTCCCTTAAACTGTTTTCAGTTTTTAAAATTTGTTTCTCTTTTTGTTGTTCTGACTGGATATTTTCCATTATTCTATCTTCCAGAGCACTATATGCCCTCTATGTCACTTAGTCTGTTAATTATTCCTAGTGTTTTGTTCATTTCAGTTATTGTATACTTCAGTTTTGATTTTTTCAGATTCTCTAGTTCATCTATTCTTTTCCCTCAGTTAGCATTCTTATTACTAATCTTTAAATTCTTTGTCTGGTAATTCATTCATCTCTGTTTTACTGCATGGTTTTACAAGTTTCTTTTTTTTTAAAATTTCTTTCATTTGAAATAAAATTCTCCATCTTCCTGCTTTGGTTAACTTTTTCTGTCTCTATAAAACGAAGTAAAAGTTACCCATCGTGGTCTTAAATATATGTCCTTGTGTGGGATCATCCCTGTACAGTCTGAGCATGTTCCCCGTGGATTTCATGGGAGTGCTAGATCTGACATGAACACAACTCATGTCTTTCCTCAGAGTATAGTGGCCTCTATCGACTTGGTAGGTGTTGGGGCAGGAGACGGAGGAGCTAGAGCCAGAGCCAGGTGTGAGCCAGGGCTTCTCTGCTCAGTTGCCAACACCACCACCCTACTGGGGCAGGGCCATGCCCCAAGGTACTGGAGCAATAGCCGTGAGGGTTGGGCCCAAGCCAGCTCCATCCCCCACAACTGGGCGCTCTCCTCAGCTGTGGCAGCCTCATTCTAGTGGGGAACTGTGCCTCTGAGCAAGTGGGGCTGGGAAGGGCACTCAGCATGGGCCAGGGCCTGCATTGAGGCAGTTGTGAGAAGCCAGCCAGTGTCCTGAGCAATTTCAGTCTGCTTTCTCTATCTTGCATTGGGAGTAAACAAGAATGTGTGGGTGCTTCATGAGTAGAGTCTAGATCTCTTACAGCTCTGTTGTTATTCATACTGGTTTTCAAACCACTCAATGGTCTTTCCACCGTTTGACCCCAGGGCTGGTGCACCCAGTGTGTGGTTCAAGCCACTCACTCCGCAGGGGTATCTTCATCCTTGTAACGCCCTCCTGTCCTGTGGCCCCTCCTAGGGGAGCAGGCCCCTACGTGATTGCTACTATTCCCTTCCTGCACAACTTTGTTTTAGCCTTGGTTGCATAAGGGTTTTTCTGTCAGTCTTCAGTCCCTTTCCAGTGAGAATTGCTCCATGTATAGATGTATCTTTGATGTGTTCATAAGGTGGGAAGGAGAGGAGAGGTAAATTCTGCATCCTCCTACTCTGCCATGTCAATTTCCTCTTGCTTTACTTCTTTTAAAAGAAGGCTTTGTACTGTTTCTCATTTCTGAGAAGACTTACAATGCAGTGTATATATTTAAATCAGATGTAAATGTGAAATGTAAGTGAAGATTTTTTCCTTTCCTACCATTACCATCAATGGCATTCAAAATATACTTATAAGCAGTGTTGGTAGGTTCATTTAACACAGAAAATATCTCTGTCTGCTTCTCTCTGGCAGCGTATATGGATTATCTTTTGTGTGCATGTGTATATGTGTGTGCTTGCACATAGGTAACACACCATGTGTGTGCTTATATATATGTGAGTTTCAGTAGGGACAAGCAATGTCAGTTGGGCATCCTTGATTTACAATCTGGTTTTTTGTCTTGCTCTACCTCTATTTGAGGGATAATGAGAGAAAAGAAGGAATTGGTGATCTAAAGTTTGATGCTTTAGAATTGTGGTGTTGGAGAAGACTCTTGAGAGTCCCTTAGACTGCAAGGAGATCAAACCAGTCAATCCTAAAGGAAATCAACCCTGACTATTCATTGGAAGGACTGATGTTGAAACTCCAATACTTTGGCCACCTGATGCGAAGAACTGGAAAAGACCCTAATGGGGGGAAATATTGAGGGCAGGAGGGGAAGGGGGTAACGGAGGATAAGATGGTTGGATGATGTCACCGACTCAATACTCAATAAATATGAGTTTGAGCAGACTCCAGGAGATAATGAAGGACAAGGAAACTTGGTGTGCTATAGTTCATGGGTTGCAAAGAGCTGGACATGACTTAGCAACTGAATAACAGCAAAGTTTAGTATACAGCATAGAGACTTAATGGTCTGCATGTATAAGTGTGATCTGTGAAACCTAGGCTTGTTAAGAGGTCCGGATCTGGTTTTCACTACTTTGGACATCAGAATTCTTTTTAAAATAAAATTTTATTTATTATGAACTGAATACAAGATCATTGAAAACTTGGAAAGCACATAAATAGAGTTAATAATAATGAATAACTGAATGAAATAATAATAGTTGAATAAAATTATTTACTACTCTACCACAAAACATAATCACCATTAATATCTTGCTACAGAAATTTCTAGTCTTCTTGCTTGCTCCTCTGTGCATCCCATGATGCCTTGTTCTGAGCTGTACTGTGCACTCTTGACTTCAAAATCCTTATTACCAGCCACAGAGAGTCTTTACATGTGCTTGTGCCCCCTTCATCCCTCCTTCCCTGCCTTCTTTCCTTCTACTCTCTTCTCCCTCACTTCTCTCTTTCCTTTCCCTCTCTCTCTCTTTTTGTTTCTTTCAGTATTCCTTTATGTCTTAACTCAGGTTCCCTAGCAAAGAGCCCCCGAGGCAGACTAACCCTGTACTGAAATCTGGAGTAAGGGGAAGGGAAGTTGGGAGTTTGGAGGGTAGCAAATAGAAGGGTGGTTTGACTGAGCTGGTCGTAGCTTTATAAGAAAATAAAGCTTATTGCTCAATAGTGCTGATGTCTGCAGGAGGAGATGGAAACATCCTGTGTGGGAAGAGTCAGGGGTGCGGCTGGGAAGGGGTGAGCAACCACATGTAGGCATCTTCCATCTCTTCTCACCTCAGTCAGTTCGCCTCACTGGGGTTAACTTCCCACATGCACGGGGTTGTGTCACTTGGCTTTTCTTAGCAGTCACTGTACAAATTCCATGAGTCCCATGGTGTGAGACCTGCCCATGGTCACAGGGAAGGTCATGCCAAAACTTGGTCTGGTGGGCAGTTGAGGGCAGCGACATCATAAGATGAAGCAATGATGGCGGCCGGGGCTTTACTGTGTGGGGATTGTGGGAAATTTGTTGGAACTGCCAGGCTAGAAAGCAGGCAGTTGGTCAACATCGGGGGCAGGGGAAGCCAGGCAGATTTGAGGGGAAGCATTAATGCATTCACTGTGTCTACCAGTACACCGTCTTTAAATTTCATCCACTCGTTTCTTTTTTTTTTTTAATTGGAGGAAAATTACTTTCCAAGGTTGTGGTGGTTTCTGCAGTACAACAATGTGAATCAGCCTTAAGTATATATATAGTATATATATAATATATGGTATATATAGTTTAGTGTATATATATATATATATATATATATATATATACCCTCCCTCTTAATCTCTCCCATCCCAACCCCCACATCCCACCGCCCTAGGTTATGACAGAGCACCAGGCTGAGCTCCTTGTGTTACACAGAAACTTCCCACTAGCTATTTATTTTACACATAGTAATGTAAATGCTTCAGTGCACTCTCAATTCATCCCACCCTCTCCGTCCCCTGCTATGTCCACAAGTTCATTCTCTATGTCTGTGTCTCTATTCCTGCCCTGCAAATTGGTTCATCAGTACCATTTTTTAATAGGTTTGTATATGTGTGTTAGTATATGATATTTGTTTTTCTCTTTCTGACTTACTTCACTCTGTATAACAGGCTCTAGGTTCATCTACCTCAGTTCAACTGACTCAAATTCGTTCCTTTTTATGGCTAATATTCCATTGAATATATGTACCACAACTTCTTTATCCATTTACTGGTTGATGGACATTTTGGTTGCTTCCATGTCCCAGCTATTGTAAATAGTGCTGCAGTGAACATTAAGAAAAATGGTTATAGCCACTATGGAGAATAGAATGGAGATTCCTTAAAAAACTAGGAATAAAACTACCATATGACCCAGCAATCCCACTACTGGGCTTACACCATGAGAAATCCATAATTCATAAAGACACTTGTTTCTTTGAAAGGCTTTGCCCCTTTTCAAGATTCTCCTCAGTCTGTTGACCCAGCAGCTCTACTGGGTAATGGGAATGGTTGATGATACTACAGTTCCCTGTCTCTAACCACAGTATTCAGTCTGGATTCTGTCTTCTTGGCTCTGAGCAGCACTTCCCTTTCTCCCCAGATTCCCTTCAGCATGCTGAGTCCAAGGATAAGCTTTTATTGTTAAATTCCTTTAGTTACAAAAGCCCCTTCCTTATTAGCGTCTAGACTAAAACACAACCCTCATTACAAAGTGTCAGACTCTTCCTGTCTAACACCATTAAACACTCCCCTAGCACAGTAGCTCTGTACTTGTACATTTAATGAATATTTAACCACTTTAATACTCTATCCTGTGCGCTACTTATGCCTTAGAATTTATGTGTGAAAGCGCTTCTGACTCTTGCCCACTTAAAATATGTGAACACAGCCTTTGAAATATTCCTTGTGTACATTTTTGGACTAGAGACCCCTGTGAACATAACATCTGTTATTTCTTTCTAGTGTTTATTTTTGGCACCATTGTGCCTCTAAAGGATAGATCATAAGGAACCAGTTATCAGGTTAGAGTTAATAGTACTAAAAGTAAAAAAGTTACTTAAAAGCTATATTACAGTTTCTTGAGAAGTTTTTGAAGATACAATTTTTATCTAGTTTTGTGAGTGAAAATTTATTACTCTTGTCTGAAAGTAGTCATTTGGCATGCTGTAGAACTTTCCAGGACATTTTGTTTGTTTGTTTGTTTTCTCTTGTAGGTCTGAACCTCCTGGAGGGACAGTCTAGGGCCATCACATGGGAACAGTTTCAGATTGTGGACAATGATGATATTCATGCTGTCCAGGTAGTCACCGTGGACGGCCTGCAGCGCGGACGGCTTACTCTGAGAGGTGAAGGAACAAACTTTGTCACTTAGAATCAAACCCAACAATTATTTTCTCCAAAAGCAAATCATATTTAACAGGGTATATGTGGTATTTCTTGGGCTCCATTTCTCAGTGAATTGTCATATTCCCTAGATCCAGAGATCTTGAAACCATTGACTTTTGTAGTAGATGCTCAAATTAATGGATGAGCATTTATGAATGATATTTTATATTTGAGCCATAATTTAAATCTCAGATTTGCTTCTTGAACCCATGTAGGGCTCCTTCTAAATTTACTCCTTAACTGATTATTTTAACCTGGTTTAAAGGCAAAATATTTCCTTTTCATTTCTCTGGTTCAGAGAAATGTGATGAAAAACAGAAAAACATTTTGTTAATACTTTAGTAAAAATTATGCTCACGTTATTAGTAGCAGCTACCATAGTTTAAAAGAAATGGGTTTATAATTATAAGGGTGGTAGTTAACAAAGTACTGGCTCTAATAAAAATCCATAGTTAATAATAATATAGTCTATTCCTTGTAATGAGCTCAGAGGAATTAATTCCATTATCACCTTAGTTTACCTATTTGTAAAGCAGAAAGAGAACTCTTGCTTATCATTATGTGTGATTAGGAATTCTGAAAAAAGTAAAAATAAAAATGACAAATTCTCTTGCCTAATCCTAGGACAATGGGAACTTAGCTCAAGGCTGGTTGTATAAATTCAGATGAGTATTCAGTTGCATGTAAGAAAAATCCAACTACAGCAACTTAAACTTTCAAGAGTTACTTTCTCCTTGTGACAAATTACATAGAGGTGGATATTCTGTATTTATGATGCCAGCAGCTCTTTTCTGTCCTGTCAGTGGTCACAGAATGGTACGTACACATCTAGGCTTCTAATGAGCATTAGGGGAAGGAAGAAAGAAAAGGAACAATAAAAAAAAAAGCTATGCTATCTAAGTTTGCTCTGTTTAACAACTTTTCCCAGGAGCCTGAGGAAATGAAGTCTAATTACATGTCTTACCTAGTTACATACTATCCCCTAGGTGCAACAGAGTCTGGGAACCTGAGTATTTTTAAATGGTTATATCGCCATTCTAAATAAGACTAGGATTCTGGTACTGAGAAGGAGGAGAAAGTGGCGGATGGGCAAGTAACCCACAGTGTTCACTATACTCATGTTTAATCTATAAAACCATCTGGAGTGAGAAAAGCTATGGGCCATCTGCAGAAAGAATTGAAATATTAGTAGTTTGTGCAGAGTGAAGCAATGTTTATCAATACTATAGAAATGAAGTGGAGAGTCATACCCCATAATGATATTCTAGCTCAGAGGAGGAAGAAAATAGTAAAAACATTTATTAAACATTTACTTTGTGCCCAATTGTGCAAAGCATTCTACATATTTTATCTCACATCAACTTTATGAAGCAAGGTACTATTATTCTTACTTTGCAAATGAGAACCTGAGACTAAGAGAAATTGACTTGTCGAACAAAGCTAGTGGATGTGATGGAATTCCAGTTGAGCTATTTCAAATCCTGAAAGATGATGCTGTGAAAGTGCTGCACTCAATATGCCAGCAAATTGGGAAAACTCAGCAGTGGCCACAGGATTGGAAAAGGTCAGTTTTCATTCCAATCCCTAAGAAAGGCAATCCCAAAGAATGCTCAAACTACCACACAATTGCACTCATTTCACACTCTAGTAAAGTAATGCTCAAAATTCTCCAAGCCAGGCTTCAGCAATATGTGAACCGAGAACTTCCAGATGTTCAAGCTGGTTTTAGAAAAGGCAGAGGAACCAGAGATCAAATTGCCAATATCCACTGGATCTTCGAAAAAACAAGAGAGTTCCAGAAAAAACACCTGTTTTTGCTTTATTGACTATGCCAAAGCCTTCGACTGTGTGGATCATAATAAACTGTGGAAAATTCTGAAAGAGATGGGAATACCAGACTACCTGACCTGCCTCTTGAGAAACCTGTATGCAGGTCAGGAAGCAACAGTTAGAACTGGACATTGAACAACAGACTGGTTCCAAATAGGAAAAGGAGTGCGTCAAGGCTGTATATTGTCACCCTGCTTATTTAACTTATATGCAGAGTACATCATGAGAAACACTGGGCTGGAAGAAGCACAGCTGGAATCAAGATTGCCAGGAGAAATATCAATAACCTCAGATATGCAGATGACACCACCCTTATGGCAGAAAGTGAAGAGGAACTAAAAAGCCTCCTGATGAAAGTGAAAGAGGAGAGTAAAAAAGTTGGCTTAAAGCTTAACATTCAGAAGACTAAGATCATAGCATCTGGTCCCATCACCTCATGGGAAATAGATGGGGAGACAGTGGAAACAGTGTCAGACTATTTTTTTGGGCTCCAAAATCACTGCAGATGGTGACTGCAGCCATGAAATTAAAAGATGCTTACTCCTTGGAAGGAAAGTTATGACCAACCTAGATAGCATATTAAAAAGCAGAGACATTACTTAGCCAACAAAGGTCCGTCTGGTCAAGGCTATGGTTTTTCCAGTGGTCATGTATGGGTGTGAGAGTTGGACTGTGAAGAAAGCTGAGTGCCAAAAAATTGATGCTTTAGAACTGTGGTGTTGGAGAAGACTCTTGAGAGTCCCTTGGACTGAAAGGAGATCCAACCAGTCCATCCTAAAGGAGATCAGTCCTGGGTGTTCATTGGAAGGACTGATGCTGAAGCTGAAACTCCCATACTTTGGCCACCTCATGTGAAGAGTTGACTCATTGGAAAAGACCCTGATGCTGGGAGCGATTGAGGGCAGGAGCAGAAGGGGACGACAGAGGATGAGATGGCTGGATGGTATCACCGACTCGATGGGCATGAGTTTGAGTAGACTCCGGGACTTGGTGATGGACAGGGAGGCCTGGCGTGCTGCGATTCATGGGGTCGCAGAGAGTCGGACACGACTGCGCAACTGAACTGAACTGAACTGAACTGAAGGTCTAGAAAGTGGCTGAGCTGGCATGTGAACTGATGCCATTTGCTACCACAGCTCAAGTCTTTGTCATTAAGCCAGTGCTTCGCAAATGTTAGCATGCATTAGACTCCTAGGGGGCTTGATAAAACATGTATTGCTGAGTTCCAGGTGCAGAATTTCTGATTCAGTCGGTCTATGTTAGGGCCTGAGAGCTTGCATATATAATGACTTCCCAAATGGTTCTGATGTTGCTAGTTTGAAGCCACTACTCTAAGAAGTGCTGTCGGCTGATAACAGTGAATTGAAGAACAATTAATACTAATTGTAGATACACTATGTTTGAGATCTCTCATTCTTAAGAGGGAATGTTAGGTAGGTATTACTATCTCTGTTTTATATATGGGTCTCAAATAAATTAAATACCTTGCCTAAGTCCACCCTGCTAATAAGTGTTACAACCAGCTAGTATTGAGCTTGGTCTTTGGAGCCCCAGAGCCCCCTAAACAATCTATGGTTTTTCCAGGTAAGGAAAGTATTGCCTGCCCTACTTGCCATTTCACACCCACTCCTGTAGTGCTGCGTTTACTAATCTGCTGCCTCCATATCTTTCTCATTCTGCCTCATCTCTGTTCTTTCCATCAGGGGGGAAGGGGTTTCTCTTCACCGTGGCTGACCTTCAGGCTGGAGTCGTTCGATATCATCATGATGACAGTGACTCCACCAAAGACTTTGTGGTCTTCAGGATATTTGACAGGCAACACAGCATCCAACATAAGTTTCCCATCAACATCTTGCCGAAAGATGACAGTCCGCCATTCCTCATAACAAATGTTGTGATTGAACTGGAGGAGGGGCAGACCATACTAATCCAGGGCTCCATGCTGAGAGCTTCAGACACGGACTCCAGTGATGACTACATCTTCTTTAATGTCACGAAACCCCCACAAGCTGGAGCGATCATGAAGAAACCAGCGCCAGGGCTGATGGGTGAGTACTGGGCAGTTAAGATCATTTGTGTTAGAATTTGTGCTGAGAGAGACATCAAGTTTATGAGGTAAGATTCTATTATTATTATTCCCATTTCACAGATGGGAAGACAGACTTAGAGAGGTTAAGTTGATCTATCCATCTGGAATCTAGAAAGTTCCAGAACTGGGCCTCAAGGTAACCATTACACTATGAAAAATTAAGTCTGCCGTGCAAGGTGATAGGACAAATAAGGTTGAAGAAATATTTTGACCTATTCTAGATTATTGATAAAAAATTTCATGAATAACTTTTATTTACATTTTGTTAGAATAATTTCACAACTACTTTTTGAAGTAGATAGGTAAGGAGCTTGATAAAATAGGCATCAAGCAGTTTTACCTAAGACTAATTGTTTTTTAAGCATATTTGATTTTATTTTTAATAGATTATTTAAAAATTGAGGTGTAGTTGATGCACAATATTGTATAAGTTTTAGGTGTACAGCATAGTGATGCACAATTTTTGAATGCTGTACTCCATTTATTGTTATTATAAAATATAGCTATATTCCCTGTGTTGTATAATGTATTTTGAAGCTGATTTATTTTATGCATGGTAGTTGACATAGCAGTTGGTACCTCTTAATCCCATACCCCTATATTGCCCCTCTTCCTTCACCCTCCCCACAGGTAGTCACTCATTTGTTCTCTGTCTGTGAGTCTGTTTCTTTTTTTGTTACATTCACTAGTTTGTTTTACTTTTTAGATTCCGCATGTAAGTGATATCATATAGTATTTGTCTTTCTCTGGTTAACATTTCATTTATCATAATACCTTTCAAGTTCATCTATGTTGTTTTAAGTGGCATAATTTCATTCTTTTTAATAGCTGAGTGGCATTCCATTATGTGTGTTTGTGCATGTGAATGGCACATCTTCTTTGCCCATTCATTTATTAATGTCCACTTGGGTTGCTTCCATATCGAGGCAATTGTAAATAGTGCTGCAGTATACACTGGGGTGCACATATCTTTTCAAATTAGTGTTTTCATTTTTTTCCAGTATATATCTAGGAGTGGAGTTGCTGGATATATGATAAATTCTATGTCTAGTTTTTTAAGAAACTTTCTTACTGCTTTCCACAGTAGCTATATCAATTTACATCCCACCAATAGTGTACAAGCTTTCCTTTTCTCCACATGCTTGCCAGCATTTTTTATTTGTGTTAGCCATTTCTTATTTGTGATGGCCATTCTGACAGGTGTGAAATGATTTCTCATTTGCATTTCTTTGATGATTAGTGGTATTGAGCATCTTTTCATCTGCTTGTTGGCAATCTGTAAGTCTTCTGTGGAAAAATGTCTATTCCAGTCTTCTGCCATTTTTTAATTGAGTTCTTTGTTACTTTGCTGTTGAGTTATGAGTCATTTGTGTATTTTGGATTTTAATCCCTTATTTATCATATTATTTGCAAATATTTTCTCCCATTCAGTAGATTGTCTTTTTGTTGTGGTGATAGTTTCTTTCACTGCACTTTTAAGTTGAACTAGGTCCCATTTGTTTATTTTTGCTTTAGGAGACAGATCCAAAACAAAACAAAACAGCAAAAACTCAGTATAGTTTATGTCAAAGTGTTCTGCCTTAGTTTTCTTCCAGGAGTTTTATGGTTTCAGGTCTTACATTTGGGTCTATAATCCATTTTGAACTTATTTTTGTCTATGGTATTAGTTCAAAGCTCAGTTGTGTCCAACTCTTTGTGACCCCGTGAACTGTAGCCCGCCAGGTTCCTCTGTCCATGGAATTTTCCAGGCAAGAATTCTCTAGGGGATTTTCCTGACCCAGGGATCGAACCCAGTTCTCTCAGGAAAGCCATATGGTGTTAGAGAATGGTCTAATTTCATTGTTTTACATGTAACTGTCCAGTTTTCCCAGCACCACTTATTGAAGAGACTGTCTTTTCTCCATTGTATAGTGTTGGCGCCTTTGTTGTAGATTAATTGAGTATAAGTGCATGGGTTTATCTCTGGGATCTCTATTTTGTTCCATTGCTCTGTGTGTCTGCTGTGTGCCAGTATCATACTGTTTTGGTTACTGTAGCTTTGTAGTATAGTCTGAAGGCAGTGTCCTCCAGCTCTGTTCTTCTTTCTCAAGATTGCTTTGACAATCTGGAGTTTGGTGTTTCCATACAAATTTTAAAATTATTTGTTCTAGTTATGTGAAAAGTGCCCTTGATATATTGATAGGGATTACACTGAACCTGTAGATTGCCTTGGGTAATATGGTCACTTTAACAATTTTAATTCTTCCAGTACATGAACATGGTATATCTTTTCATCTGTTTATGTTGTCTTCGGTTTCTTTCATCAGTGTCTTAATTTCAGATACATTTTAATAACCCTGTACTCTTCTCTCCTCACTGCTTTTGATGTCATGGTGGGGGTGGTTTAGTTGCTAAGTTGCAGCCAACCCTGGCAACCCCATGGACTCCTCTGTCCATGAGATTTCCAAGGCAAGAACACTGGAGTGGTTTTCCATTTCCTTCTCCAGAGTAGGTCCTGACCCAGGTATTGGACCTGTGTCTCTTGTGTTGGCAGGCCAATTCTTTACTGCTAAGCCACCAGGAAAGCCCTTTTGATGTCATATATTACATCCAATTGTTTTATGAATCCCTTAACTGCTTATTGTGGATGTAGATGATTTTGCCACTTTTGTTTTTTAATCTTCCTCATATCTTTGTGTGTGAATGACTTGCTAACTTTGTGCTGTATGTTTGCCTTTACTAATGAGCATTTTCCTTTTGCAATTTTCATGTTTCTAGTTGTGGTATTTTATTTTTCTCTTAAAATTCCTTCAACATTTCTTGTTAAGCTGGTTTGGTGGTGCTGAACTCATCTTTTGTTTGCCTGTAAAATTTTTGATCTCTCTATCAAATCTAAACAAGAGTCTTGCTAGGTAGAATATTCTGGGCTGTAGGTTTTTCCTTTTCATTACTTTAATTATATTGTGCCACTCTCTTCTGGTCTGCAGGATTTTTGTTGAAATTCACCTGATAGCTTTATGTGGGGTTCCTTTATACATTATTTGTTGCTTTTCTCTTGCCGTTTTTAATATTCTGTATTTATATTTAATTTTGCCATTATCATTATAATGTGTGTTGGTGTATTACTCTTTGAGTAAATCCTGTATAGGACTCCCTATACTCCCTAAATTTAGATAGCTGTTTTCTTTACCAGGTAAGGGAAGTTTTTGACTTATGTCTTCAAATATGTTGATAGGTTCTCTCTCTCTTCTCCTTCTGCGACTCCTATAATGTGAATATTAGGGTGGTTGATGTTGTCCCAGAGGTCTCTCAAACTGTCCTCATTTTCTCTTCATTCTTTTTTCTTTTGTCTACTTAGCATCAGTGATTTCTACTACTCTGTCTTCCAGCATGCTGATAGTTCCTCTGTATCATTTAGTCTACTCTTGATTCCTTCTAGGGTATTTTTCACTTCAGTTACTGTATTCTTCATCTCTGTCTGGTTGTCCTTCATATTTTTTAACTTTTCATTAAAAAAAAAAACTTCTCATTCTGTGCATCCATTTTTCTCTTGGGTTATTTGATCATCTTTATAATCACTACCTTGAACTCTTAAGTAGATTGCCTATCTCTACTTTGCTTAGTTATTCTTATGGGGTTTTATCTTATTTGTTTGAAACATGTTCCTTTGTTGCCTCCTTTTACCTAGGTTGCTGTTTTTATTTTTATGTATCTGGTAGGATAGTTATGCTTTCTGACCTTGGAGAAGCAGCCCTTTGTAGGAGACATCATATGTGTCTTAGCAACACATCCTGCTCTCATCACCCGAGTGATATGTTCTAGGGGATGTGTGTGTCTTCCTATTGTGCTGGGCTGACTGTGTAGGCAGTCTTATATGCTTATTACTCCCTGTCTGGTTGGTCGCCAGGCCCTGTGTTGTGTGGAGGTTGCTGGCTGCTGGTTGGTGGGACTGGGTCACAGGGTGGCATTAGTGCTGGCTTATTCTTGGGTTGGGTCAAGATCCAGGAGACTCTGGGGCTGTTACCACCCAGTGGTGGGTAGAACCAGGTCCTAGGGCTAGTGTGGCCCACTGGCAGGCAGAGTCAGATACTCGAGTCTAGTTACAGGACCTAAGGGTCCTAGAGCAGGTTTTGCATCACTGGTGCGTGGGACTACTTCTTGACACTGTTGAGTGCAGGGTCTGGGGAGTCCTGAAGCTTGTGTTGGTTTGCTAGTGGACAGGATCATGGTCCAGTTGGTCAGGATGTGTTTGCAGGCTGCATGTCTGATTTTATGCAGTTAGTACCTGCTCCCTGGTGAATACAACTAGTTCAGGGGCTAGAGTAGGCTCCCTGGAGAGTAGGTCTGGGGTCCAGGCTGTTTTGGAGTTGGTGTCTACCCAGAGATAGCTGGAGCTGGGTCCTTCACTCTCTGGTGGGCAGGGCTGTGTCCAGAGGCAACTGTTGGCTCAGGAGGTCTTAAGACAGCCCGAGTGAGATTGTGTCCCTACCCAGTTAGTTGCTTGGCCTGAGGCATCCCAGCACTGAAGCCCCCTGGCCTGTAGGCTGGATCGGGGCTGGGTCTTGGCCCTAATAAGATAGAGGGAGAATTCCACAATGGTGCTTGCTAGAGCCAGTGTCTGTGTGGTAGAACAGGTTCCCAAAAATGACTGCTGCCAGTATCTGTGTCCCCAGAGAGAACTGTGGTTGCCTCCTGTCTCTCCAGAAGGTTCTCCTAGATAAGCAAGTTGTTCTGACCCAATTCAGTCCAGTTCAGTTCAGTCCAGCACAGTCCAGTTCAGTTCAGTTCAATCCAGTTCAGTTCAGTCGTGGCCAACTCTTTGTGACCCTATGGACTGTAGCACACCAGGCTTCCCTGTCCATCACCAACTTCCAGAGCTTGCTCAAATTTGTTCATCAAATCGGTGATGCCATCCATCCATCTCATCCTCTGGCATCCTCTTCTCCTTCTGCCTTCAGTCTTTCCCAGGATCAGGGTCTTTTCCAATGTATCACATGACCAAAGTATTGGAGCTTCAGCATCAGTCCTTCCAATGAATATTCAGGACTGATTTCCTTTAGGATTGACTGGTTTCATCTCCTTGCTGGCCAAGGGACTCTCAAGAGTCTTCTCCAACACCACAATTCAAAAGCATCAGTTCTTTGGTGCTCAGCTTTCTTCATGGTCCAACTCTCACATCCATACATAACTACTGGAAAAACCATAGCTTTGACTAGATGGACCTTTGTCAGCAAAGTAATGTCTCTACTTTTTAACATGCTGTCTAGGTTGGTCATAACTTTTCTTCCAAGGAGCAAGCGTCTTTTAATTTCTGACCTAGACTTCTGTCAAATTACTGCTTCTTCCCTGGGTCCTGAGGCATGTGAGATTCTTTGTGTGCCTTTTAAGAGTGAAGTCTGTATTTCCCCCATGTCCCAGGTGGCACAGTGCTAAAGAATCTGCCTGCCGGTGCAGGAGATGCAGGAGACTCATGGATCATGGGTCAGGAAGATCCCCTGGAAGAGGAAACGGCAGCCCACTCCAGTAGTTTGGCCTGGAGAATCCCATGGACAGAGAAGCCTGGCGGGCTACAGTCCAGGGGCTTGCAAAGAGTCAAACATGACTGAGCATGCATGCACATACTCTATTTCCCCCAGCTGTCTGGGACTATCAAAATTAACCCTATAGGTCCTTAAAGTCAAATGCCCTGGAGACTCATCTTCCCATGTGCAGGATCCCTGGGCTTAGACTTGGAGCTCTTAATCCTTTGAGAGAAACTCTGCACTTGTACTTATTATCCTGTATGTGTATTGCCCACACTGGGGTATGAAACTTGACTATATTGTGACTTTACTCCTCCAACCTTATTGTGGTTTCTTCTTTATAACTTTAATTATAGAAGATCTCCTCTGGTATGTTCTGGACTTTTTCACTGATTGGTGTTCTGAAGATAGTTGTAATTTTGGTATGCCCACGAGAGGATGTGAGCTCAGGGTCCTTCTCTCCTCTGCCATCTTGTCTGACTTTAAGACTGTTTCTTGAAAATATTTTTCTAATGCTGATTTTTCTATATACTAAGGCAGATATAGTAACTTTAATTTTTATGCTTTATTATTTATAAGTTATGATTTTTGTTGTTCAGTCACTAAGTTGTGTCTGACTCTTTGAGACTGACCCCATGAACTGCATCACATCAGGCTTCCCTTCCTTCGCTATCTCCCAGAGTTTGCTCAAACTAATGTCCATTGAGTCAGTGATGCCATTTAATCATCTAAGCCGTCACCTCCTCCTCCTCCTGCTTTGATAGAGCATTTAATAATAATTCCTCAAACAAACTACTATACACAAAATTGATAAGCAATAAGGATTTACTGTAATTAGCACAGGGAACTATATTCAGAATCTTCTAATAATCTGTAACAGAAAAGAATCTGGGAAAAAAAAATATGAATTACTTTGCTATATACCTGAAGCTAACACAATATTGTAAATCAGCTATACTTTTTAAAAAATACTCCTTGGGTACATGCAAGATACTAGGCAGAAAAAACTTGTAGATAAATCCAAAATTATTTTACCCCAGCACCTGGCAGATGGTTACAAAGGTATGTGGTATTTTGTGGACTCTATAGGCTATCCAGTCCCTGGCTTCATTCAGAGGGATCTATTCAATGGCATCATTTACTATCGTCACTTTGGTGGAGAAATCTTTGAAGATTCATTCGAATTTGTCCTGTGGGACAGCCACGAACCTCCAAATCTCTCAGTGCCACAGGTAAGAGTCCATCTCTGAACACTTTCCCAAAATCTTGTCCACAGATATCAGTTCTGGAAGATATTATTAGAAACTCTGTGAAAACAGATTCCAAGGTTTGAGGAGCAATGGAAGAAGCAAAATTAAGTCAATATCCTTGCAACATAACTGCTTTTTAAAATTTACTTTCCCCCAAATTTACATGAACAGTTTATGTTCACATTGTTCAAACTTACGCGAAAGTGAAAGTCACTCAGTCGTGTCCGACTCTCTGTGACCCCATGGACTATACAGTCCATGGAATTCTCCAGGCCAGGATACTGGAGTGAGTAGCTGTTCCCTTCTCCAGCGGATCTTCCCAACCCAGGGATCAAACCCATGTCTCCCTCATTGCAGGTGGATTCTTTACCAGCTGAGCCACAAGGGAAGCCCAAGAATACTGAAGTGGGTTATGTACATTTCCATGTATGCAGTGTTTCCAAAGTTAGTTAACTATGGGACCCTTTTATGAAGAGTATCTTATGAGATTTGCTTGCTTCATAACATTAAAAAAAAAACTGATTTATTTTGTGTGTGGTGGTTAAGATATACTCTCTGTAGTTAGATTGTCTTTTTCTCCTGTCCTTGGCATTAACTGACCTGTGCCTCAGTTTCCTTATCTGTAAAACAGATAAAACAACTTCCTTACAACATAATACATATGAATATGGTGAACTTTCTGGCACCTAGTAAGTACTCAATGAATATATTTGCTTTTATTTATTATTGCTTTTGAAGAACTAAGAGTTTTATTAACACTCAAGGATTTTATTTAAATATACAGAATACAATAATAGGCTTAAGGAGCCATCATCCTACAGAAATTACAGAAAAAAATGGGTCTGGATAGCTATAAAGGGGTAAATTTCTTGTGAGGAGAGGGCAGTTGGTGGTAGGGATGGACAAATGTCTTCTGAAAATAAGTGACTCACACTATATATAGTTCTTTTTGCTAGGCATTTTATACCTCTTATTTTAGAAGTTAGCATATAAAGGGGTCTAAGCAAATTTTGAAACTGATCCCTATTGATTATATAACGTCATCTCTTAGTGTCGCCGTCATTGACATTAGCCAAGACGTAGATGATTGGGTTATTCATCTGTTTGCCAGGATAAAAGTAACAAAAGGGGATGATCAGGAGGAATGATAGGGATGGCTCAGAAACTGAAGGAGGTAGTGCTCCTTGCTAAAAGAAGTAATGGAAAATAAATAAATAAATAAAAGAAGTAATGGAAAAATGAATGAGGAAATTCTCAATTCATCTGCTTATTGACTAAAAAAAAATTCCTTTACATAGAACAGCCTCCTCTTTTCATCAATGTACATAATTGTGCCATTTATTGATTCTTTTTTTTCTTGAAATCTTAGTTGATCTGATAGTCCAAAATGAAAACTATTAGTAGGATTTACTTCTACATCTTCTGTTGTATCCATTCAACTGTGCTATGTTTCTGACTAGAATACCATATCACTTTTAGCAAACTACAGGCCTTTTTGAAAATAGGAAATTCAGGACTACTTTTTACTTTTCTGCTATTGTATATTTTATAGATCATATTTTTGATACTCAAAGTATAGATGTCAGTTTTCTCTAGTAAAGACTGCAGTAATGAAAACTTTACTGAACTAAAATTATTTGTAAATCTTGACAAATAAGTCAGATTAAATAAGTCAGATCCAGTTATGTTTATTTCCCATTATGGTTGCGCTTCTAAGGAAATCATATTGTATTTTTCTCTGCTTTTATTTATCTTATTAATCTATGTTGAATGGGGAGGGAGAGAAGAAAAAAAGGAAGGGTTGGAAAAAGAGAGAAAGAAAGAGAGGGCATGAGGAAGGAGGGAGGGAGAAAGAGAGAGAGAAATGGGGAGAAAAAGAATTTTGCTCTGTTTTCATGTACCACCTATTTTCTGACTCCTAAATATCCTCCAGCTCAGACTTGTGTACCTACATCTCTACCTGACATTTATTTTACACTCAACATGTTCACAAGACATTTAGCCTGTTTTGCTAAAACTGTGCAAAGCCGCTGTAAATGGAATTTCTGTATTCACCACTACCCTCTTTCTGTTGAGTTATCTGTATAACCAATCAGTCAGCAAGTATTACTAAATCTACTTGAGAAATTTCTCTCACCTATCTCTCCTTACCCCACCCCACTGTCATTGCTTTTGTTTCAACCTTCATCTCTTTTGAACTAGATTATTCTCCGAATCTCTCACATGGTCTCTTAAGAAGCAATTAACTGCATCCTTTGAGGACAATTATTTGAGGACAAATAAAATTCATTGATGGACTTCCCTGGTAGCCGGTAGTAAAGAATCTGCCTGCCAATGCAGGAGACATGGGTTTGATCCCTGGGTCAGAAAGATCTCCTGGAGAAGGAAATGATAACCCACCCCAGTATTCTTGCTTGGGAAATCCCATGGACAAAGGAGACTAGTGGGCTGTGGTCCATGGGGTCACAAAGAGTGGAACACAACTAAGTGATTAAACAACAAAAATAAATTCATTGATCCAGAAGCAATATGTTGAGTAGAATTCATCTAGTTGTTCCTCCCCCACCCCCAACTCTCCCTCTTCTGGTCTTAGCAGCTTTAGCATCTCTAGATATGGACCAGCTCTCACCTATAACATCATCTGCTCCAGGAATCCTTCTCTGATCCTCTTATTCCCATTTCCCCAGGTTTGGCTATCTGGTCCTTTTACATGATCTGATACCAAGTTACTATAATGTGAGGCCATTATTTATTTTATTGGATCCATGGTGAGCTCATTAATGACAAGCATCCTGATATATTTATCTCTGTGTCTTCAGATCTTGGCACCTGCCTCAGAGTAGAACCTCAAGAATTGTATGTTGGTTCTAAAAATAACTCTGGTTCTTTCAACTTGTAATGAAACTGGGAGGAAATAAGAAGACTCAACCATTTGGCAGGGACCAGGAAAGAAGTGAGATAGGGAGGTAATAAGTGTAAAGCTTTAGTTTTCAGAGTTTTTAGGAATTAGTGTGGTGTATAAAAACAAAACAATTATTTTGTATATGTGTGTGCTGGTAAGAGTTTCTATGTTTTAATTATATCATCACTGAAGCTCTGATTCTTAAGGAATACAATTGATTACCTGGTCTATTTAATGATTGCATCTTCAATTTGTACAAGTGTCTAGTCATGTCCAACAGATAAAAATGTATTTAAAATATTCAACAAAATATAACTTTCAGCTGTTCAACTATAAGACCAGATGAAATGGTTACTTGATTGGAGCTTTTGTGATCAGAAGGTTCCTGGGTCACTGAAGATTAAATTCAAACCCTGGATTTTTTCAGCCATACTGTTAGAATTCTTCCTTCCATAGGGGCAGGGACCAAAGATTTTCTCATGTGAGTTTCTGGTCAAAGCAGGGAGGAAGTTGCATAAGTGGAGATGCCCCTTACCTCCTCTCATCCTTCCCATCTGGATAGTCCTACTGAGCAATCTACTTACCCATCAACAAAGTGTTAGCCAGAAGCCCCTCTCTCTTTTCATCTTGGTTATCGTGACTGTTGCCAAATAAAGCCTCACTTACTCAATTTGCTTTTGAAAAATATCTTCTTAGATTGTTAAGTGTAGAGTTGCCTGTATCAGCACCCAAAATACTCATCAGCAGAAGTCTGGTTTAAAAAACTATGGTATATCTATAAAATGAGGCAATGAAATACTATCAAACCAACCAACCAAAAAATAAAGCAAATCCATTGTATGTATCTTAATTGCAGTGGTGTCTTCATAGGTATATGTGATTGTCAAAACTCATCAAATTTTAGACTTAAATTGAATGCAGTTCATTGTGTGTATAGCAGTCCTCAATAAAGCTGACCATAAAAAGAAAATATTTTCTTCTTTATCCTTCTCAGTAGAGAGCCTTATAAAGCTTACACTTGAGGTCTTAGTCTAGGAGAGCATAATGTTAGCAGTAAAATAGAGAGCCAAACATAAGAAGAGAAGAAAGAGAACTAAGAAACTGAAAAAAAGAAGCAGATGCCACAAAGGCCTGTGTGTGAAGTGGGAGGAAGGAAATGTAATGTGACCGACCAGTGGAGAGAACAGGCAGCTGGGATGGGCATTTATCAGAAGTCAGATTGGAGAGTGGAGTGCACAAAACTAGCTTTGGGTATAATTCCAGTGCGAGAATTTATTTGGTATAATTGTTCTGCAGTTGTGGGTTGTCTGTTTGGTGGCTCTATGGTGGGGTTAATGGTGACCTCCTCCAAGAGGGCTTATGCCACACACTATGTGACCCAGGTCTGCTGGAATCAAGATTGCTGGGAGAAATATCAATAACTTCAGATACGCAGATGACACTGCCCTTATGGCAGAAAGTGAAGAAAAACTAAAGAGCCTCTTGATGAAAGTGAGAGAGGAGAGTGAAAAAGTTGGCTTAAAACTCAACATTCAAAAAACAAAGATCATGGCATCTGGTCCCATCACTTCATGGCAAATAGATGGGCAAACAATGGAAACAGTGAGAGACTTTATTTTTTGGGAGGCTCCAAAATCACTGCAGATGGTGACTGCAGCCATGAAATTAGAAGATGCTTTCTCCTTGGAAGAAAACTATGACCAAACTAGACAGCATGTTAAAAAGCAGAGACATTGCTTTGCTGAGCAAGGTCCATCTAGTCAAAGCTATGGTTTTTCCAGTAGTCACGTACGGATGTGAGAGTTGTACTATAAAGAAAACTGAGTGCCAAAGAATTGGTGCTTTTGAACTGTGGTGTTGAAGACTCTTGAGAGTCCCTTGGACTGCAAGGAGATTCAATCAGTCAATCCTAAAGGAAATCAGTCCTGAATATTCATTGGAAGGACTGATGCTGAAGCTGAAACTCCAATACTATGGCCATCTGATGCGAATAAATAACTTATTTGAAAAGACCCTGATGCTGGGAAAGATTGAATGCAGGAGGAGAAGGGGATGACAGAGGATGAGATGGTTGGTTGGCATCACCAGTGAGATGGACATGAGTTTGAGCAAGCTCTGGGAGTTGGTGATGTATAGTGAAGCCTGGCGTGCTATGGTCCATGGGGTTGCAAAGAGTCAGACACAACTGAGTGACTGAACTGAACTGAACTGAAGTGATAATTCCTGTGGGTGAAAAATAGCATTGAAAAATCTGAAAGGATCAGCTTCCCAGGTGGTGCTAGTGTTAAAGAACTCTCCTGCCATGGAGTTACATGTATTCCCCATCCCGATCCCCTCTCCCACCTCCCTGACTCCATGGCTGACTCATGTCAATGTATGACAAACCCACTGCAATGTTGTGAAGTAATTAGCCTCCAACTAAAAAAAAAAAAAGAACTCTCCTGCCAAAGCAGGAGACATAAAGATGCAGATTTGATCCCTGGGTCAGGAACATCCCCTGGAGGGGAGGGCATGGCATCCTACTCCAGTATTCTTGCCTAGAGAATCCCATGGACAGAGGAGCCTGGAGGGCTATAGTCTATAGTTTCGCAAGGAGTCAGACACGACTTAAGTAACTTAGCATGCACACACACAATCTCAAAGGAAGATGAAAAAGAAGGAATTAGATAGGAATCAAACCTCAGAGCAGAGAAGGGATCAAGAATTCAGGTCCACAAGAAAGGTAGATACTATCTGGTGGAGTGTCATATTGTGACCTGTATTGTGAGGGTCAAGGTTAGTCATTGTCATTTTATATACTGATTTATTTCTTTATGTACTAATTTCCCGCCAGTCTGTCTGTGGGTGCCTGTGGCCTTAAGTAGACTGGAGGCATGTAGAGGAAGGCAGCAGGTAAGAGCCCAGTGACTGGTACAGGCACTAGTTTTCCATTGTGTGGGAATGGGTATTTAATTAGGTCCTTTTTACAACCAAATTTCAGTAAGAATGGGAACAGTTTATTTCTCTATGGATTTTGTTAAAATTGGATTTTTCTCACCCACAGAATACACACACATAGTAATTATTTGGACATGCATAAATATGTAAAGATACATCAACTTAGGCAATCATAAAGCATGTTGAAAAATGGGCCCACCAAGAATTACTACTGGGGTATAAAAAAGCATTGCTTGTACATTCTTTTTCTACAAAGAGCACACTAGAGAATAAATTTGCATAGAAAATGGTCTCTTTGAATGCACAATAAGTATTGTTTCCTTATTAAATCCAGTTTTTCAATTAAGTGGAGCCTCACTGATCCACACCATGACTGGGAGGTCCCATAGAGAATTTCTGAACTTTGTAGATTAGCAAAAAACTGTAATTGGAAAAAAAAAAAAATCATGACATAGATTCCAGGAAACTAAAGAAATGACTGTCATTGTGTTCCATTATTTTGATGACTGGGCTTAGTTTTTAATTATTGAAATACTTCATAATGGAGTAGTAAATATGCTATATACTTTTCTAAAAGTGATGAAGAATGGAGATAGGGAATTGATTTATTGAGTACCTACTACCAGGTACTCTCTGTGATGTCAGATATCTTGTTTGATCCTAACAACACTTCACTGTAATGGCCATTCCTATTATTCCCAATGTACAGAAAGAAAAACTGAGCCCCAAAAGGTTCAAGTGATTTACCCCAGGCAGCAAAAGCTTGTCGGTGGCTGAGCTGATGTTCCAGTCTTTTTTATATTATAGCAAAAGCTTAACTATGTTTTAATTTTTGCTTTGTATGTTAATTTTATTTTTATTTATTTATTAAAAAAATTTTTTTTTCCATTTATTTTTATTAGTTGGAGGCTAATTACTTTACATCATTGCAGTGGTTTTTGTCAAACATTTAAATGAATTAGCCATGGATTTACATGTATTCCCCATCCCGATCCCCCCTCCCACCTCCCTCTCCACCCGATCCCTCTGTGTCTTCCCAGTGCACCAGGCCCGAGCACTTGTCTCATGCATCCAACCTGGGCTGGTGATCTGTTTCACCCTAGATAATATACATGTTTTGATGCTGTTCTCTTGAAACATCCCACCCTCGCCTTCTCCCACAGAGTCCACAAGTCTGTTCTATACATCTGAGTCTCTTTTTCTGTTTTGCATATAGGGTTATCGTTACCATCTTTCTAAATTCCATATATATATGTGTTAGTATACTGTAATGGTCTTTATCTTTTTACAGGGCTTACTTCGCTCTGTATAATGGGCTCCAGTTTCATCCATCTCATTAGAACTGATTCAAATGAATTCTTTTTAATGGCTGAGTAATATTCCATGGTGTATATGTACCACAGCTTTTCAAACTGGTTATTGTGAACACCACTTTCTTAGAAAAAACTGGCATTGTTGATCTGTTTCAGTGACAATATTAAATAAATCAAAACCAGGAGAAGAATATTAATACTTTAATGTGCCAGTACTTTGGCCACCTCATTCGAAGAGTTGATTCATTGGAAAAGACCCTGATGCTGGGAGGGACTGGGGGCAGGAAGAGAAGGGGACGACAGAGGATGAGATGGCTAGATGGCATCACTGACTCGATGGACATGAGTTTTAGTAAACTCCGGGAGTTGGTGATGGACAGGGAGGCCTGGCGTGCTGAGATTCATGGGGTCACAAAGAGTCAGACACGACTGAGCGACTGAACTGAACTGAACTGAATGCATCAGGCTTTCATGATGCCAAGCAAATGTACCATTTCAAGAGAGAGTAATTGCTTTCTTCCAACCAGGCATGGATTCTTCTTCTTCTTTTTTTTGGGGGGGGATTATTCTTAAAAAAAGAAAAAAAGTGATGCTAAAAACTGTTTGGCAAAATCTCCTTGCCCTCCTTGCAAGATCTAAACCTGTGAATGTTTGAGAAAATTCTTAACATCACAACAGGACATGTAGATGCATTCAGCGAGAAAACATGATAAAGTGCCTCCTACCTACAAAATATCATGCTAGATGTGGTGGAGCTGATATTATGCCTAATTTACAGATAAGAAAATGGACACTAGAAAAAGATGAATGACTTGTTCAAGATAGGTAATTACCAAGTGGTATACTCAGGACTGTCCATTCACTGGCACATTCCATGTGGAACTATACTGTGATCCTCCTCTTGTGGAACTTACAGTCTAGGAGAGATGACATGTAAACTACAAACTAATAATGCAAGACAATGCAATTATAGTGTTTGTCAAGGGATAATGAAAATTCAAGAAAAATGAAATCCAACTGAGAAAACGTTTCAAGAAGAGCCTTCAAGAGTATGAAAGAATTGAGTTGCTAGAGAAAACAGGAGAAGAGCATTCCAGACTGAAGAAACAACGTGGTCCAGAGCAGAGAGGCATGTTTGCAGACTAGGACTGGATCCGCTTTGTGCAGGCAGGGTGCTAGATTAATGTCAAAAGGTGGCAAAAGGCAAAGTTAAAGAGTGTGTCTGAACCGGGAAGGGTCTTGAATACCATGCTAGGGAGTTAGAATAATTCTATCCCTCCTGGGTGGTTGTTTAAGATTTCCTTTTTACTTTCTTGTTTTAAAAAATTTTACTGAAGTATAGTTAAAGTGTTGTGTTAATTTCAGGTATACAGCAAGTGATTCAGTTACACATATTTATGTATATATATTCTTTGTCAGGGGCTTCCCAGGTGGCTCAGGGGTAAAGAATCCACCTGCCAATGCACGAGATGCAGGAGACGTGGGTTCAGTCCCTGGGTCGGGAAGACCCTTTGGTGGAGGAAATGGCAACCCACTCCAGTATCCTTGCCGGGAGAAACCCGTGGACAGAGGATTCTGGCAGGCTACAGTCCATAGGGTCACACACAGTCGGACATGACTGAGCACACACATGCATTCTTTTTCAGATTCTTTTCTTGTATAGATTAAAAACTAGAGAGACTATTTCCCTGTGCTATGCGGTAGGGCCTTGGTGGTTATCTATTTTACATATCGTAATGTATATGTGTTCATCCCAGCCTCCTAATTTATCCCTCCCTTGCCTTTCCCCTTTGGTAACCATAAATTTGTTTTCTATGTCTGTGAGTCTGTTTCTGTTTTGTAGATAACTTCATTTGTAACTTTTTTTAGATCTTTGAGGAAGTGAATAACCTGGTTTTACTTGTGTTTTTTAAAAGATAAGACCAGAGGTATGAAAAGTCAAGATTAGTTATTGAAATTAGGGCTGATGGAAAGCTGTTACGATGATACAAGGAAGAAATTATGCCAGCTGGAGCAAGATCAGGAATAGTGGGGCTGACAGCTGGGGAGGAGGGTGTGGTCACTGTTTCGAAAAATTTATAAATACAAACTCTAGGACTTAGTGATGTGTTCTGTGTGGGTAGAAAAAGAGGAACCAAAAGTTGTGTCAAGGAATTATGACAGAGTGGAAGGAGGAAGAGTCTCCTCCAGCACCACAGTTTGAAAGCATCAGGTTTTACTTTTACATCTCTCTTTACCAACAGCCTGGGCTTTCTCTTCCTCCTTCCACTCTGTCATAATTCTTGCTCTATGTGAAGGCCCAACACTTTGGCCACCTGATGAGAAGAACTGACTTATTGGAAAAGACCCTGATGCTGGGAAAAACTGAAGGCAGGAGGAAAAGGGGGTGGCATAGGATGAGATGGTTAGGTGGCATCACCGACTCAATGGACATGAATCTGAGCAAATTCCTGGAGATAGTGGAGGATAGAGGAGCCTGGCATGCTCGTCACTGGGGTCACAAGGAGTTAGAAAAGACTTAGTGGCTGAACAACAACAACAACAAATAAAACCAGGAATATATTGTGTGTTGTGTGCCCATTTGATAGCACTCAGGACTGCATTAAATGTAACTGTGATAATTGTATTCTTAAGGTACAGTGAAAAATGGATGGAGAATGATCCATTTTTAGCTCATGCTCTTAATAGCTCCTGAACTTTTTCACTGGAAGTGTATTATTAAATGGCAGTTTTTGAAAATCATAGTTGACTGAATGATAGTGGAGTGTCTTTTTTCTGATGTTTTTTTGGTATTTCAAATGAATGACACAGATAATTTCTTTCTAGGTGGTGACAATCCATATCACTCCTGTAGATGACCAGCTTCCAAAAGAGGCTCCTGGAGTTTCTCGGCATTTAGTTGTCAAGGAAACGGAGGTGGCCTACATCACTAAGAAACATCTACATTTTATAGATACAGAATCACATGAACGGGAGCTGCTCTACACAATAACCACTCCTCCATTTTTCTCCTCCAGCCACAGGTATCTCTATGAAAAGTCATCACTTGGGCTATTAGTTGAAGGTTGTGTTCTAGGATTGAGTTAAAAGTGTCACTGTGTAGTCCTTGGCTCGATTGTTTTGTTGGTCAGACAAAAACTTCAATTCAGCATTTATTCTAATCTCAAACTTGTCGCATGCCTTCCTTCAAAGGCTATGTTAATAGGTAAATGGCCTGCAACTTGTAGTGTCTTTAGCTTAAGTAGGCTGAAAACAGTCTTTAATCCCTTTTTCTAAAGAGAATACTTTTTTCTTCTAGGTACAATTTATTGAGTCTTCATAGCTTTATTTTTAGATATCTCAGGCTATAAAAATGGTCATATTATATGATTCCAATCCAGAAAGTGCCATGAATATCCCTTAGGCTTAAATTATGTACTAAATGATAGTGAGTAAATGTTTTTAGGATGAGTATATAACTGTATCTCATTGTAGTTAGATTCCCTTTCATCTTGTCAGAGCAGAAATTTTGTACATACTTTTTACAGTTATGATGAGAATGGCATTCATGATATTAGACTTAAGGCTAGTAAGTCTAAGTCCCTGCCCCTGATATAAAGAGAGAATATAAAGATGAAACATTTGATTTCTTCTGACAATGAGCACTTTTAGCTTTAGAAAATGTGGTTGCAGGCTAATGTGTGACTTAATTTTTACCTGGAAAATTAGCTGATGTGCTCTCTTTTATTTTTCTTTAGACACTTAGATGCTGGGAAATTATTCATGGTGGACAGCATACCAAGGCTAACCAAGACTCCTGCAGCTCCAGGGTTAAAATATTTTACTCAGGTATGATGCTATGCTCAAATGTTGACAAACAGATGAAAGTGTCCTCTGAGAAGGTCTGGTGCTCCTAGCATTTTACTTGAGAATTTTGGCCTTTGACATCTGCCACAAGCAACAAATACCTGATGTCTATATTGTTTCTGCTTGCACATTTCCATTAAGCAAGTGACATGTATTTGAAAATGCTTGATCCAGCTGAATATGTTTGTATAATAAAATCTCATTATAATTCAATACAACCTTTTGCATCAACTTAGGTTCCTGGTTTAGGGCTCTGATTTAGGGACCTGATGCATATGTTTTTATTCCATCAATTTCAGTTCATCTAATAACCTACATGTTAGTTTCCTAGGGCTGCTATGGAAACTACCACAAACTAGGTGGCTTTAAAGGACTGAGTGTGTAGGCTTATAGTTCTGGAGGCGAATCGTCTGAAGTCAGGGTGTCAGCAGGGATACCATCCTCCAAAACCTTGTTCATGGGTGGGGTGGGGGTGTCTTACCTTTTCTCTTCCCAGTGACTGGTGATTTGCTGGGAATCTTACATTCTTTGGCTTGTAGATGATCACTCCACTCTCTGCTTCGGTCACCCCATGGCTGTGTTCTCCCTATGTCTCTCTCTTCTTATGAGGACATAAGTTATGTAGGATTAAGGGCCACTTTATTCCAGTACAGCCTTACCTTAACTAATTGTGAGTTTTGCCACCCCCATTTCTAAACAAGGTCATATGCTGAGGTGCTGTGGTTTAGGACATCGGCATATCTTTTTTGTGTGTATGGGGTACATAATTCAATGTATGTACTTAATATCTACTGCTTTCCAAAATCCTTCCTTAACCTTCTCCCTACTCCTATGGTTCTCGATTCTGAAGGCCTGAGTGAGGTCACAGTAATAATGAGTGCTTAGGCTTAAGGTTCAATATGTTGAATCTCACTGTAGTTTGTTGTTCAATCTCTAAGTCATGTCCAATTCTTTGTGACCCCATGGTAGTTAGACGTGGTAAATGAACATGCCAACCCTCATGATAAGTACTATTATTTTATTACCTTATTTATTTTATAGATAAGGAAACAGGGGCCTCATAATTTTATTATTTAATTGTTTATTCTTGGCTGTGCTGGAACTTCGTTGCTGCACGGGCTTTTCTCTGGTTGTGGTGAGCAGGCGCTACTCTCTGGTTGCGGTGCTGAGGCTTCTCATTGCAGTGGCTTGTCTTGCTGTGGAACTTGGGCTCCAGGGTGCCTGGGCCTCACAAGTTTAAGTAGCTTGAGCAATATCACACAGCTCCTTCATGGTGGAGTAGAGTTGAAATTCAAGGTCCCTGTCTTTTATAGAGTTGCATGACTTTAAGCACTTGGCATAGTTTCTTAATTTCCTTGTTCTTTTTCCTCCCATTTTTAAATGTGATTTGTAAGATAGAGCTTTGTAGAATCTTCAGATTGATGATGGGAGTGTTTGCAATGTTCCATATTAAGTTAACCCGAAGGGTCTCTTAGCCCCAGGTCTTTAAATGTCTCTGATCTTGGCAGTCAGTACCCACATGTCCATCTTGATTTGCTTTGCAGCATGCTGTGAACCATATGAAAGTGGCCTATATGCCACCCATGCAAGATGTGGGTCCCCATCCAAGACACGTCCAGTTTGCCTTTTCTGTCAGTAACCAGCACGGTGGGACGCTATATGGGATCTGCTTTAACATCACGATTCTTCCGGTGGACAATCAGGCCCCAAAGGTGGGTATCATGCTTGATACAAAGGATGAAGAGGAGGGAGGACCTAATGAGAAAAAGGTTTTTAAAGACTTACTCGAATGCTCACTTCTCTTTAGGCTGTTTCTAAGGACTTTTCTGTTTTCCAACGACAGTGTAGGGAACACGAAAGTGGGGAGGGGAGTCATTCACCTCCTATGGGGCTTTCTATCTAAAAGGTGAGATTTTCCAGTTGCTTTATTTGGCATGAAAATCATTTGGCATGATTTTCAAAGCTTTGTCAAAATCTCTTTCATTTCCTTTCCTTTTTACTGAGTTTCATGTGTTGATCAGGGGAAGGAGATTAAATTAGGAGTCTCTTAGCAACCAGACAGGCTTATTTGCTCTCCCCACAGGCTAGCTTTGCTGCTCTGTCATCTAAATAAGTGCTTTAATTTTCCAAAATGAATTAAGATGGACCCTTGCATCCTATCCTGTTCCACTCCCTCATGTTTGTGTCAGCTTTAAAGCACTCGGGTCTCTCATTAAAACCAGACTATCAAGGCGATGCTACCTTGCACATCTTATCTTCAGGGCTAGGATTCATCATGAGAGTTTGTTCCCCACCTGCCTCCTCCCTATCAGAGTGCTAGGGTTAATGAGTGTGGCTATTCCTAGGCTTGTTTTTCTTCCCTCCTAAGTGGAAAGACAAAGTGTGATTACCCATTCATTAGGAACCAGCGGGGACTAGAACCCACCCATGTCATATCCCTAGGGAGAGAGGCCACCTTCCCAGGCCCCCACCTGAAATGAAACCAGGAAAGCTTGGGTGCTCCCTTTCCTGTGCTTTCCTCATCATCTCTGCATCTGCCCAAAGTTGTGGGGCAGAGGTCTCATGCTGAGGGACCAAGGCACAACCGTTCTGATGAGTCTAAATGATACTTGAAAGTAATGGATTGCCCAAATTTCTGTTAGCTGCTGAATGGATCAATGAAATGTGGCAATCCACACATTGGAATATCAATCCTCAACTATAAAGGAATAAAGTACTAATATGTGCTACCAATTAGTTGAACTTGGAAAACATTATTTCAAAGACAAGTACCCAGTCACAGAAGACCACATGTTATACAAATCCATCTATATGAAAGATCCAGGGTAGGCAAGTCTATAGGAAAAGAAAGTAGATTAATGGTTGCTTAGGACTGCAAGGGGGCTTTCCGGGTAGCTCAGCTGGTAAAGAATCCGCCTGTAATGCAGGAGACCCTGGTTCGATTCCTGTGTTGGTAAGTTCCCCTGGAGAAGGGATATAGGCTACCCACTCCATTATTCTTGGGTTTCCCTGGTGGCTCAGAGGGTGAAGAATCTGCCTATAATTTGGGAGACCTGGGTTTGATCCTTGGGTTGGGAAGATTCCCTGGAGGAGGGCATGGCAACCCACTCTACCATTCTTGCCTGGAGAATCCCATGCAAACTGGGGGAATGGGAGGGCAGGAGAGGGAAGGACTGTGGGGAAATAGGGAGTAATTGCTAACAAAGACAGGGTTTTTTTGTGTGTGTGTGAAAATATTCTAAACTTGCTCATAATGGTTACATAACTTTGAATATGTGAAAATACTAAAAGATGAATACTAAAAGACATTGTCTTTTACACCTTCAAGGGGTAGATTGTATGGTGTGTGAATTATCTCAATAATATCATTCTGTGTTTGTTTCTGGATCTCTGGCTTCTGCAGCTTACCTCACCCCCACTCTGTAGCAGCTGGACAGGGCATGTTCCCCAGTCACCAAAGTATCCATCCAGCTCAGGACACTGATTTACCTCACTGGCCTGACCCCTCAGGCCTCTGAGCTTGCAAGTTTTGGCAGAAGATGGGCCCCCCAAGAGGTCACACAAAATAATCTAAACTGGATTCTTTGTCTCCTTCCCTGCTGGGGACCAGATCATGTTCCATGTTGAAAATACAGTTTTGAATGTGAATTTGATTAGATATTATTCAGATCATCCTTTGTATGAAATGCATGCCCTGAAATAGCCCAGCATCCAAAGAAGCTACCATGTTTTCCAGAACAATCACAGAGTAGCTTTTTTTTTTAATGTTTAATATCCAAACCTCTTGCTCGAGAAAGATGATCTGTGGGGTGGGGATGGGGGAACCAACAGAAGGAGTGAAGTGAATAGTTACCTCTGTCATTTGAAGGTAAATGGAAGTTACGAGGACTTGGGGCTCGAGAGGCATAGGGGCTTCTGTATTTTTTCTACAGTGTATGAGACAAATGAAATAGTACCATAGAGAAGTGGTAATAATACAACAGAAGTCAAATTAAATGAGTCTCCTGCGTGAAAATGGTCGTGGGAGCTGTTCCCTGATGTTAAAAATCCAAAGACCACTAGGTTGAGTGAAACCATGAATTTTGATGCCATACTGACCTGAAGTTCCAGAAACCTAAGCACTGGGTTCAGGGAGGGACTGGAAGGTGAATGACGAAAAAGTGGGAGTAAGTTAGCCTTATGCTTTTAGTCTCTGAAAGTTGTTCTAAAACCATATATTCTTAAAAATCATTGAATGAGGCAAAGTACATTCCTTGAAACTTAGCATCTTGGGTTCTTAATTGATGTAACTCAGGACAAAACGAGGCTGGCACACGTGGACCATGTTTCAGTGATAATAATCCTCTTTAAATGTGAGCTCTCTTTATTTCTTTCTCCTACAGTCAGTGAAATGTAGGTGTGGCAAATGAGAGTAAGGCTCTTGGGAAAGGTAGGAGTGAGTGGTTGTAGGAAGAAAAGGCTCTTTATGTTTTGCTTTGCTGAAAGAAGTTGTCTACTAAAGAATATGAGGCAGCCATCCCAGGGAGCTTGGTGTCATCATTTCTATGACCCAAGGGCTGCCCTTGGGGCAGCTGTGGGTGGGTGGGAGGGAGGATGGAGCAGAGTTGTAAGTGGACGCTGTGATTTCTTGCTCACTTCCCTTTCCTCTGCCCATTTCTTGTCCCCTCACTCCCAACCCCCTTTTCAAGATCTTTCGTTGGGGAAACTTCTCCTTTCTAGGAGTGGCAGCTGCTCTGAAGAGAGTAGCTGCTTCCTTGGAGAACATTGTGTCCTCACATTAGCAGAGCCGTCACCCCAGACCGTTGGTGGGGAGCCTTCAAAGCCCATGACTTGTAGCCCTGCTGTATCAACTTGTTTTTGATTCTGTGTAGTAATACAAATTTCAGAAAATAGTAGGTTAAACAAAGTTGACAGATTTTCCTACTCTAGGATCTCAGAGCATGAAGATGATTATGAGTCTTACAAACCTCCAAGGTGAAGATATTGTATTAATATGTGACTATTTTCAGGTTGTGTTTGACCATGGATCACTTCTTGCCAACTCCCAAAGTAATGATAAATATTCCAAGTTGTTCAAACTTGCTTTTTACTTTCAAATGAATTTTTATTGAGCAGTGGGTCTTTTCTATTATAGAAAACTATCTTTATGGCTTTAATATTTAAGTCTAATGTTTGAATAAATCTATTTCCTGTGAATTCTTCGATTTCCAGTCTTCAGTTTCCCTGTTCTACTTCCATCTCTAAAATGCTCACTACCCTAACCCTTAAATGCTCCAATCAGTCACTCCAGTCTTTAAGAATTTTTAGGGTGTAAGAAAACATGGATTCTTTCCCTCAGGAACTTTAATATAGGTTTTGTTCATTTTGTAAATTAAGGTACATATGTGCCAAGCAATGATAGATACAGACATAATGAGGAATGTTATTTTCTTAGTTTAGATACATACTTTAGATATCATACTCTGATGATAAATCTGATTGCTGCTGATAGATTGAATTGTTCAGAGGATGAGATGGCTGAATGGCATCACCGACTCGATGGGCATGAGTTTAAGTAAACTCCAGGAGTTGGTGATGGACAGGGAGGCCTGGCGCGCTGCGATTCATGGGGTCACAAAGAGTTGGACACGACTGAGTGACTGAACTGAACTGAGCTGAACTGATTCAGGATCTGAGGTCAATGAAATATAGATGCTTTCAGGTTTCTAGATCTGCCTTGTTTCTTTGTGTCCATCAATGCTTAGAACTGAAAGCATTTAGCAAAAAATATTTTTTAGCCAAGATGTTCAACTATGAATTTGTGCCCTTTAGAACATTCTTGAAAGTTGGATTGACATGTAAAGATAATGCTGGAAGTTTTCTGTAGCTTTCATGAGTTCTGTTTTCAGGTACACCTCACCGACAAGGCTTTAAATGTTTCCTCCTTCCTTCTAGGTGTTGACCAAACCTCTGAGAGTGGCTGAGGGAGGTCAGTATGTCATCAGCACAGAGCATGTCCTGGTTTCTGACGAGGACACCAAACTGGACAACATCCACCTCTCCTTGCAGAGTCCGCCTCAGCATGGAATGGTGGAGCTAAATGGATTCCCTCTAAACCCGGGGACTACGTTTTCCTGGGGAGACCTCCAGGCCTTAAAACTTAGGTTAGAACATTTCCTGGATTCTTTGTTTTACACGCCTTGGTTCCCATTTGAATCAATTGTGAGGCAGTGTAAGAAGTTTATTCAGTTCTTGCAGGAGTAGCAACATGCCACCTAATACTTTCAAGGGGCAGTTGAACATTAGAAATAACAACCCTTTAGTTTTCCCTCCAGACATTTTCTTCCCCTTTGGCTTGCTGTACTGATGGGAATGATATTATGAATATTTGAACAACAAAAATTGAATTGCCATGAATATGAAATTTGCTGCAACAGCACATATCACAAAAGGTAGCAGTCAAACTAGATGAATTGAGTCTGAGCTAATCTACATAATTGAATTTGGCTTTCAGAAAAGCCAACTTCATAACCTGGGAAATTCTGGGATAGAATTCTGTTGATTGATGTCTTTAGTGTGACTTTTTAATCCATTCTACTGGGGAGGTGATTTGCAGGCAAATAAGTAGGGTAGGTTAGGTAGGTAGGACACAGACTAGTACTTGGGTCTCTTATAGTCAGGGATGGAGTAATCCCTGCTTCATAGTTCTGTAGTGGGCCTATAGTATTAATAGTTCCCTTCACCTTGAGGATGTTCCTTTCCTCTGCCTAATGTCATTATGTAAGACACTTAAAAAAATATCTAGTAAAACTCTTTCTCTGTAAAATACTGCAAGATACTCAAAAGCAGTTGTCAGGTAGACAGACATACTGGTTAACTTCTCACTTGTGCAAATCCAAGTTACAAACTAGAATTTTGGTCTTTCTGATAAAGTATAGGCCTTAAATGCTTAGTTTTGCATTTGGAAATTGATCAAGAAGGGGGATTTATGTACAGGAAGAACATTTTCATCCAGAAGTTTAGTTACACTGTTTTATTTATAGCTTCCAATATCTTAAGCTCTTTTCACTACTTTTATTTTCATTAAAATTTTCTCCCCCGACCCCATGATCTCAGCTCTTTCCTACCCTTCAGAAAGAGAGCTCTGTTTAGGCAATTCTTTTTAGGGAATGAATAATTGATAGAAAAAAGGTACCAATTTTGCCAGCACATAGTTCAAGCATTCTTGAGCTATAGTTCAAGCATTCTTCTAGAAACTTGCAATTATGTTTCATTCATTAAACTTCATAGCAACCAAACCTGATAAGGCAGATGGTTCTGTTCTCATATTATAGTTGAGTTAACTAAGGCACAAAGAGGTTAACTAACGTCACTTAGCAAGTTTGTGAATGAGGCTGGTTTTAAAAGAAGTTCTGTTTGATTCCATTGTCCTAGCTTGGAATGTGTACTCCTAGATCTATTTGGCCCTTTTAAGGATAATAGCATGGTAAAATTTATTTGAATTAGCACATTATCACATGTCAGTCTACTTTTGATCAGGGAGCATGACAAAATAAAGCGTAGGAGGCACATTGGGAATGTTGGGAGGGAAACTGGAGGTTGGAGGTGGACTTTTCCCACCACTGAAATTGAATCCCTAACCAGTGCATGAGTGAGTTAATATCATCAATAAGCTAAACATTTGGCTCAGTTCAACAATTATTTAAAACTTACAGTGTATCACTACAGTAGACCGGAGAGTGAATGGAAAGTCTAGAATTAGACAATTCCTTTAAGAAACTTGATTGGAGAAAGAAAAGAAAATAGTGTCAAGAATAGATCAAGAAAAAAATATTTTTAAGTCTGGAGAGATTCAAGAATCTTCTTAGGTTGAGAGGAAAAGACCTAGTCATTGGCAAGAGGGAAATGGCAGGAGAGAGGTAGAGAGTAATCCATAGATGAGGTTTCAGGGCAGAGCTAAACTGATTCGGAGCACAGAAGGATTAGCCCTAAAAGTGGGGGAGGAGGGAGAATCACCAAAATCCTCTCATTGTCCCACTTCTGTCTGTCACTGCTCAGTCTTAGAGTTCCCTTGGCCCCAGGCAGTGTTTTCTGTATGTAAGCAGAGCTACATCCACTGCTTCCCATTTTTACAGTGACAACTTAAAGGGCTGCTTTTTGATTTGGGGACAAGTTACGGGCCTGGTGCACTGGGAAGACCCAGAGGAATCCGGTGGAGAGGGAGGTGGAAGAGGGGATCGGGATGGGGAATACATGTAAATCCATAGCTGATTCATGTCAATATATGACAAAAACCACTACAATATTGTAAAGTAATTAGCCTCCAACTAATAAAAATAAATGGAAAAAAAAAAAAAAGAATGCACAGAACACATTTTTCCTGGGTGGAGCAATTTTACCATCAAGGATACTTGAATGGTTATGTAAGTGACTTCAAGATTATACTGGGATTTTGGTTATATGTTTATTTGATTGAACATAGGGCCAAAACCATGGAAAAGCTCTTGTGACAGGAATCTCAGCGCACTTTCACTGTAGCCTTGAGAGATTAGTGACAACTATCATCCCCACAGATATCAGCATGATGGATCCGAGGAACTTCAGGATGACATAGTCCTGCAGGTCACAGATGGCACAAATGCAGCTGAATATGTTCTATACATTGAGGTATGTAGTAAGTTTCCTCCTTGGTTCATATAGAAACAAAGTTTTGGATTTGGAATCATCTTAGGGTCTCTGATAGAAATGAAGATACATGGACGCCAAAGCAAGAAAGTGCCTGTTTATGTCTTGGAATGTGTCAGGACAGGCAATAGAGGGCAAAAATATATTGGTGAAATGGGCATACTGGTTTCTCACTCCAGTCCATTTAAAGATAGGAATGCTCTGCCCTCAAACTCAGAGACTTAATTGAAGAAGCAATTGGTTCCTTATATAAATTATTTCCAATATTTTGAGCTGTAACATTCAAAAATATTTATTTAGCAGTTGGATGGGTTAGGCTAGCAACATAAGGGTTTTTCCTGTTGTGTTCAAGGAGCCATATCTGTATGCACAATGTGAGTTTTTGTGAATTCCTGTATTGTACATTCCCCTGGCCTGTTTGAGATGATTAGTTTCCCCCTTTTGACAAATGAAGGAAAATCTGCATATAAAGGTTAAGTACATGCTCAAAGGCTTGATGGGAATCCTCAGGTTTCTTTGTTGAGTGACTATCCATGTCCACAAGCATAACTCACAGGATTTGCAGTTATTTATAGTTAGTGACAAAGGAAAGTCTGCAGAAGACTTACCATGCTTCTTAAAGACCCTCTAATTACTCTTACTGTACCAAATTATATTTCTGTTACAGTTGGTCAGCTCTTCATGGTATGAAATTATTGTTAAAGGTCATAATAATGTGTTTGCAAGATATTTTACAGTTAATAATTAATTTAGAATGATCACACCCATCTAGTGTTTTTAAAAGTACACAGGAAAGGAATTATCTTTATTTTATAGCAAAGGTCTGAGAAGGTTCAATGACTTGTCGAAAGCCATGAACTTGACCATGTAGACCTGGGCTGACATCTCTACTCTGGTCATCAGGCCAGCGTTCTTTCTTCTTCACCACTGCCACAGAGCTCAATTAACAGGTGATTGTAATTCAGGAGCACTTACGCATGCCAGGTTCAATGCATAGTTCCTTCCTTTCATTTTCCCACTTAGTTCTTATGGTCTTATACCTAGATGAAAAGAAGTATGTCATTTCAGCTTCATAGAGGTGAATTTTCTTTATCGGTGGACTTTTACATATCAAGAAAGCTTTTCTGAGTTACATTTTTTTCCTGAAAAGAAAATTTCTGGTGAAAATCCCAACTCTATCTTCTGTCTGTGACTATCTTTTATCAATGACAATAAGCTGTGCCTTTGAGGAAAAGAATCTCTGTTACTTTTTAGACAAAAGAGCATGTCCTTTGAAAGCCAATCAGAAGTTTAGGCAGTTTGGGGACAATTATGTATGATTTTTTTTTTCATCCAGGAGAAATGTTTTTAATTCTATCACCTTTGGACTTTTATGCATTTGAAAGCTGAGGCTATTTGTGAACTGCTGCAAGGTGATTATCGTGAATGTGTTAGAATCAAATGGTGTCAAGAGCAATAATAAAGAGGGTCTTCACTAAATCTACTTTGAGGACTTGAACAGAGATATTGTCCCTTAATAAGCCAACAGAAAATGGGATAGAGTATTGCATGCTTTTTCTACCTTTAATTAAATAAATAAGCCTGGGCTTATCACTCTATTATCTACCTGTTAAAGGAAAGTGTCAATGTAATTTCATGTATATTTGTTGTAGAGTTGTGAGCCTGTTTAAATAGCAGAGTGACCAGGGCATATATAAATAGTTATATTCATCCATTCATTTATCCCATTAATGCTTAATAAGTGCCTTCTATATGCCAGGTCCTATGCTAAATGCTTGGGCTATGATGATGAACAAGACAAATATACTTCCTCTTCTTGTGGAGCTTATGGGCAAGGGAGGAGTGTGGGCTTTAAACAGATTATCACTGAAATAATTAGTTAAAATATGGATGTGTTCTACAAGTCAACAGGGTACTAAAAGAGGGTAAATGAAGAAAGTTTCTAAGTGAGTCTCAGTTGTCAAGAGGTTTTCCTGGAGGAATCCATATGTAACCTAAACATAGAGGAAGTCAAGTGAAAAGCCAGGGGAGAACATAGCAGGCAAGGGACAGGGCGAGGATGCAAAGATGGTACAAAGACCTGATGTGTGTGGAACACAATGTCTTGGGGATAACAGTGGAGTGGAATGGATTGACAAAGGCACCCCATTGCATGAGATGTGGCCAGAGACCCTAGGAAAGTCCCTGAGAAGCTAGTGAAGCTTCAGTGATAAAGAATCTGCCTGGGGACATCTCTGGTGGTCCAGTGGCTAAGTTGTTGCCTTCCAATGCAGGGGGCATGAGTTCAATCCCTGGTCAGGGTGCTAAGATCCCATATGCCTCCTGGCCAAAAAAAACAAAACATAAAACAGAAGCAATATTGTAACAAATTCAATAAAGACTTAAAAAAAAGAGAGAGAGAAAATCTATCTGCAATGCAGGAGACTCAGGTTCTATCCCTGGATCAGAAAGATACCCTGGAGTAGGAAATGTCAACCCACTCTAGTGCTTTTGCCTGGAAAATTCCATGGACAGAGGAGCCTGGTGGGTGACAGTCCACGGGGCCCTAAAGAGTCAGACATGACTAACCATGCACAGAATGGTGACTTGATGAAAGCCACATTTTAAAAAGATCACATTGGGGACTTCCCTGGTAGTCCAGTGGTTAAGAATCTGCCTTGCAATGCAGGGGACATGGTTAGGGATCTAAGACCCCACATCAGCTCAGTTTAGTTCAGTCCCTCAATAGTGTTCAACTCTTTGTGACCCCGTGGACTGCAGCACACCAGGCTTCCCTGTCCATCACCAACTCCCAGAGCTTACTCAAACTCATGTCCATCTAGTCAGTGATGCTATCCAACCATCTCATCCTCTATTGTCCCCTTCTTCTCCAGCCTTCAATCTTTCCCAGCATCAGGGTCTTTTCAAATGAGTCAGTTCTTCGCATCAGGTGGCCAAAGTATTGGAGTTTCAGCTTCAGCATCAGCCCTTCCAATGAATATTCAGGACTGATTTCATTTAGGATTGACTGGTTAGATCTCCTTGCTGTCCAACGGACTCTCAAGAGTCTTCTCCAACACCACAGTTCAAAAGCATCAATTCTTCAGTGCTCAGCTTTCTTTATAGTCCAACTCACATCCATACATGACTACTGGAAAAACCATAGCTTTGACTAGATGGACCTTTGTCAGCAAAGTAATGTCTCTGCTTTTTGATATGCTGTCTAGGTTGGTCATAGCTTTTCTTCCAAGGAGCAAGGGTCTTTTAATTTCATGGCTGCAAGTCACCATCTTCAGTGATTTTGGAGCCCCCAAAAATAAAGTCTCTCACTGTTTCCATTATTTGCCCATCTATTTGCCATGAAGTGATGGGACCAGATGCCATGTTCTTAGTTTTCTGAATGTTGAGTTTAAAGCCAACTTTTCCACTCTCCTCTTTCACTTTCATCAAGAGGCTCTTTAGTTCTTTGCTTTTTGCCATAAGGGTGGTGTCAAAGTAGAGAGAATATCATGATAAAGTCTCATATACCGATCACCTCATCTTAATAATTACTATCGTTTTACCATATTTCCTTCATCTATTTTCTCTTTCCTCAATTATTTTAATTTAAGCCCCAGATATCATGACTTTAGCCTCTAAATGTTCCAATATACCTCTGAAATTAAAGATGTTTTCACTCTAGCTTTGTCTTGTGATTCACTCATCAACTCAGATTTTCTCACTTTGAACTTGGACTATGCTCCTTCTCCTGTCTTCCTTCCTTACTGTGTGTCAGCAGAAGAAAGTCATTGAAAAAGCTATATATTGTAGGCAGTGTGCTCAACCTTGGAATATAGAAATGAATAACATCATATCTCTACTCCCAAGAAGTTGGGACCTAATGGCTCTCAGAGAAGTCCTCCATGATCTGCCAGCTTCTCATAGTACAAGACCTGTATGCCACCTTTGGATAGCCATTTACTTGGTCTGTTCCTTTTGGCTGTATTGACTATGCCAAAGTCTTTGACTGTGTGGATCACAACAAACTGTGGAAAATTCTTAAAGAGATGGGGATAATAGACCACCTTACCTGCCTCCTGAGAAATCTATATGCAGGTCAGGAAGTAATAGTTAGAACCGGACATGGAAAAACAGACTGGTTCCAAACTGGGAAAAGAGTACATCAAGGTTGTATATTGTCACCCTGCTTATTTAACTTTAATGCAGAGTACATCATGTGAAATTTAACTTATATGCGGAGTACATCATGTGAAATGCTGGGCTGGATGAAACACAAGCTGGAATGAAGATTGCTGGAGAAGTATCAATAACCTCAGATATGCAAATGACACCACTCTTATAAGGGAAAGTGAAGAACTAAAGAGCCTTTTGATAAAAGTGCAAGAGGAGAGTGAAAAGATCCCACATGCAGTGGGGCAACTAAGCTCTCACACTGCAACTCCTGAAGGCCATGTGCTGCAGCAAAGACCCAGCATAGCCAAAATAAAAAATAATAATTTTTTAAAAAAGATCATATTGGTTGAAGTATCAGGGAAGGAAATATAGGGTTGAGGGTATTCACAGGCCACACTTCATAAATAAATGTGCATCACACACCAAGTTGTGGTTGTGAGCTCAGAGGAGGACTGTCCTTTATTCCTATTTAGAAAATATACTTTTTCAAATTTATACAAAATCTTTTAACATTGTGGACAGTCACTGCAATCTCATGTTGCTTTTCTTTCCTTTCTCCTTAAGAGTTTTATTTTAATGACAGTGAGAGAAAAATGTATTACCACGTTGAAAACTGGCACTGATTTAACAGTTAGGGAGCTTTAGAATTTAACTCAAAATGTTTGAAATGCAGCTGCTACTTATTATATGTCCAGAGAAACTTCCTGGGTGGCAGGAAGTTGAAAGGGGAGGAGAGTTTTATAATCACCAAGTAATTTGAAATATAAATAACTTTGATGTGGTAAATGTAAATGCTCAGACCACAAGGACTAGGTTTCCTCCAGAATATGCATGGATTGGATGAAGGAGGATAGGTGCTTAGGTGACAGACGCTTTATATTACATTTATATTTTGTCTGTCTAGAAACAAATGAGAGCTTTGGGCCCCAAACCATAACCATCCTCCCCCATTCCTACCTTAAATGTCTCTCATATGGGTCATTTCTTTCAAGATGGTTCATATGGGGAAAGTTAAAAGATGCAAACTGCTTGGCCAAATTCCATAGCTATTGTTTTCCGTGTCTGGAAGACTGAAAAAGTCTGTCATTCCAATTATGAGCAATGAGTTACCAGTTGGACAATTTGTCACTGCTTTCTTTTTCTCAAAAACATGCATTCCCCCTGCTTAGGTGTTCCCTGTAAATGATGAGGCACCCGTGCTAAAGGCGGACCTCATTCCCATGATGCGTTGCGCCGAGGGTGAAGAGGTGGTCATCACTTCTGAATACATTTTTGCTACTGATGTGGACAGCGATGATTTGAAGCTGATGTTCATGATTGTTGGAGAACCTCAGCATGGGACTGTGAGGCGAGCTGGGGTCACAGTACATCAATTCTCTCAGGAAGATGTTGTTGCAGGGGCTGTGACGTACAAACACACAGGTAGGTGACAGCACCGTGATGAGTCTGGGCGCGGGGATGCAATAGCATTACAGAGTCTTAGCTCACTTCTTGCTGTGGGCTCTGATAATCTCAGTCTTAATCCTATTTTTCAAATATGATCACCATATTCAGCAGTGTTTCTAGATCTCTCAGTAATACAGTGAATTTCACAGAAAGAACAAATGTTATTGCTGCTATGTTCCTGATGCTTCCACATAGACTTTCAATTCACTCTGGCTCGTCCCCATCCCTATTTTGGTCAATTTGAAGAAGGCTATTTGGCCATCCCACTCTGGTTCCATATATCATACCAAAAATACCTGAAATAGGTTAACTTGAGAAGTTTTTTGATTATTAGCTAGTTCCTAAGAAGTAACTGGTCTGCCCTTTGGGTTCTTGAAGAGCAAAGATGATGTTTTATGCTTTGCATAACCTGCCCACAGCGCCTGACAGTTGTGAACACAGATTGAAAATACAGTAAATGCTTGTTTGTTAGCATTGTAGTTACATTTCTGGCATTGCATTATATTGCTATTTAGGTGGCATTTATTCCTTATGTAAAATATTCACGTAAAAAATGTAAACATCCGAAATCTATAAATCACAGTAGTAGGCATAGTATGCTCAAAGGAGTATAATCCAGACCCGAAGATGAACCCTATTCCCATGGAAAGATGATAGTAACACCTCTGTCCTTCACGACATCGCTACCCCTGTTACAGCTGATTTCTGGGTTGGGGGCACCTCCCCAGTAATAATGCCATGGACTTCCTCTAACTAACTTTTATCACACTCCGTTACTGTTTTATGTTTACTCATCCGTATGCCTCGCTAACCTAGATTCCAGGGGGAATTATGACTGAGTGTGCCAGGCCAGGTAAGTGGTACAGGAAGGAAGAGGTATCAGAATTCAAATCTTTTTATTTGAAAAGACAGAGAAAGCGAATACAAGCAGTGATGTGAGAGGGAATTCAAGGAGGGGAACTGAGATAGCTCAAGTTTAATTTGGACATGGGGGAAAACATTTTGAAATAATATTTTTAAATGTACTTTGGAAAAAAACAATTTATTAGGATACCAGTTGCCTCAAGGCCAATTAGTATGGCATACTTTAATCACTCCACTAGACATCTTTTTTCTTGAAATAATATCTCTTTATCCTCTCTCTGTTAAGTCTTTGTTCTTGTTGTTCAATTGGTAAGTCGTGTCTGACTCTTTGCAACCCCATCAACTGCAGTATGCCAGGCTTCTGTGTCCTTCGCTTTCTCCCAGAGTTTGCACTAATTCCTGTCCATTGAGTTGGTGATGCCATCCAACCATCTCATCCTCTGTCATCCAGTTCTCTTCCTGCCCTCAATCTTTCCCAGCATCAGGGTCTTTTCCAATAAGTTGGCTCTTTGCATCAGGTGGCCAAAGTACTGGAGCTTCAGCATCAGTCCTTCCAGTGAATATTCAGGGTTGATTTCCTTTAGGATCGACTAGTTGATCTCCTTGCTGTCTAAGGGACTCTCAAGAGTCTTCTCCAGCACCATGGTTGGAAAGCATCAATTCTTCCATGCTCAGCCTTTTTTGTGGTCCAACTCTCACATCTGTATGTGACTTGGAAAAGGTTTTGTTGGCTCTTTCTTTGTCCTGAGAAGTATAGTCCACTTACTCAATGTCTCTCAATGTCAGAGTTCACAAATAGGTGTTTCTTTTTGATTTGCCCAAACAGACTATCAGAAAAGTGATCTAGAGACCAATATTATGGTTTGTTACATAACTTTAACACCTTTGAAAGGCTCATTTGGCATAGATACATTATGGGTGAGATGAAACTATCTTCTCTTTAAGCCTGTGCCTTGTTCCAGGTACTAAACAACAGTAGACATACGTATAGTTATACGTTTAGTGTAACGGCCATACAAGGGAGTATTAACACGTTTTTTTTTTTTTCCTTCAAAGACCTAGTAGGACACTGGTACAAATTCTTTCAGATAGACATTTTTGTTATGTTAATAAATAACAGAAATACTGTATTCAAAAAATATTTTATTTGAATGATACTTTTGCTTGTAATGTTCACTCAGTTACTCGGTAGTGATTAGCATTGTTTAGAATGAGTAAAGAGAAACTCAGAATAGGAGCTAAAATTTCGGTGGCCCTGCGCTTACCTTCATACATTGGTTGTCAAGATTACCAAAGAACAATTGTTGTTGTTGTAGTTTTAGTCACTTAGTTGTGTCCAACTCTTTTGCAACCCCATGGACGGTAGCCTGCCATGCTCCTCTTGTCCATGGGATTCTCCAGGCAAGAACACTGGAGTGGGTTGCCCTTCCTACTCTAGATCTTCCTGGCTAGGGATTGAACCTGCATCTCCTGCATTGCAGGTGAATGCTCTACTGGTGAGTCACCAGGAAACCTGATATCAATTGTATCACCCTTATTCTATTTATTTATTTTTGTGATTATGAAAATAATTTATACTCATTACAGAAAGCTTAGAAAATTATGATAAAATTTTGAAAAATCAACTTATTTACCTCTGAAAGATAATCACTGTTAACATTTCAGTATTACAATATTTTCTTTTCCTTTTTCTAATTGTAATTTTTAATAGAGTTGCAATCATGTTGTATCTGCAGTTCCTTTAAATATTATTAAATGTTACAAAATTATTGTAACCATGTTTTAATCATTGAATAATATTTTATGATATAAAATTATTACTGATTTGCTATTCTCCAAACATTAAATATGAGGCCATTCAAAAATTATTTAATAAATAGTAGTCCAGTTAACTGTTTTCAGTATAAATTGTATCTTTAGACTGTATCTCATTTCAAGGTAAAGAATTCTTCGACCCATGTTGTAGCTGTTTTTTTGTGGCTTAACACTCAGCCAACTTTTCCAGCTCTTTCTACGAATGTCTCACATGCTTGTCTAATATTGAAATTACAGTTACTGAATGTACTATATTCAGTTTTTTGGTTCTCTAGGGAATCTTCCTGGCTAGGGATTGAACCTGCATTTCCTCAATGCATTGCAGGTACATTCTTTACTGCTGAGTCACCTGTTTTCATTTCCTAGAATTATTTTTCCATTTCTCTTCCCCACTCGCTCTTCCTACACGTCTTCTCTCCCATCTCCCAGTTCTCTGCCTTATCTGCCTTATAAACCACTCATTATTTAATGCTCAGTACAAAGTGAGCAAGGCCTTCTGGAAAGATTTCTCTGACTTTCCCTGGCATGTGCATTCTGCCCCCCATGCCATCATCAGCCTATGTTCTCATCCTCCTTCACCCTCAGCACCTAATGCATAATAATCAGGCTGAGATAGATGAATATTCCATTTAATAGGTTAAAAATGGCTAAGAGTAGCAATTGTATATGGTTCCACTTAATATATACACACATCTGTGGTATTTTAACCGGATTGCATTTCTTTCCTTCCCATTAGACTGTGTTCCCTCCTGACACATAGTAGGTCTTTGAACATTTGATATATTTTTGAACTGTCTTGACATTTTCAACATGTCAGTCTTTCCCTCTGCTGGAGCATGCAGAACACTAATTTTCACACAACAAGCATTAAATAAGTATCTATCAAGTGAGTATTGAATAAAAAAGCTTTATGCCAATTAACTTTTTTATAAATGTGAATAGATGAGTGGTGTCTTCCCCCCACTTTTCCTAAAGTAGAAGACTGATTGTTTAATTTTAATGTCTCAACTTTATTCTTTAAAAAAAAAATAAGCCCAGTCTTCTGATTCTTTAATCATATGGTTACTCAATAATATCATCTTGAATATTTCCTTGTCTGCCATTTTTTTATTGGAGTATAATTGCTTTATAATGTTTGTTAATCTCTGCTGTACAGTGAAGTGAATCAGCTATATGTATACTTAAATCCCCTCCCTCTTGAGCTTCCCCCCACCCCACCCTCCTAGTTCATCGCAGAGCATCAAGCTGGGATCTCTATGCTCTCTAGAAGCTTCCTACTAGCTATCTGTTTTACACATGTAGTGTTTGTATGTCAGTGCTACTTTCTCAATTGGTCCCACCCTCTCTTTCCCCTTCTGTGTCCAGAAGTCTGTTCTGTATATCTGCATTTCTTTTCCTGCCCTGCAAATAGGTTCATAAGTACCATTTTTTTAGATTCCCTATATATGCATTAGTGGTGTTGTTCATTTGCCCAGTCATGTCTGGCTCTTTGCAACACCATGGACTGCAGCATGCCAGGCCTCCCTGTCCCTCACCATCTCCTGAAGTTTGCCCAAGTTCATGTCTGTTACATTGGTGATGTCATGCAGCCATGTTATCCTCTGACTCCCTCTTCTTCTACCCTCAGTGTTTGCCAGCATCAGGGACTTTTCCAATGAGTCAGCTGTTCGTGTCAGGTGACCAAAATATTGGAGCTTCAGCTTCAGCAAAATTCAATGTTTATTCAGGGCTGATTTCCCTTAAGATTGACTGGTTTGATCTCATCAAAAGGTTCTTGATTACCCTCATCAAAAGGCTCTTTACTTCCTCTTAGCTTTCTGCCATCAGAGTGGTATCATTTGTATATCTGAGTTTGTTGATGTTTCTCCTACCTATCTTGATTCCAGCATATAACTCAGTCAGCCTGGAATTTCTTATGATGTGCTCAGCATATAGGTTAAACAAACAGGGTAACAGCAGACAGCCCTGTTGTACTGCTTTCTCAATCCTGAACCACTCAGTTTTTCATACAGAGTTCTAACTTTCTTTTTGACCTGCATGCAGGTTTCTCAGGAGACAGGGAAGATGGTCTGGTACTCCCATCTCTTTAAGAGCTTTCCACAGTTTGTTATGATCCACACAGTCAAAGGCTTTGGCGTAGTCAATGAAACAGAGGTAGATGTTTTTCTGGAATTCCCTTGCTTTCTCTATGATCCAGTGAATGTTGACAATTTGATCTCTGGCTCCTCTTCCTTTTCTAAACCCAGCTTGGATGTCTGGAAGTTCTTGGCTCATGTAATGCTGAAGCCTGGCATGCAAGATTTTTAGTATGACCTTACTTACATGGGAGAGATATGCATTAATATTTGTTTTTTTCTTTGTGACTTACTTCACTTTGTATGACAGACTCTAGGTTCATCTACATCTCTACAGATGACCCAGTTTTGTTCCTTTTTAAGTTCTGTGTCATTTTTTTAAACAGGTGTAATAATTCCAAGTACAATGCTCTATAGATTTGACCAATGTGTCTTGTGAAAAGAGGTGTTGCTCCTGATCTTTTGTGCCCTAGTCTCATTGAAACTTCAAACATAATTGCTTCCCTCTTGGCACTTTTAGAGTAATGTATGAGAATTATCGAAAGCACATCTACAGAACTTTTCTGCCCCCTGGATAGTAAGCACTCCTTCCTACTTCTGTGCTGTTCATTAATAATCCAAGAATAGATTGTCCTATTTACTGATTAAGTATCTAGTCCTGATATTTTCCTCCTTCCTCTCACAACTTAAGTTGGGACCATTTTGAATCCCATAGATGGAAGCTCTCAAGAGTAAAAAGAAGATTAAAATTAGGGTCTCTTCTTATCCAGGTGCTGTTGCTATTTTGCTAACATCTTGACTATACGTAATGAGGAAAATACTGAAGCAAATGACAAAGATGTGGGTTATCTTTGTATTTCACCTATCCAGCTTCTTCTGCAGTGAGTGGTTGTTCAATTAAGGAGGTTAATGCAAATGGGAGGACAATTACCAGAGGGACAGGGTGCCTTCTGTTTTCCCTGCGGTTGGTCCTAACACTAATAATTATGGGAGAAGAGTGAAGCCATCCCGAGTCCAGCTCTGTGTCTCCCTTGTTCATTTGTGAACTGTCAGACCCTTGTTAGCCCTGTTTTGCCCCTCCATATGGTGATAGATGGCTGGCAGGGTTTTCACCAGAGGCAACAGATGGGCAAGCATTTCTGCATTATTTTCATGACTCTATTTAATTTCATAGTAATAAAATTGAGTTTCACATTTTAACCACATAAGTTCCTTTCCGTGCCATTCTACACTTGTAGAGGAAGTCTAAGGCAATTTCATCTTGGTATTCTGCATTTTTTAAAAGTCATCTTTCAGCTGTAGTTGTGTCTTCCAGGTGGTGAGATTGGCCTGATGCCTTGTTTTGACACCATTGCATTGGTGGTTTCGGACAGAGAAGCTGGTCCTTTTGTGAATGGCTGCTGTTACAATGGACCTCATCCATCTGTTCCTCTTCATGAATCCTTTCCAGTGTATGATCTCAACATCACAGTGTATCCAGTGGACAACCAACCGCCTTCAATTGCAATAGGTGGCCATGTTTTTTCTCTTAAGCTTCTGTTATCTCACCTAGTCACACCTGTGGTCCTGTGAAATAATGCCCTTTATTATAGTCAAAATAGAAAACCACCATACAAAATTGCCTCTAATAATTGTCTCAATACAGATTTGTGGAAACCTCAGATCTGTGAAAGATTACAGGGCAAAAGAAATAACTTGTTTAAAAATTTAGATAAATCCATATGGAGAGAGAATGCAAATGTGTTTGTGTGTGTGTGTCTGTGTGTGTTTTAAAATGAAGACAACATTGTACTACTCAGATATTCTGGTTTTATTTCACATGGGAAAGTATCATTTACCTGGTAGAGACAGTAATTTATTTTATCCATAATAATTTCTGTTAGAATAGAATGAGTATACCAGTGGGACTATTTATATATATTTAACCTTGTTTGCTTTTTAGGAAGTCATCTCTTTGTAGGCACTATGTATATGTTCTGACTCTCAGAAAAGAAATGCAAGCATATGTATGAATGTTATTGTAATTTGCAAACTGTCTCCCAAGCAGTGTTCTGGAAAGGAAGCATTATCCCTGCAGAATAATTAAGCACTACGGCATGAAAAAAATGCTCGTTATGAGCAATTCATAATAGTTCTCAGGCAATTAACGCTCTGACAAACAGAGGTAACAACTGATCTTGAATAGTATATAAACCACATTCAGTGGCTTATCATTAAAACATTTTGGCAATTCTTATTTTCATTTGTCACTTCTATAGAGACACTTGGGAAATCAGAGTTCCTTGAGAATGACTAAAGGGCTGTACTGGAGCATTTAGTATTTCTTCTATCTTTCCGTAATAGTCTGGCTTTCTTAGACAAGAAAAAATATAATTCCATAAGTCAAATTAAATTCCACCCATTACCCCTGAATATTTTCACCATAAGGAGAATTATGGCAAAGGAAATGAACATCTCCCATGGAAGTACATTTGCGTATAGGAGGCACCTCTGAATTGGAATTTCAATCACTCCCTTTTGTCCTCACTATTCTGATTAGAGGATTTCACAGTAAGTCATAATTGTGTTATTATTTGTATGCAGGTACCATATTCATTGTAGATGAGGGTTTCTCAGCAGCCCTTACCGTTAACCATTTATCTGCCGCTGACCCTGACACTGCAGCAGACGACTTGGAGTTTGTTTTGGTTTCTCCTCCCCAGTTTGGCTACCTTGAAAACACACTCCCTTCTGCAGGTTTTGAAAAGAGCAATATGGGCATCAGCATAGGTGAGTCGTGGTTTCATGTCCAGCAATAATCAGCCTTTGTTTGAGACTCTCATTGATTAGGTTATGTGTAATAACTGGGTTAGGACTTAAAAAACGTTCAAAGTACTACACTTGAGGAATTATTATCACTGATACTTTCAAATACTATTGTTTTTCATTCTAATTTTTCATTTAAAATTTCCCATGTATGGGAGTTTACTTCAAAATAAACGGAAATTACACTTATGGAAAATTTAAGGATAAATATCAAAGAAATAACATTTTAAAAGGCCCTCATAGCAACACAGAATACTGTGACAGAATAAATCTGGTGGAACTCACAGTCTTATGCTCACTTTTAAAAGATACAGGCAGAAAAGACAAGGAAATATATCATGGAAATATTGAAGGTAATGACATTAATTTTAAAAACAAAGTGTGTCTTGGAAACTTGAATAGCTCTGGAGTTTCAGTTGAAAAGAAAACAGCCAAAGCAAAAACAAACACCAAAACCAAAATCATTCAAAGGCAACACTTCAGAAGTAAATTATTCTGTAAGCACCTTTTGGGGCATATCCATTTTAAATACAAGAGAAGCTGGGTTTACAATTAGTTGTGTTAGTATAATGAGTAGGAAAAACAAGACACCACTAAACGCTGCCTGTAGGAAACTCACTTCAGCTTCAGGCTTAAAATGATGGGATGGTAAAAGATATTCCTTGCAAATGGAAACTGAAAGAGAGCAAGGGTAGATATACATAAACTAGACAAAATAGTTTTTTAAGTCAAAAGTATAACAAGACACAAAGAAGGTCATTATATAATGATAAAGTGTTAATTCACTGAGAGGATATAATAGTGGTAAATGTATATGCATACAATATTGGAACACTTAAATATATTAAGCAAATACTAGAAGAACTGAAGAGGGTAATACTCAACAATACAATAATTGTAGGGACTTCAGTGCCCCATTTTCAACAGTGGATGAATCATTCGGATGGAAAATCAGTAAGAAAACACTAGACTTGAACTATATATTAGACCAAATGAACCCAACAGACATACATATATTCCATTCAACAAAAGTAGAATGCACATTCTTCTCAAATGCATAGGAAACAGTCTCTGGGATAGATCATATAATGAGTCACTAAGCAAGTCTTAACAATTTAAAAAGATTGAAATTGTACCAAGTATCTTTTTTTTTTTTAAACCACAATGGCATGAAGTTAAAGTCAATAACTAGAGTTAACTAAAAAGTTCCCAAATATGTGAAAATTAACACATTCCTGAATAACCAATGGATCGAAGACTAAATATAAGAAAGAAATTTTAAAATCTTAAATAAAAATATAAATACAACACAGCAAAATACATGGAATGCAGCAAAAGCAGTGCTGAGGAAAGTTTTATAATGATAAGTGCTGCATTAAAAAAGTAAATAACCTATAACTAGAAAAGCAAGAACAAATTAGGCCCATATTTAGCAGAAGGAAGGATATAATAAAGACCAGAGGAGAAACAAATAAAGAACAGATAAACAATGGGGAAGGTTAATGAAACTGAGTTGATATTTTTTAAAAGATAAAAGAAATTGGCAAACTTGTAGCTAGACTTAACAGTGAAAGTTTGAAAAATTTCCCTCTAGGATCAGGAACAAGGCAAAAATTCCCACCTGCATCACCCCTATTCAATGTAGTACTGAAAATCATAGCCAGAGATGGAAATAAAGGGTATTCAAATCAGAAAGGAAGAAGTAAAATGTTTCTATTTGCAGATGATGTGATATTATATATGGAAATTCTTAATGACTTCACCAAAAACCATTAGAACTAATGAACAGATTCAGTAGTTTCATGGTACAAAATCAACATACAAACTCAGTTGTATTCCTATACATGGACAATAAACTTTCTGAAGAAGAAACAGAGAAAGCAATCTCATTTATAATAGCATAAAAAACAGTAAAATATATAGGAGTAATTTTAGCCAAGGTAGTGAAAAATTTATATACCAACTGTAAGACATAAAATTAGTGTCTTGATGAAAGAAATTGAAGAGGACACAAACAAATGGAAAGACATCCCATGTTAATGGGTTGAAAGTGCTAATATAGTTAAAATGTCCTTACTCCCAAAGCTATCTGTAGATTCAGTGCAATCCCTATCAAAATTCCAATGACTTTTTTTTCTTATAGAAATAGAACAGATAATCCTAACATTTGTATGGAACCACAAAAGACTTCAGATAGCCAAAGAAATCTTGAGAAAAAAGAGCAAAGTTGGAAGCATCATACCTGCTAATTTCAAACTATTATTGCAAAGCTATCACAATCAAAGCAGAAAAAAAAATAACAAGCACATGGATTAACATAACAGAATAGACTGGGTTCAATCCCTGGGTAAGGAAGATCCCCCAGGCAAGAATACTGGAGTCCCTACATCCTAGTTAGCAGTTACAGCCCTTCTGTTCTCCATGCAACTTTTAATTCTTCCTGGTAATTTATGGATATGTTTTTATGTTGATGGGTATAGTCATTATAGAAGTCTGTGATAACTGATCCTTAGGTCAACTGCTGTGATCTCTTATTTGCTCTGCTGAGCAATAGGCTATTGGGTTAAGGGCTAAGGACCAGTAGCTTGGGAAAATCTATTTTTCTTATTTACCTGCTCCATTTTGTTGTGCTCTAGCTTCGTTTCAGTGGAAAGACATGAAGGCTTTACATATTAACTACGTGCAGTCCAGGCATCTGGGGATGGAACCAACAGCTGACAAATTTATGTTGTATGTCACCGATGGGAAGCGACGCTCCATGGAGATACCATTTTACATTATAATCAATGCTACAAATGATGAAGCTCCTGATTTTATAGTGCAGAATATTACTGTAAGAAAGATAATTTGAATTTTTAGCCTCTCTCTATCATTTTCTAGTTTTTGTTTTCACCTAATCTATTTACATCGGTCTATGTGCACTTAACACATCAAGTTAGTGAGTAAAGAGGGCAGTAACCTATGCTATGTAATGCAATCACTTGATAAATATTTTTCTAATAGTAATGATGATGGTCATGATAATAATGATTGCTAACAGGTAGCAATTGCATAGTTTAAATTATAGTTGTCTGTATATAGAATGCAGTACTTGCTAGTAGGTCCTGTTGCAAACCCTTTACATGTGTTCATATTGAATCCCCATAATAGGCTTTTAAAGTGATGGCATTATTATTGCCATGTAATGACTGCAATAAATGAGACTAAAAAGGTTAAGTTAGTGTCCCCAGATCACAGAGCTTGGCAGTAAGTAAAAAGTAGGGGATTTGCACCCAGGTGCTCTGATTCCATAGCATGCTACCTTAACCAGTGTTATAATAGCAAGGACTCTTAATTCACAAACTACAGGCATCTTTTTTTATATAGCTGTTTATAAAGATATATGACTGGAAAAAATACAATTTGGACCATTATTTTTGTGCAGTTTTAAAATGCCATTATATTTTTTTCCATTTATTTTTATTAGTTGAAGGCTAATTACTTTACATCATTGCAGTGGTTTTTGTCATACATTGAAATGAATTAGCCATGGATTTACATGTATTCCCCATCCCAGTCCCCCTTGCCTCCTCCCTCTCCACCCTATCCCTCTGGGTCTTCCCAGTGCACCAAGTCCGAGCACTTGTCTCATGCACCCAACCTGGGCTGGCGATCCGTTTCACCCTAGATAATATACATGTTTCGATGCTGTTCTCTTGAAACATCCCACCCTCGCCTCCTCCCACAGAGTCCACAAGTCTGTTCTATAATTATATTATGTAATAATATTTGTTAGTTTTATTTAAAAATTTAGACATAGTTAAAGTGGCCCAGCATATCACTGATGAGATAATTGTTGTCTTAAAAAAAATAATAAATATGTGGTTAAACAAGTTAGAATGTTGTGAACCTTACACAGTGAACTATGAAATTCTCCCTCTTTAACAGTCCCTCTGCATGGTCACTCCCCATCAGTTGAGTTTTTAGTAATTAATTTCCACAGAAGTAATTTGTGCCCATGCCAATGATATGTATGTATGTATGTATGTATATGACTTTTCTGTATGTTTTCACCTACAAATCAGAGATCATTAATATAGCCTGCTTTCTGCTTAAAAAAGTCTTTGATTACTATATTTTAATATTGTCATATGAGCATATAATTATTTTTACACAATCCTAATTTTTATGCAATTATTTAATTCAGACATACCTATAGCATATTCTGATTAAATGAATGAATACTGGCTTTGGAATATGAGGGACTTGGTGTTGCTGTTTACTAGTCGTAGTGTCCTGGGTAAGTTATTTCTCTCTGTGTTTTTGTTTCCTCATCTGCAAAATGTGTATCAGATCTTCCTTTAGGGTGGCCATGATTATCATGATGGTCAGGCACATTTTGCTGTTGTTCAGTTGCTAAGTCATGTCTTACTCTTTGCAACCCCATGGACTGTAGCACCCCAGGCTCCTCTGCCCTCCACTGTCTCCTGGAGTTTGCTTAAATTCATGTCCATTGAGTTGGTGACACTATCTAAACATCTCCTTAGAAACCCTTATTAAATAGGTGTCATTCATATTAGTCTTGTTACGTCTGTCGTCTTTTATCAGACATTGATCAGAGTTGCTTTGAAACTATTATTTTGCCTTATTTTTCACTAAAAATCATCAAATTCTAAATGCAGAAGTCTTTATTTGATTTTAATTTTCTGCCAAGTCTTAATGGTATATAAGACTTAAAAGGATGAGACTTAAAAGTCTCAGAATGAGACTTAAAAGCCAGCTCCTGCCATTCCTCTTCTGTTGGCACATGGATTTCTCCAGAGGGCACTTCAGTAATTATGAGAGAGAGAAGAAATTACAAATGACTCCTTCTATACCTACCTCTATTGTCTTGTATCTATCTAGGGTTGGAGTTTCTGAAATAATTAGGCCACTGGGAATTTGTCTCTTGCTCTTCTCTGAAAGTAATCATGCCTTTTTTCTCCCCTGTGAATTGCTTACAGAGGCTGTTGAAGAGTAACAAATATGGGGCCCCATGTGTTATTGGCAGAGCTGGCTTTAAGCTTCCAGTGATTTTTTAAAATAGTCATATGTATTTTGCTTTCTTGTGGAAAAGTGTATTTATTTTATAGCTAGCTGGGCTTCCATCAAGTTGTGCTGCAACTTGCAGCACAAAAAAATTGAGATTTTAAGTTATTATAATCCATTTCAAAGCTGTCTACTAGTGAGTTTCTGTGTTTTATGTCTATTTATCTAAACCTTTTATTTAGTCTCAATAAATTATTGAATGTGCAAAGAAAAATCTCACATTCTTTTGATAAAATTTCCCAGTCATCTTGTGAATGAATTTACCATTTTGTAAATGGGAAAGGTTGCCATACAATGAGTCCAGGAGTTCCGAGCTTTATAAAGAAAGATGATTAGAACATCTTTTTTAGGTTGCTTTATTAAAGTTTTTGGAGAAAAATGCAAGTTACTATCAAAGATGATTCCCTAGTTCTATCACCGTGCATTAAATTATTATGCCATCTCAGTTTTTAGAATGTAGGCTAGATAAAAGGGAACCAGCATAATTTTAGCCTAAATGTCAGATATTATGATTCTTGTTATGTACATGCAAGTAGTTGTAGGAAGGCTCTTTTCAAAGTCCTCAAGAGAGGCTGAAGAGAGAGTATTTTCACAAGTCTAAAGCCCATGTCTTCTTCAAATCTAAAATGTCCACTCAGCCACAAAGACATTCCTGGATTCCTCCACCCTCTCCTACTTCTTGTTTATCTGTATTTAGTAGAGCGAGATATTTTCTTCCTTGTCTTATAATTAATGATGAACAGGACATCACAGTCTCATCTGGACTTTGATTCTTTAGAATATTCATATTCTTACAGTGATTCTGTACATGCCCAATAAACACATACTAAACTTACATACTCATATTATTTAGATCTTGCTGTATTTCACAGTAGGAAGCAGAAATACTTTTTTGTTCCCTTGCTATGAGAAAAAGAAGATGAAGATGACTAAGCACCATGTTAATGGTACAAATGTTTCTAAATAACTATATCCTACATGAAGTGAAAAACATTCAGGTCTCTTTATGCTTAAAGGATTATGAAACTTGAAGTGGAATATGGGGTTGTTCAGGCGAATTAGTGGTGTGAGGACAGAGAAGAGATCAGGGACCCAGCATTAAAATATATACTGTTGTGTATCCAGGAGCATCCTCTCAACTGTGGTTAACTGTAACTGAGATATAGCAGTGTTTGCTGCAATGATGAAAATTAAATATACCTAACACCCCCCAGTGTGTGTAGCAGATATCTGTGCCATTTGTAAAGCAGAAAAAAAGAACTGTGAGAGCAGCAAGGTGCAGAGGTTAAAATGGCAGGTTAGGACAACCAAGGTCTACACCCAGTTTTACAACTGAACTCTGTGGCTTCCAGAAAGCAAGCATCCTTTTGGTTGCTTTAGTCCCTGATCTTTGAATTATGAATTATATATATGAGATTATGTGTATATATATATATATGTATTTATATCCTTATTTATTTATTTATTTATATCCTTAGTCCTTCATGGAAATGAATAAAGTGCTTTGAAATCTTCAGAAAAACACATGAAAAAGATGAATAGATGTCTTATTGTCTTCTAAGGTCATGTTAAACTAGCAATTTCTTTTTAGGACTCATTACACACAAACCTCATGGAAAATTTGTGGGGATCTCTTAAAATTATTTTTTGAGCTTTTTGCCAAAAGAAAGACAGGTTTCATTTCACATGTGGCTGACTTCTTTTGTTTTTGTTTAGGTGTGTGAGGGTCAGATGAGAGAGCTGGATTCTTCCATCATCAGTGTTACTGACCGGGACATTCCCAAGAACCCCTTGCTGTTCAGTATCGCTCACAAACCACGTCATGGCCTCCTCATCAATAGGGCATTTAGCAGAAACTTTTTTCAATATAAGCAATCAGCCAGCCCTGACCAGAAGTATGAACTTGTCTACAACTTTTCCATGGAACTTCTCAAGAATGGTATATCATGTTTCATTTCAATTTGTTTGTTGTTGTTGATTTTATAATTTAACCCAGAAAAGATAGTAATAAACCACAGAAAGAGGAATTGAAGAAATGGCCTTTGCCTATATTCATTTACCCCTCAAGGGTTTTCTCTGGGCTCTGGATTAATGCAGAGCATACAGTCTCAGCTAGACAGAGTGGGTAACTGAAAAAGAAATAGTGTCTTTTCTTTCACCTTAAGAGCATCAGTAAAAATGATATTTTTGAATTTTGGTATTTTACCCCAAGATTTTAATCACATAATAAAAAAATTCCTTTTAAAAACTATTGAGATTATGGAACTAAATTTAAAGAGATTTGTCTGTCAAAACCTCCACATTTGAAACAAATATAGAACAACCTATAATAATTCATTATTCTCTGAGGTGCTAATTTGCTCTTTAAGGAAATGACACATTGAAAGAGCAGCCTAAAGTATTTTTTCATTACTGTTTTTGAAAAATTGATCTTATCCCATATGCTCATGTGCTCAGATGTGTCCAACTCTTTGTGACCCTATGAAGTGTAGCCTGCCAGGCTCCTTGGTCCATGTGATTTTTCAGGCAAGAATACTGGAGTGTATTGCTGTTTCCTTCTCCAGGGGATCTTCCTGACCCAGGGATCAAACCTAAAACTCTGTCAAACTGTTTTCCAAAATAGCTGCATCATTTTACTTTTCTCCCAGCTATATATGAAAGTTCCATTTTTCTATGTGAATGTTATATAGGCTTTAAAAATAGTTTCTTATTTAAGTTTTGATTCACCTAAGATTTATTTTGATTGTTGGCTTGAGGTAGGGATCGAAATACAAATTCCCCTAAGTAATGAACTAATTTTTTATTTCATTTAAATACCCTGTCACCATTGTTCTGTTTTGGTTTATTGAATAATATATTTTTCCTCAATGACTTTAAGTAAGACCCTTATTAAATACTAACTTATTTAAATAGGAACTTTTAATGAACTAGAGTTTACTCTTACTTTATAAAATAGTTTGATTTTACCTTATTGTGCTGATTAATGAGCTCATGCTAATAACAATGCCTTGGAAATTAAAACAAATTACTTGTGACAGGTTTTGAAATGGTTTAATCGTAAGAAAGATTTACTTTCTCTCTTTCTCCCCTTTGTCCAGGAATGAGGTTGATGTACATGCATGATGATTCAGAGACTCTTGCTGATGACTTTACAATCCAGGTGTCAGATGGGAAACATAAAATACTTAAAACCATTTTTGTAGAGGTCACCCCAGTTAATGATGAAAAACCAATGCTGAGCAAGTAAGTTACCTGAAAAGAGTCCATTTGAGATTCTATATGAAGTTCTAAGGTCTGGAATACTAGATGCAAGTATAATGTATTTCCTCCAGAGAAAAGTCTTTAACAATTCCTGCCTGTTGCAACTTTCCCACAGACTTAAGCACCTAGAACCTTCAGTGCAAATGTTAGTTAACATAACTCCTCCTTAAAATTTCTCAAATTAGCCTTTTAATTATTTGGTTTTCCTCTAAAACTTCTATTTAGTTGTCAGTAATTCAAAATGACCATACATACAATACAGAATGAACAGTGTGCTAAATATTTAAGCACATACACATATACACGTACACACAAGCCAGAGAGTAGTTAATAAATAAATTCAACTAAAGTGTGATAATACAACTGAAGACAGTCCTTACTGTGGATTCGATTAAGCTTTGAGCCAAGAGTGGCTGAGGGAAATATATTGCCATGATTTTTTCCATCTTCATATTTCATTGTCCTCCAGTCCTTTTCTGTGTCCCATACGGATCAATATCCTGTTGCCACCTAAGGTCAAGATGATCACCTTTTAAAAATTATGTACTGATATTATTCATTGCAACCTTTCTCAGTACCTGATCAGTTTGATCATAGATACAGAATCTTCATCAGTTATATTTCTTTAGTTCCAGCCATGTCTCTTATCATTGGCAACTGTAGAGAACTAAAAGGTTAACTAAAGGTTAAAACTTTAGGAAGCCCAACTCTTCTAACGTCCTAGATCGAGGGAGCTGTGTGCTTCTTGGTCACTCTTTGACCATGTCAATGGTGTAGCATGATGGGCATTGAGTAGCCAGTCTAAGTTTTTATTAGGAAATGAACAACTTCTTGAAAGTGTGTAAACTCCCAAAGTCTCCTCCACTTTACAGAAAAGAAAGAAATCCCTTCCTTATCTTGCTGTTTCCTTATGGCCACTGAGGTCCTTGGATGCTGGAGATAATTTTTTTGGAGAGTTGCATCTCAGACATCAGTTTGACTAAGAGTATTCAATAGGAAATTTTTGTGTGTGTGTCCTTAGGATTTGTGTATTTATAAAAGTTTTTTCAAATTGTATTGATTTCTGGGCTTATAACTCATCTTTCTTTATAAACTTCTTTCCTTATTTAAGGAATAATTATTTGTTTAAATTTATTTTTATTGGATTATAGTTCCTTTACAATGTTGTGTTCCCTGGTGGCTCAGATGGTAAAGAATCCACCTACAGGAGACCCAGGTTTGATTCCTGGGTTGGGAAGATCCCTTGGAGAAGGGAATGACTACTCACTCCAATATTCTTACCTGGAGAATACCATGGACTAAGGAGCCTGGCAGTCTACAGTCCATAGGATCGCAAAGAGTCAAATATGACTGAGTGACTAAAACTACTTTCCACTGTACAGCAAAATGAATCAGCGATACACATACTATTTCCTTATTTTCTAGCTGGAATGTTCGATTAGTATAATCTTAATTTATAAAATTGAAAATCTGAAAGATATTTTGGCAGTAAAAAGCCCCTTTCTGATGACCTCACTTTATCTATGAAAGAGGGAGAGAGGTGAAAAATGATGTTTATTAAATACTTTCTATACAACAGTGTGCTGGATTTGTTCACATATATTTATTTAAATCCTCACCAAAATTGTGTGAATTAGCTATTGTTTTCTTCACTAAGACAGCTGAGACCAGAAAGGTAAAATGACTTAAGGCACTCATTCAGTCTTATCTGATTTACTATTTCTTGCTAGGTTCTTGCCATTAAACTTCCTGGCATAGCTTCACCTACAGAATCACCAAAGTTCCTTCAGCCTGCTTTGAAATCTCTCCTTTTTTTCCCCTTTTCTTCTTTTCTCTTCCATATGTGTCCTTGAGCATATCACCTCTTGCCTTCTCTCAGAACATGCTCCATTATTTTTTCTCAACTGCATCTTCCGTCTCTTCCCTTTTCATTCCTTCTGCTAACAAGACACAGGGATATAGTTAATAGTGAAGGGAGCAAATTCTGGAGCCAAACTGTCTTGATTCAGCCACTTGTGGGTAGTGTGATCTTGGGGGGAAAAGAAAGTGAAAGTTCTAGTTCTTCAGTCATGTTCAACTCTTTGTGACTCTATGGACTGTAGCCCACTCAGATCTTCTGTTCATGGAACTCTCCAGGCAAGAATACTGGAGTGGATAGCCATTCTCATCTCTAGGGGATCTTCCTGACCCAGTGATCAAGCTCAGGTCTCCCATACTACAGGCAGATTCTTTACCATTTAAGCCACTAGGCAGGCCCTGATTTGATATTGAATGTATTACTTAACCTCTTGCTACCTCTTGGTCAACCTCTTTGTAAATGAGGGTAATAACGTATCCTTTTCATGTGGTTGTTGAAAGGGCTCAATGAATTAAAATATGTAAAAGTATTTGAAAGACTGGTTAGTCCATAGTAAGTTCTCATAAATGTCAGTTGCTATCATCATTGCTAGCAGATATCTTCATTTTGGACTACAATGGTGACCCAGTTCTTCATTCATCTCAGTGCCAAACTGTTTGAAGAAATAGCTTGTGCTTGCTTCTTCCATTTCTGCCAACTGTCTCCAAATCTAATGGCTTTCCCACCAAATCTAATGGCTTTTCTCATCTGGCCGGACCTTGTTAGTGCCCCTCCCTTTCACTTGTTCCTGAGGTCAGTTCCCAAATAAATTACCTACACTAAGCCTTTGTCCCTTTCAGGGTAACACATGGTGATGCACTTTCTTCTCTCTTGAACCCTCTGACATTTATTTCTGACCATTTCTTTCTACCCAACTCCTTATCATCTTCATTGTATTGGCTTCCTGTTTCAGTTCATCTATTTCTATTAAAAGCACCACTGGGAATTTCCTGGTGGTCCAACGGTTGGGGCTCCATGCATTCATTGCCAGAGGCTGGAATTCAATACCTGATCTGGGAACTAAAACACACAAGACGTGAGGCCCAAAAAATAAATAAATAAAGTCACCACTAATCTCCATAAGCCCCAAACCATCATTCTAGCCTCCTAGAATGATGTTGATCTTGGAGAGACAGCAATGAGTGTTCCTGAAGAAAAAAGATCTTAGTCTCTTGCCCCAGAATTGAACCTGGGTAGCCTGGATGAAAATGAGGAAGCCTCACCACTAGACAACAAGGGTCTGGAGGCTAGAAGCAAAGTGACTCTGGCTCTTATCCTTATTGAAAAATGCGTTTCTCAAGGAGGCCAAAACTGTAACAACAGGTACAAAGTTTATTATCAGAGACACAGTATAGCATATGGGAGAGCACATAGAGAATCATTTTGTGTGTTTAAGAGTGAAGCAAGGGAGAAATACACACCTGGAGAGAAAGGGTATGTGTCCACCCTAATGAGGAGGAGTGCAGTAAAGAGGTGATTTAAATCACTTACATAGGACAGTGCTTCCAGATCTATGTTTACCTTTGGCCAATTATCTTGTTTCTTTTCCCATATGTGACCTGTTCAAGGATTCTCCCCAACATGTGTGCGCACCTTTTTACTAAGATGGATTCCACTGCAGACGCTTGTGGGTACATGTCCACACAGGTGGTGCGCCCTGTCTTTTGACCACCAAGGAGTCTTCCTGCATTTGTGCAGACAGAGAAGTTTTCCTTGATCTCAGGATTGGTCCTCTTATCTCTTTACTTCAGCAGTGCTCAGCTTCTGCCACTAGCTTTGTCCTTGGAGTGTCCGGGTGAGAACAAAGCTGCAATTTTACTCCACTTGACAAACACCAGCTGTTCAGCCCGGGGGCCCATCTATCTCCTACCGTCTATCTCCTACCTCAGTGGTACTATAGTCTCTTGTAAAGAGGAGAGCAAAATTTGCCTCCTACTACCAGGGAAGATGTCAGTTCTGAGGAGGCCAGAGAAACCTAGTAAGGTTAGAACTGAGGTGTTTGGGCTTTGATTTCTCAGCAGAGGACTGGAAGGCTGTTGAGAATGGTCAGTTTGCTACAAAAATGTCCTTGATCTTAATCCCAAGGAGACTTCCCAGTTTTTCTCAGAAACAAAGTGTCACAGTTAGTTCATGTGTGATGACCAAAACCAAAAACAACAGGTGGAAAGAAATCCCCTCTTTAGTCTGGTGAGACCAGGGAAAATGGCAATAATGGCTATGAAGGCGGTCACCCTTTACAGGACACATGAAACCACAGAAGCAGCTTCTATGGTAGAAGTAGCAGCTGCTCCCTGCCCCAGCCTTCTCTTCAAGATGCCAGGAGTTGGCCGGCCAGCTGTGGCACTTGGAAAAGATGAATTGCTGTGAAAACAATGCTAGAATGCTAGTTATCCAGAAGATTATCAAAGAGAAAGAGTAATATAGAGGGCTACAGATTGCCTGAATATCACCAAATTCATAATGGTCTATCATAAAGGGTACCAGAATACCTGTGAGTAAGCCATTTCAGCTTTTTAAGTTTCTGTCTGTAAAATTAGAAGGAGAATACTTAGCCCACTTACTTCATGGAGCTGCTGTTGTATTTGTATCAAATAAAATTTTGGAAAAATATCAGTTTATAAAACAAGTTTTAATATAAAATTATAAAGTCTATACATGTAAACAGGAGTAGGTAATTACCTCATGCCATACTCATCAATCCTGGCTAAATGTTTTCAGCACTTTCACAGGTAAGGTGAAATGAGAGCTGGTTTCACAAGACTGACTCATCATGTTTAGTACTTTGGAGACTGAAAATCGTTCCCTAATTTTTGAAGCTTGAGCACTGTAATAATCATTATGACTGCCCCCTGTTAAAGCAATGTCTTCTGTTTCGGTATCAACCAGGTATCTTTTTTACAGGAAGGCTGAAATTACAATGAACATGGGTGAAACTCGTATTATTTCTAGTGCTGTTCTCTCAGCCATAGATGAAGACTCACCCAGGGAGAAGATTTACTATTTATTTGAAAGACTTCCCCAAAATGGGCAACTTCAACTTAAGGTTGGTCGCCTTTTTACTTTTATTTTTCAGATTGACTGTAACAGGTTTAAATTTTTTCAATGCACAGATTTGCATAACTGAATTTATTCTGTCGTAATCATATTTGGCCCAAAAGTAGAAATTCTAATTTTCCTACTTTGGAGTGAGCTCACACTATTCTAAATTTACTTACTCATTTCAGGGTAAATTCAACCAAAATCACGGTTTTTCACTGCTCATTTTTCCTTAGGATTGTACCTAAATTGGAGGATAGGAAGTTACGGGGGAAAGCAAGTTGTCTAGTTTCTGATGAGAAATCAGGCATACTTTGAGATATCTTTATTTCCATCAGATTTTTGTTTTAAAAAATGGGCTTTATTCTTTAGAGCAGTTTTGAATATCAACAAACTGATTCTAAAGCTTCTCTGGAGAGGCAAAATACCCAGAATAGCTAACACAATATAGAAGAATGAAATTCAAGGACTGACACTACCAGACTTCAAGACTGACTATATAACTATACTAATCCAGACAGTGTATGTTTGGTACAGGAATAAACAAATAGATCAATGGAACAGAACGAAAGTAAAAGTGAAATCGCTCAGTTGTGTACGACTCTTTGTGACCCTATGAACTACATGTAGCCTGCCAGGCTCCTCCATCCATGGAATTCTCCAGGCAAGAATACTGGACTGGGTTGCCATTTCCTTCTCCAGGGGACCTTTGCGACCCAGGGATCGAACTCCACCTCCCACACTGCAGGCAGACTCTTTACTGCCTGCGCCACCAGGGAATCAGAAATTTCTATTTCTGAGAGCTCAGAAATAGACCCACACAAGTGTGGCAAACCGATTTTTGACCAAGCAGTGGAGAAAAGATAGTCTTTTTACAAATGGTGTTCACCAGACTAGTTCAGACTTTGTATGTGATGCCCAAGGATCAACTCAATACAAATTACAGATCTGTCACTTGAGAAGGTCACTCGAGTAACTCATCAAAATGTCTATGTGATTATTTGAATGCTTAACTTTTAATAAAATGTAGACACAGCCTGATAATAGCAGCAAGGACGTATTCTGTGTGGAACAGCTTGATTGTCTTAGATTGTGGGCACCATAGAGAATCGAAGTGAAGAGAAATCACTGATTTAAACTCAGGTGCAGCTGTGGCCTTATTTCATTTCGGAGAGTAATGAAGCAGAAATACAGTGAGAGCTCACACATTTGGGTGGCATGGGAGCAAAAGTGTTTTTGGTTATGTAAAAATCCAGATGGGTCCAGGTTCCCAATGTGGCGCCATGGAGTTCTCTCCCAGCTCCCTAGGGGGTTCTCCAAGTCTCTCCAAACCAGGGAGCAGGCCTCTCGGACTTTCTCGTGCATGTTTGTTTTCTTGTTGACTATCTTGCATTTTACCCACCTTGAGTCCAACTCTTATTTTCTTCCTCTTTGGGGACTTACAGATGGATTTTGTCAAGTCAAAGCCCACACTTGGGAATGCAAGTAGGGAATTAGATGGAGATGAGGGAAAGTAAAATGTATCTTCTTCTGTATTTACTTTCTGGGAAAAGACTATTAAAAAAAAAGTTAAATAGATTACAGGCTGTCTGGTTTAAAACCTGAAGAGTGTCTGCTTTAAAAATTAAATTTTCAAATAGACCTTATAATGCAAACAAACAGTGAACTTAATTATTAGAATATAATTAGCTTTCACCCAGTGAGAACTGGGGCAGAGCATACCTATGTGTAAACATCAGCTGTGCATAAACATAAAAAAGGAGGCAACGTTATCAGATAGAGTGACAAAAGGAAGTGGTAACATGGTGAGGGGACAGGAGGGCATGTGAAATAATGTGTCAAGGGAAATAAAAAACAAATGTTTAAATTTCTGTTACAGTCTCTTCAAACATAGGAAAAGCACTAGAGGTAATATCAAATAGTAAATTTTTAAGATGGCATTTTTCTTGAATTATGTCAGATGACTTTTACAAGCTACTCTTAGGGAAATCTATACATCTTAAGAGAATAACAACAGAATTATTAATCAGAGACACATTTATTATTACTGCATTTTATAATACTCTCAGTTGTTAGTTCTCCCTCAGCATAAAGACCTCTTTTCATTGAAAATGCCACAGTTTCTGCACTGAGTTCTGTATAGAATATATGCTTAAATAATGCTGGGTTATTTTTAGAAGAGTATAACTAACAATACATATATGATATTTGTAGTTATTTTTGTGCAGACTCAGGATATAAATGTAGGGAATAATAGAAGTTTTGATCATTTTCTTTGGTCTTTAGGAAACCTGAAAAACATAGGGACAGTAAATACACCCATTCTGTTTGTGTTTTATCTACTTCAGATAACTCCAGTAACAAACTGGTTTGAAATACAGATTTTATTAGTTGGACAATGATATGAACTAAAAAGAAAAAAGGAAATCCCAAGTGAAACACGTTTTATTTTTAAAGAATCAATTCCAACAGCTCAATTACCCACCTGCTCTCCTCAATTGAAATATTTAATCAGCTATGATGGCTTATGATAGATACCTTAGTAGCACTGCAGTTGAATTGCCACATGACTTTGCCAAAAATTCTTTGCTTACAGCTAGTTTTTCCCCCCAAGGTCTGAAATGATTTCAATACATTTATTTCAATGGAAAATATGAGGTAGAATGGCAAAATAATTGAATCTGGGGTTTCCCTGAAATATTGTTTATATTGGAAGTTTTCAGAGGATATGGAAGATGTTCACTAACACACCTTGGGAGGAAGGGAAGCCTGGGCAGCTGACTAATTCTGGCATCTTTCAGATAGGGAGGGACTGGGTCCGTCTGTACCCTGGCATGAAATGCACTCAGGAAGAAGTGGATTTGAACTTGCTGAGATATACACACACCGGGGCCATGGACTCCAAGAACCAAGACAGCTTCACCTTCCACCTCTGGGATGGTGACCATAGGTCACCGGCCTTTGACTGTGACATCACCATCAAGGATATGGGGAAAGGTAAAGCATTTCTAGCGGGCTTTATCGGGACAGACTTATACAGCAGAAGTGCACTGGTGTAAACCTCTCCCATCTTCTCTCCCTCTCTTCCTCCTTCCCTCCTTTCCTTTCTCCCTTCCATCCTTTAGACTTGAAATTCCATCAGTTATGATTTGATCCTTGGGCTCCTCACTTGTTTTGCCTGGTTTTCAAGAGTAGCCATTTCATGTGTTATTTTCAGTATTTCAAAAAGCCCATGAAAAATCCAGCCTTGTCTGCAATATGGCTGCACAGGTTACTTTAACTGTCAAGGTTTTATGCTTTAAGGAAAATTTTACAAATCAATGCACCAACTCTAGTTTTATCTTCAGGAATTGAATGATTACTTGAAAACAGAATTTGAAAGGGAAAAGATTTCCAATACACTAATGATAAAGGAAATAGAAATGAATATATTTTTTAAAAATTTAAAATAATAAAAAGGAATTTTGTTGTTGAAAAGGTTGAAAGTTGTTACTCTTTTCACTTTGAAAGTGCTAACACATACTCTTTAGGGATGAGGGAGAATGCTGTAAGATAATACGCTTTTCTCTTTTTAAAAAAAAAAATTATTTTGTATTTATTTGGCTGCACCAGGTCTTTGTTGCAACATGCAGGATCTTTAGTTGCAGCAGGCGAACTCTCATATGCAGTATGTGGATCTAGTTCCTTGACCAAGGATTGAACCCAGGTCCCCTGAATTGGGAGTACAGAATCTTAGCCACTGGGCCACCAGGGAAGTCCTGATAGTAAGCTTCTCTTGAATTAATTAAGCAGACCATTTGCATGATGGGACTCAACAGCACATAAGTGTCAGAAGGAGGAGAGCAAAAAAAGTACTGAAAGCTCAGTAAGGGAGAGAGTAGGTCTTTGATTCTCAACTGTGACTACTGTATACTTTCACTTAGAGCTTGTGTGAGGAGAGTAAAGATCCTGTCTCATTCATCTGTATAGTCCAAGATCTATATATTCTCAGGATCAAGCAAAGTCTTAGATCCTTAGTACATGTTTGATTGACAGATTAACAGAATGCTTTTTTTTTTGCCTTGGCTGCCAGAAAGCTCAGAGCTAAATTAAATTGGATGCTTAGGTACAGTAAAAGTTTTACTTCATGTTTGTGGTAAAATTGCAGCTGTTCTGAATTTTTTTAAACAAATTTTAAGCCAGATTGACTGATTTTGATTTTTTTTTTGAGGGGGAAGACTATATATTTTATTTGCTTATTTCCTTGAAGATTCTAAGTTCATGTTACTGTACACATTTGTTTCTCTTTGCAAAACAAGACTACATTCTTCATAAATACTTGTCCAGGCAAAATGCAATATAAGTGAAGTATCTGGGCAGACAACATATGTATTAGGGCAGCAGACTACCCTGTCATTCTTAGCATGGTGCATTCCCTGGGGAGTATAGAAGTGTTCTGTTCCACACACGCACCTGGGGATTCTTTCTAGACAGGGGATTCTTTGTCTCTGAAGGCCTCGGAGTCACTTTGGGAGTGAGATGTGGATGACAATGGACTTCCCACATGGTGCCGTTGTAAAGAATCCTCCTGTCAGTGCAGGAGATGCAGGAGACATAGGTTTGGCCCCTGGATCAGGAAGATCCCTTGAAGGAAGAAATGGCAACCCACTCTGGTATTCTTGCCTGGAGAATCCCATGGACAGTGGAGCCTGGCGGGCTACAGTCCATGGGCTTGCAAAGAGTCGTGCACGGCTGTGCATGCACACATGGGCATATGGAGGAAAATGGGAGAATTTCATGGGCTAGGCTTGGAAGTAGGCTACTTGCCCTCTATACATCCTGGTGGCTGAATGCTTAAGGAGGCTGGGCGGTGGAAACTGGAACAGTACATCCAGAAGAAAAGGTACTGAGGCTGGTGAGGTCCTCCCTAGTCTCCGCTACAACAGGCATGTGATTATTTTCTAAAAGGATTTGTGAAAACTTAATCAAGTAGACACAGTAACCTGTTGAAACTTTCAGTAGTTCAGAATTTTTTTTGTTAATTTGGTGGTATTTTTTATCTCTGTACAGAATCCTATCCTTCCTTCTTTCCTCCTCCTTCACGGCTTTGATTTTTTTTCCTTCCTTCCTTCTTTTGGAGGAAATTTTCTCAGGTTGCAGTGTAACTTTATAATCAAAATTGTTCATGTCTAAATAAAATTATACTGAATTGTTAGACTAAATTAGACCCTAACATTAGCATATTTGAACACTTTTTGGGAGCCATTATAAATAACTTTATGCTTTCCCATTGTGCCATGACTTCTGATTTGCACGGTGGCAAAAATGACTCAGACATCTTTGAGAGAAGTTTAGAATGACATTGCCTATAGTTGACCCTCATCCATACTCTGACTAATGTGAAAAACAGTGCTGAAAAACTGGGTTCAGGCAATATCTAGATATTTTTCCTCCCCTCAGCTCTATCTTCTGCCCTTCATCTTGTGGGTGAATTTTGTTTCCTGGCTTTGTTCATTCTTCTTTATTCTTTGATGTATTCATCTTAACTCCCTCTGAAGCATCTGCGGCTCAGGTTTTGGTGCAACATTAGGATGACTGCTGATTCTACATTGAACTTAAGTTGCATTTTGAGTTAAAAAGCATAATATATGAAAAAGACTAATTTGATCATCTAAAACAGGGTTTCCCAGTCATGGCAATATCAATATTTTGGAATATGTAAGTCTTTGTTGTGCACCATAGAATTTTTAGCAGCAGAAAACGAAGAATTAAAGAGCCTCTTGATGGAAGTGAAAGAGGAGAGTGAAAAAGTTGGCTTAAAACTCAACATTCAGAAAATTAAGATCATGGCATCTGGTCCCATCACTTCATGGCAAATAGATGGGGAAATGATGGAAACAGTAAGAGACTTTATTTTGGGGGGCTCCAAAATCCCTGCAGATGGTGACTGCAGCCATGAAATTAGAAGATGCTTGTTCCTTGGGAGAAAAGCTATGACCAACCTAGACAGCATATCAAAAAACAGAGACATTAGTTTGCCAGCAAAAGTCCTTCTAGTCAAAGCCATGGTTTTTCCAGTAGTCACATATGGATATGAGAGTTGGACTATAAAGAAAGCTGAGCGCCGAAGAATTGATGCTTTTGAACTGTGGTGTTGGAGAAGACTCTTGAGAATCCCTTGGACTACAAGGAAATCCAACCAGTCCATCCTAAAGGAAATCAGTCTTAAATATTCATTGGAAGGATTGATGCTGAAGCTGAAACTCCAATACTTTGGCCAACTGACATGAAGAACTGACTCATTGGAAAAGACCCTGATGCTGGGAAAGATTGAATGCAGGAGGAGAAGGGGATGATAGAGGATGAGATGGTTGGATAGCATCACCGACTCAATGGACATGAGTTTGAGTAAGCTCCGGGAGTTGGTGATGGACAGGGAAGCCTGGCGTGCTGCAGTCCATGGGGTCACAAAGAGTTGGACATGAATGAGCAACTGAACTGAACTGAACTGGTCTTTACCTATTAGAAGTTAGTCATTGTTCCGTTGCCAAATCGTGTCTGACTCTTTGCAACCCCACGGACTGCAGCATGCCAGGCTTCCCTGTCCCTCACCATCTCCCAGAATTTGCCCAGGTACATGTCCTTTGAGTTGGTGATGCCATCCAACCATTTCATCCTCTGTCACCCTCTTCTCCTTCTGCCTTCAATGTTTCCCAGCATCAGGGTCTGGATGCTAGGAATGGATTGGCTGTTTGCATCAGGTGGCCAAAGTGTTGGAACTTCAGCTTCAACATCAGTCCTTCCAACAAGTACTCAGGACTGATTTCCTTTAAGATTGACTGGTTTGATGTCCTTGCAGTCCAAGAGAGTCTCAAGAGTCTCCTCCAGAACCACAGTTCAAAAGCATCAAATCTTCAGCACTCAGCCTTCTTTCTCTTGCCTGGAGAATCCCAGGGATGGGGGAGCCTGGTGGGCTTCCATCTATGAGGTCGCACAGAGTCAGACACAACTGAAGCGACTTATTAGCAGCAGCAGCAGTCTTCTTTATGGTGCAGCTCTCACATCTGTACGTGACTACTGGAAAAACCATAACTTTGACTATATGGACCTATAGAAGCCAGTAGTTCCCCTCAGATAGCATAAACAAAATGTCTCCAGACATTGGTAAATGTCCCCTGGAGAGGAGGCAAAATTGTCCCTCATTGAGAAGTCCTGGAGCAAAATTATACTTCCTTGATGTTTACTTTTCATTTTGTATTTCTTTATAGGACTAAATATCTTTTCAAAATCTTATTGACTGTATATTTAAACTAGAAATGACCTGACATTTATTTCACACATATTTCCTTTGGGATATTTACCCTTTTAGTTTTGGTTTATAAAAATTCCTTATATATATTAAAGAGTCAGGTCAGTTCAGCTGCTCAGTTGTGTCTGCCTCTTTGTGATCCCATGGGCTGCAGCCTGCTAGGCTTCCCTGTCCATCAACAACTCCCAGGGCTTGCACAAACTCATGTCTTTTGAGTCGGTTATGCCACCCAGCCATCTCATGCTCTGTCATCCCCTTCTCCTGCCTTCAATCCTTCCCAGCATCAGGGTCTTTTCCAGTATTAAAGAGCATAAGCAAAATAGTGACATGTTTGAGTGTGTGCTCTTGGGTCAGGTGGCTTGGGTATAAATTCTAGCTCTATGTTTCCTAATTGTATAATCATTACCACGTTGGTAACATTTGTACACCTTAGTTTCCTCATTTATAGCCTAGACACTTGGCAATGGCCTATCACAATGTTGGTGTAAAGTTTTAAGAGTCTTTATCCCTTATCTAGCACAAAGTTGAAGCTCAAGGGTATTTTAATTATGATCATTTTTTGATGAACCTCAGGTGAGCAAACTTTGATATAACCTTTAATTTATGAAGCTCTGTATCCTTTGTCTGTGTGTGATCAACTTCTTCTTTGCTTGTTCAGACATTCACTCATAGAGTCTTTTAAATACATATAATAGCACCTGTGTAGCCACCATACATACAAGAACTGGAATATTGCAGTATCAGAATCTACCTATCTACCCGTTCCATCCTCCAGAGAAAGCCACCATCCTGAATTTTGTGTTAAGTTTCTTGCTTTTGTTTATAGTTCTCTGGGACTTGCTCACTCAACTGATACATATTAATAAGCTACCTCTGTGTGACTGCATGTAGCTCTAGTGCATTCATTTTGCTACTCTGCAAAATTCAACTGTATGAATAGGCCACAGCTTGTTTATACATTCACCTTCTGAAAAGGCATCTGGGTTGTCTCCAGTGTTTTCAGTTACAAACAGTGCTGCCATGACCTTTCTAGCACAGGCCTCCTGGGTACAAGTGCATATGTTTCCAGCACACCACTGGAGTGGCATCACTGGGTCAAGGCATATGTGAGTATCCAACTCTTTACAAAATAATTCTAGGTTGTGTACCAGTTTACACTCTAACTAGAACTGTATGCAAGATTCTACATCCCCTTCAACACTTGCTGTCTTCAGCCTTCCACATCTTGGCCTATCAGAGCGATGTGAGATGGCAATTTATTGTGGTCTTAATCTGTAGTTCCCTGACTATTCATGAGATTGAGCATATCTTGCATCTTTATTGGCCTTATGTGTTGTACCTTCTCTGTGATATCTCCCCATGTCTTTGGCCAAATTCTTTGATTAATCCCAGTCGTAGAAACCTTGCTATATCATATTAGCATTTTTTTTGTCGCTTCTTAAATATTTTTTTCATTGGCATATAATTGCTTTTCAATGTTGTGTTAGGTTCTGCCTTACAACAGTGTGAACCCCCTCTATGTGTACATGTATGCATATATCCTGTCCCTCTTGGACCTCCTTCCCAGCAACAGCACCCCCCATCCCACCCATCTAGGTCATCACAGAGCCCCAAGCTAAGTGCCCTGCGCCATACAACAGCTTTCCCACTAGCTATGTTTACACATGGTAGTGTATGGGCTTCCCAGGTAGCTCAGTGGTAAAGAATCCACCTGCCAATGCAGGAGACACAGGAGATGCAGGTTCAGTCCTTGTGTTGGGAAGATCCCCTGGAGGAGCAAATGGCAACCCACTCCAGTATTCTTGCCTGGAGAATCCCACAGACAGTGGAGCCTGGCAGGCTACAGTCCGTAGGGTTGCAGAAAGTCAGACACTACTGAGCACCTAAACACACATGCATATGCATGTTTGTATGGCAAACCTAATCTGCCAGTTCATCCCTGTCTCTTCTGCCCCTCATGTCAATACATCCGTTTTCTACATCTGTGTCTCTATTCTTATCCTAGAGTTGAGATTTTGATTTCTGCTCAGTTTGACTTTGCTTTTTACCTTCACCATGGATGTTTTATTTTTCAAATGTTGACCACCATCTCTTCTGCCACACAGGTGATATTGTCATCCTGGCAAAACCACTTGTGGTGTCTAAAGGTGACAGAGGTTTCCTGACGACCACCACTCTCCTTGCTGTGGATGGAACAGACAAGCCTGAGGAACTTCTCTACGTTATCACCTCCCCACCGCAATTTGGCCAGGTTGAGTACGTCCGCTATCCTGGGGTCCCCATTACAAGCTTCAGCCAAATGGATATAGCAGGACAGACAGTCTGCTATGTAGATAAGAGCACGACAGCTGTCCACAGAGACACGTTCAGGTGAGCCCTGAGGGAACTTTTCAGAATGCCTTCTTTGAATGAATGCTTAGAAAGACAAAGGCAGGGAAAAATATGTCCTTTTCCAGCTCCGAGATAAATCTGCTCTTCATCCACTGCCTCGATGGATGAGAGAGAAGGGTGCACAATTAAACTGACAGTAGTAGCCAGGCAAGAAATTAGGGCTTGTTTTTTAAAAATAAACACCTAAGCAAATCTCCATACAAGCTGTTCAGTGAAGAGACATGTGAAGACCTGAGGATCTCCACTAATGAGAGATGTGGCAAAGTAATTTACCTCTTTATTTGAGTCTGTTTTTCTATCCAAGGAAAAGAAATTTGCTAGTAAACATTTGGCATTAGCAGACAGTGCCTTTTGACACAATGTGTTTGGGTAACTATATCATAAATCATGTTGTCATAAAGTGGATCATATTTCCCCATAGAAACAGTGTTATAATTGGGGGCTGTGCACCTGTTCAAGGATTCTGTATCAAATAAATCACTGGGAGGAATAACAATCTGTTGAAAAGGCAAAGATACAACATTAATGAAAGTCTACATTCATTTAAAATACTGAAATCTGTTTCCAGTCACATAAAGCAAGAAAAACTCTAGAGGGTCTATCATTTAGCAGTTATCAAAACTGGCTGAACCTGGGGTTCTTGATATAAATACAGATTCCCAGGGCTGGGTTGAGAACCCAGAAATCCTGGACTAGCCTTTGGGGGGCCTTGGTGCACATCTAACCCTGAATTTTCCAATTAAGAAAGAGGCTCTGAGAGCATTGATTCATCTTCTATACACACAAGGCTTCTGTCCTCCACTATGATTTTTATCATGTCAGAATACAGCCTTCAAAAGAATGCTATAAAATAACACAACTGTAGCAGAGTCCTATGTTATTTGACAGGCTCCCATAAACTATCAGGTATATGGATAAACCCATGTCCAAATGCCACTCTCCTCTATCATATATCTTATCTAATTCAGTATGTCTGCTATGATAAACAATGTTTAAATGTCAGTAAAGATTATTTTGCTTGCCTTTTTGCTATTTGGAACGATGATTTGAAAAGATGAGTTGTATAGTTAGGTAAAAAAAAAATCCATGGAAGTTTAGACCAATACCTCCTTTTTTCTTTAGACAAATGTTTTTAACAAGCAGATAATCATTTGGTTGCTCACTATCTTATTACGAATTCAGTGCTTGAGTGTTTCTCAGTTCAGTTCAGTCCAGTCACTCAGTCGTGTCTGAGTCTTTGCGACCCCATGAATCTCAGCACGCTAGGCCTCCCTGTCCATCACAAACTCCTGGAGTTTACTCAAACTCATGCCCATTGAGTCAGTGATGCCATCCAGCCATTTCATCCTCTGTCGTCCCCTTCTCCTCCTGCCCCCAATCCCTCCCAGCATCAGGGTCTTTTCCAACGAGTCAACTCTTCACATGAGGTGGCCAAAGTATTGGCGTTTCAGCTTCAGCATCAGTCCTTCCAATGAACACCCAGGCCTGATCTTTAGGATGAACTGGTTGGATCTTCTTGAAGTCCAAGGGACTCTCAAGAATCTTCTCCAACACCACAGTTCAAAAGCATCAATTCTTTGGCGCTCAGCTTTCTTCACCATCCAACTCTCACATCCATACATGACTACTGGAAAATCCATACTAGAGGGTGTTTATAAAATCATTTATCCAAGGAGTTTCTAAGTTTCTAGATTCTCAAGAGAGTTACCTGAGAGATTTACAAAATTTAAATTCTTGGGCCTCACTGCAAAAAGACAACCTTAGTAAGTCCAGTTTCAGGCCTAGGAATCTGTATTTTTAAAAGCTCTCCAGGGGATTCCAATGCCGTTGGGGCTAGCCATGTTCAGTCTGGTCCAATCCATTGTTCCCAGTGTGTTCTGAGGTGTCTGAAAATTTACAGGAGTCTCTGAGGTCCTCTCCCAGACAGCACATGAAGGGGCAGAATTGTTGGTGTTCTGCAGCTCACATCTCGAGTTAACTGAGATAATTTTGTTTTGTTTAGTTTGTTGGTGGTTTGATTTTTAGTTTGTTTTGCACAGAGAGCTTCTGGGCAAGGTTTTCATTTAGCAGAAACTCTGTGACTCAATTTTGTAAAATGAGTGATTACTACCACTAGTGCTACAAAGATGCAAAAGGATGTTTTCTGGCTGTCTCCAGGAAGGAGACATTAAGTCATAGCGATTCACGAGTGAGAAACTCCTTTTTAATATTCTCAATCCTTCTGTTTCTAGAAGGAAGTCTCGGGCGGCCTGTGCTCATATGTCCTTAACAGCTCTCCAGTATGGACTGCTTTTCCGTTTTTAGCAAAGAGAGTACAGGCCTCAGGCTCCAAGCCATCGGCCAACAACGTCTAGCGCGAATGAAAGACAGTTGGTTTCTTGTATTTATTTTTGTCGTGTTTATGGTGATTTCGTTTTTATGAGTGAAAACTTTGATTTTTTAGTCGTTAAAAGGTTTCTTTTCAAGTACATTTATTTAAGAAGAACAATGAGTTGATATAAAGCAAAATAGTAGGGAATAAGAATACAAGTAGTACCAGAAAATGGCAAAAATTGTGAAGATGGTGTTTGAATGACTCAAGATTAGGAAACAGGTTCATCGAGACAATGAACAGCAAGGGTAGGAAAACACTGATTTAATCCAGTCCCTTCATTTATGTGTAAGAAAGCTAGTCTTGATACACTGGTAATGGATCAAGCAGTGTGTGTGTGCATGCTAAGTCGCTACAGTCATGTCTGACTCTTTGCACCACCATGGACTGTAGCCCGCCAGGCTCCTCTGTCCATGGGATTCTCCAGGCAAGAATACTGGAGTGGGTTGCCATGCCTTCCTCCAGGGGATCTTCCCGACTCAGGGATCGAACCTTTGTCTCATGTCTCCTGCCTTGGCAGGTGGGTTTTTTTTAACTACTAGGGCCACCTGAGAAGCCCCATCAAGCAGTGTACTAGACCCTTTTCATACAAGTATCATTGCTCTTAAGCCTTACACCACCACCTTGAGAGAGATGTCTTGTTCCCATTTTATGGGTGAGAAAAGTGAGTCTTGAAGAGGCAAAAAGTCACCTAAACTGACATAGCTGAGTATCAGAGATAAATGTGGGCTGAGAGCTCATTGTGGAGAGGTCTTTCCATTTTCCCTGGCTGTACCAAAAACCTTGTGGAGACTCTTTACCTGCGGGAAGGACCCTTCTCCGTGTATGTCTTTCTGATGTTTGGCCAGCAGTTTTACATATTTATAATGGAAGAGCCTCACATCTGCTGAAGACTCTTGTTTTAATCTTGTCATTTCACTAACCCAACCGTTGTGTTGTTTGTCAGGTGGCGTTCAACCAAAGCTGAAAGGCTGTTTTAATGAAAGTGTGATCATGGTGCTTTTTAAAAATTAAATATATGCAACCAATCTAATCACCTGAATTTATGTTGCTTGCTGTTAAATCTGGCAAGGAATTTGGCTGGGGAGAAGAGATAAATTTGTGGCAGAGAGCTTCCCTCCTCCCTTCACTTTTAATGTAAGCTATGGCAGCATTAATTAAACAGGGGAGTTTAATGGTCAGATTTTACCTTCTGCAAAAATATTTTGTGAATCATAAATTTCTCCTGTATTGTTTGGTGCTGCTGGCCTGGAAGAAGGATTTGGCAGCACATTCTGGGACAGCTGACACCAAGTGATTAGCAAGCTGACTTCAGCTGCTGGCAGCCGGGTTCTAAAAGAACATGCTAATGTCCTCCATTTTGACATGCTGGTTGGACTTTTTTTTTTTTTTTCCTGAAGAACTGGCTCTATTTATGATTCCATTTTTATCTTTTAAATGCCATGACAGATGGCAGATTCTTCAGCCAACTCTATTGCCAGGAAATGCAGAAAGCTTGAAAGCACCATGGTAATGGTGAAATCAGGCCGGGCAGGCACCCCACACGGATCTGAGAGTCATTCCCCAAATTTCATGAGACAGTGGTCATCTTGGCTGCGTTTCTTCTCGGGGGGGCATAATAAAGGAAATTAAACAAAATGGACCCACACAAGGAGCTTCCACCTCAACACCACTGGCTTCTTAAGCTTGATTGGATGCCACAATAGCAATGGCACTGTTGTTTTAAAACTTGAAAATCTATTTAGAAGGTTTCTTCTAAGGGGGATGGTGTGGGCCATTTGCAAGATCTTCTGGTCAACTTTTGCAGGCACAGAGCGTTGACCTTGTTGCACTGGTTCTGCTAGGCTTTTTTTTCTTTTGACTGGGAAACCAACCATAACCAATTTACCTCATCTCTCACTCTTTCTGGTAATGTTCTCCGCTTGTGAATAGTTGGCACTGTTACTTGTGAACGTGGAACGATGTACTTGATCCAGTCATGTTGGGACATTGCATCCTTTTAGCCACTGGCTTGGTAGCTTTCTGTCGGTGTAGACAGCTGCCCGAGCGTCCCAGCTGGGAACACTGGCCTCAGGAAACATGTTTCTTATCTTAAATGGTCCCTAACCCACTCACCCTCATTCCCCTCTGACTGAGGGCAGACTGCTGATTTTCACTGTGGTCAGATGCCCATCAGAGGCAGACAGGAGTCTGAGATGGACTGCCTGGATCATGAGGAAACTTCAGTGGCCTCGCACAGGTCACATGTATGTGGCTAATGCAGCCACCTTGAGACTGAACTTGGGGCACCCCGTTGGGCATTTTTTGGAATTCAGTCTCCAGAGGAGAAAGTCAGAATCAGATACTCAAAGTGGCCACTTCTGATGCGCCCCTGGCAGCCCCTGGGGCTCCTGCTCCACCTCCTTGCTCCTGATGGCTGTCTCTCCCCTTCTCTCCCATTTTCTTTTTCTTCCTTCTCCACCAGTATTTGACATGCCTACATGTTCTCTGGCTTAAGGCTGTGCTCAACTATAAATTGCTAATTTAAAACTCTCCAAAGAGCATGTTTTTACATAGATAGCCACTTTATTGGTGAAAGAGGGCAAAGTTGAAGGCATGAAGTGTGTTTCTGGAGAGGTTACATGAAAATGGAGGACCTGAGAGGATGCCCAGTCTCCAATTTTTACCTCTGCTCAGATAGACTACAGGGAGAAAACATAACAAAGTTAACCAGAAAACAATGGAATATGGGCATAATTCCATGAAAAGCATCCCCTGAGAAACAGACCATGATTTTTAGACCTAAAAATGTGTATCACCTGATCTTTGATATTGTCAAGGTGTTTAATAACTTAAAAGGTGAAGAGCATACACAAATATTTTTCCTCAGGTGTGATTTTTTTTCTTTTTAAAAAATAATGGATTTTGCAAACACTCCATGATCCAGCAATGAAACTACCTATTTGCTTAGAGTATATTTATCCAAACATATTATTTTGTTTTAAGGAAACTATGATTTTGTTCCATCTACAATTCTAAAGTTGATTCCATATTCTTGTTTCAGCTGTGGGGGGAAAAAAACAGGTCGCATTCTTTACAAGTCAAGGTATGTGAAATGTCCAAAAATGTGTTTTATTTGGAGTATTTCACTTAGCAGTTTTAACTTTTTGGACAAGGATAACTTTTCCATGATTCGCATCCTATTTTCCTGGTAGGCAGTCTTACCAGCTTGATAATTAGAAAGCTCAAAAATGTTAGCCTAGCCTTCAAAGCAAAATCTGTATCTGCCAAACTCATCTCCCTGTAACTTCTGGTCCAGCTGCTCTTGTCCCTGAGTCCTTTGCCTCAGGCAGGCTGGCAGACTCATCACGCCCACACAACCTGGTTTCATATTCCTTCATGTTCAACAGCAAAGCATCAACCTTCTATCCCTGAAAGATAAGATATCTTTTGTAGAGAATAAAAAACTTGGTAGTCACATTTGTCAAATTAATAAAATAAATATAAACCCCATATCTTCTCTAATTTTAAAAAAGAACCTCCAAAGAAAATTCTTTTATCATTCAGTGTTATATGCACTGCAGTGTTTTAGGAGATTTTTACGTCCGTGGAACATAAGAGTGTTTCTATCCTCCATGACTATTTCAGAACTGGTATGTGGAAAAAAACAAATAGACACAATTCCATGATTGTTTTGAAGTATGTTTCTTTGGCCAATAGTGAATGTGTCAATTCCATTTGAGGTTAGTGATTTCCTAACTTGTTGGAGTTTCAATAGCAGATTTTGTTGGCTTAATTTCATCATAGTCTCCACTGTCCTTTGTATAGAAATTACACATTGAAATGTTCTAAGGGTGATTTTGGTTAGTTTAATTTTGAGATTGTTGGTGTGGGTGGAATGTGATTTAGAGATCAATGTAATCAGAAGCACGCTGTGGTATCACTGAGCTTCAAGTGTAAGAAACATCTTGCTCAGCTTGGATTTGCATCATTTCAGTTTTCTCTTCTAGGTCTGCAGTGACACTTAGGTACCACAACTCTTTCTTAGTGGATTGTTAAACCAGCAATCACAAAAACTGCAAGAACAGAAGGTGTGGCATCAGAGGACCTGGGTGTCCGTCTCAGTTCTGTCTCCTCCCTGCCTTATGATCTGCCATGTTTCTGAATCTTTCCACTCTAGTTTTCTTTTCTTTAAAGCAGGGGAATAATCTTTGTCTAACATAACTCCCCCATATCTTGTCATGGGCAAAGGTGAAAACAAACAGAAAAATATATGAATTGAGTGAATTAGCCAAATTCAGCCTACTCAGTACTTTATTGGATGGGCTTCCCATGATCAGCCTTAAGAACTGAGCCTATTAAAATCTCACAAAGAAAATACAATTGCAAAAGAGTCTGGTCTATGGAATTCCTGTTTGGGGCAAGAAATGACACTAAGTATTGACAAGCCTGAGAAAGATCATCGGCACAGTTAACCTGCCCCATCCCAGGAGTCCACCATCCATGCTGCTGAGCAATACTTGGGGGGTTAGAATGGTCCATGTACGCATTGTCTAGTGACTGGTTTAATAGACAGAATGGTGTCCTCCTGAAAGATCTGCTCTTGAGCTTTCCTTCACATCCCAACACAACATGTCCTTGAGTAAAGGTGTGTATTGTTATCATTTCATTCCAATAGATGGTGACACAAGCATCCATGTTGAAGGCTGCCTTGCCTCTCTTTGCCAGATTCATCGTCAGCAATGGACTTCAGACCAAGCCTGGGGTTTTTGAGATCACACTGGAGACTGTGGACACAGCCTTACCCGTGGTGACCAGGAACAAGGGGTTGAGACTGGTTGAAGGGGCCACGGGCCTGCTCTCCCCTGACCTCCTGCAGCTGACTGACCCTGACACTCCAGCCAAGAAGCTCACCTTTCTTCTGGCCCAGCTCCCACGGCATGGCCAGCTCTACGTGCGGGGGATGGCGCTGATCCCACACAATTTCACTCAGCTGGACGTGGACAGCGGGCATGTGGCCTATCGGCACTTAGGAGGGGATTCTCGGACTGACCACTTCACTTTTATGGCCTCAGATGGGACAAACAATGGCTTTCTTGTGGATGGGAGAGTGTGGCAAGAACCTGTATCATTCACCATCCAGGCAAGTATAACAAATACACAGTTCATGACCAGAAATAGGAGAACATGACTTCCAGGAGAACTGTTTCCTATTTCCTTCCTTCTTTCATTCAAATGTATAATGTGTGTCTATAGCATGCCAGGCACTAAGCAAGGTGCCAGACTTGTTAATATGAATACAAAACAGATGTGCTGCCTATGTACAAGGTAATGACTGACCTTTGGAGTCAGTGGTAATGCACAAAGGACCAAAATACATTTGGAGACAGACACCTAGGTTGGAATTTCTGCTTTCAGTATTTTCAAAGCTGTGTGAACTTACAAGAGTTCTTTGACTCTTCTAATTCTATGTTTTATTCTTCAAAAAACATGCCTTACAACATTGTGGAGAATTACATTAGATAAGGTGTCAAAGGTACTACCATGTTGCCTGAAGTGTTTTAGGTATTCGGTCTCATAATTGCTTTTATAGTATCTAACTATACTACTATAATGATGCTTATTGGCCTATGTTATCTACTGGCATTGTTGTTGTTCAACTGCTAAGTCTTGTCCGACTCTTTGTGACCTCATGGACTGCAGCATGCCAGGCTCCTCTGTCCTCCGCTGTCTCCCAAAGTTTGCTCAAATTCATGTCCATTGAGTCAATGATGTTATCTAACCATCTCATCTTCTGCCTTCCCCATCTCCTCTTGCCCTCAGTCTTTCGCAGCATCAGGGTCTTTTCCAGTGAGTTGGCTCTTTGCATCAGGTGACCAAAGTATAGAGCTTCAGCTTCAGCATCTGTCCTTCCAGTGAATAGTCAGGGTTGATTTCCTTTAGGATTGAGTGGTGTGATCTCCCTGCAGTCCAAGAGCATGTTAATGGTTAACTGTAATTTTAATGGTTTTCAATTAAACACCCAAAAACTTATGGAGCTGCATCAGTACTAGCCATGTATTGATGAGAAAAATAATTATAGAAGCTTCAATTTTAAAGTGTTAACTGTAGGTCAGACCTGCTTTATATAAATCTCATTTAATTTTCATAAAAATCCAATGAACTGAGTTTTATTGTCTCCATTTTATAGATGTTCAGAAGTTCAAAAATTAAACAATTTGGTCAAACACACATAAAGAGCTCCAGTCTTCCTCATCCCCAGTGCTGTGTCCTTTCTGTGGTACTGTGCTGCCACAGTTATGTTGACTGTTACGATGATTCTTGGAGGGCATAATGTGTTTTTCTTTTTTTAGTCAAAACACATCAAGTAGATTCTGGCTCTCAAAGCCTTGAATCCACTCTCCTTGGATACAGTTCACCCTGTTCTACACACTTCCACCAACAGCATAAAAGATATAAATCTGTCTTAATGCAGAATACATTCTGATTATGTAAAATAATAATAATTTTCCCTTGCTCTTTCATCTCTGTATTAGTCAGGGATCTCCAGAGAAACAATCAATAGGATTATATAATTTATATGCATATAAATGATAAGAGAGAGAGGAAGAGAGAAAGATTGATTTCTGTTCAGGAATTGGCTCATGCAATTGTGGGGTCTGACACATTCCAAAACCTACAAGGCAGGCCAGCAGCCTGAAGATTTCGGAAGGAGTTGATATTACAGTCTTGAGTCCAAAGGCAGTCTGGAGGCAGAATTCCTTCCTCTTCAAGAGACTTCAGTCTTTTTTTTTTAAGGCCTTTAAATGAATGGATGAGGCCCACCCACATTATGGAGGGTAATCTGCTTTATTGATTGAAATACTCATCACATCTAAAAAAATACCTTCACAGGAACATCTAGCTTGACCAAACATCCTGGCTAAATTGGCATGTAGAATTAACCATCACAGTCTCTATCTAAGGTGAGATCTGAGGATGAAAGTGGGGAGTTATAATAACATGGAGTGGATACAAGATGAATCTTTGACTATGAGGAGGTCCAGAAAGTGGAATGAGATTATGATATACTGGGAGAAGAGAGAAGGTGTTGATATTATTGGTAGAGTATGTAAGAAATACCTTGTGCATAGTAAAGTTAATTTTTTTATTACATGTTTTAATTGTTAATTCCCTCCCACTCTTCAGTCAGTTAATATTTTTCTTGACTCCTGACTACCCCCACCCCCATCCTATGTAGAGAAATGTCATAGTACTGCCCAATCTGGAATAATGTTCCAGTCTATCTGGAGAAGGAAATAGCAACCCACTCCAGAACTGTTGCCTGGAAAATCCCATGGATGGAGGAGTCTGGTAGGCTACAGTCCATGGGGTCGCAAAAAATCGGAAATGACTGAGTGACTTCACTACACTTCGCTTCCCTTCCATTCAGTTACAACTGTGTAGGAGTTATCAATTCTGAATGCCAGTGTAAGAGTTCCTATCTACGCTCCAGAACAAGGAGGGAAAAGGGGTTAGAGTTTGAAGAGAGTACCATAACTTCAAACAGGTTTCTCCCAGCAGCAAAAGTATCTTCTAGAGTGTAGTTATCGCAAGAGCCTTATCTCTTGAAGTTGTAGAGTTAACTGATAGGGAAATGTTGAATACATGTTGCAAAAGTTTTTCATCAAAAGTACAAGGTTTTCCTTGCCTTTAGTGTAAACAAAACAAACAAATAAAAAAACCTCAGAAGGAAAACCTCAAACTTTCTCCCATAACTCACCTGAACTTCCTGATGTCTCTGAGCAGAGAAGTCAAATAATTCAGGGATTGACTGACCCATCTGTAATGCAGTAGAGGTGACCTCCTCAGTCTCTTGCTTTTAAGAGCTCTTTCTGGCAAGAAAATATGACATTGACCACCACTGAGTGATGAGTTAGGCCAAATGGTCAATTCCGAAATCAGATTGATTATATTCTTTGCAGCCAAAGTTGGAGAAACTCTATACAGTCAGCAAAAACAAGACTAGGAGCTGACTGTGGCTCAGATCATGCACTCCTTATTGCTAAATTCAGACTTAAATTGAAGAAAGTAGGGAAAACCACTAGACTGTTTGATTTAGTTATAACCTAAATCAAATCCCTTATGATTATACAGTGGAAGTGACAAATAGATTCAAGGGACTAGATCTGATAGAGTGCCTGAAGAACTATGGACAGAGGTTTGTGACATTGTATAGGAAGCAGTGATCAAGACCATCCCCAAGATAAACAAATGCAAAAAGGCAAAATTGTTATCTGAGGAGGCCTTATAAATAGCTGAGAACAGAAAAGACACAAAAGGCAAAGGAAAAAAGGAAAGATACACCCATCTGAATGCAGAGTTCCAAAGAATAGCAAGGAGAGATAAGACAGCCTTCCTCAGCGATCAATGCAAAGAAATAGAGGAAAACAATAGAAAGAGAAAGACTAGAGATCTCTTCAAGAAAATTAGAGATACCAAGGGAACATTTCATGCAAAGATGGGCACAATAAAGGACAGAAATGGTATGGACCTAACAGATGCAGAAGATATTAAGAAGAGGTGGCAAGAATATACAGAACTATACAAAAAAGATCATCATGACCCAGATAATCAGGGTGGTGTGATCACTTACCTGGAGCCAGACATCCTGGAATGTGAAGTCAAGTGGACCTTAGGAAGCATCACTATGAACAAAGCTAGTGGAGGTGATAGAATTCCAGTTGAGCGATTTCAAATCCTAAAAAAGGATGCTGTGAAAGTGCTGTACTCAATATGCCAGCAAATTTAGAAAACTCAGCAGTGGCCACAGGACTGGAAAAGGTCAGATTTCATTCCAATCCCAAAGAAAGGCAATGCCAAAGAATGCTCAAACTACCACACAGTTGCACTCATACACGCTAGTAAAGTAATGCTCAAAATTCTCCAAGCCAGGCTTCAACAGTATGTGAACTGTGAACTTCCAGATGTTCAAGCAGGATCTAGAAAAGGCAGAGGAACTGGAGATCAAATTGCCAACATCCTCTGGATCATCAAAAAAGCAAGAGAGTTTCAGAAAAACATCTAATTCTGCTTTATTGACTATACCAAAGCCTTTGACTGTGTAGATCATAATAAACTGTGTGAAAGAGATGGGAATACCAGACCACCTGACCTGCCTCCTGAGAAACCTGTATGCAGGTCAGGAAGCAACAGTTAGAACTGGACATGGAAAAACAAACTGGTTCCAAATTGGGAAAGGAGTACGTCAAGGCTGTATATTGTCACCCTGCTTATTTAACTTATATGCAGAGTACATCATGAGAAATGCTGGGCTGGAGGAAGCACAAGCTGGAATCAAGATTGTCAGGAGAAATATCAATAACCTCAGATATGCAGATGACACCACCCTTATGGCAGAAAGCGAAGAAGAACTAAAGAGCCTCCTGATGAAAGTGAAAGAGGAGAGTGAAAAAGTTGGCTTAAAACTCAACATATAGAAAACTAAGATCATGGCATCTGGTCCCATCACTTCATGGCAAATAGGTGGGGAAACAATGGAAGCAGTGAGAGACTTTTTTTGGTGGCAGTGCTCCAAAATCACTGCAGATGGTGACTGTAGCCATGAAATTAGAAGACACTTGCTCTTTGAAAGAATAGCTATTAACCTAGACAGGATATTAAAAAGGAGAGACATTACTTTGCCAACAAATGTCTGCTAATCAAAGCTGTGGTTTTTCCAGTAGTCATGTATGGATGTGAGAGTTGGACCATAAAGAAAAGCTGAGCACCGAAGAATTGATGCTTTTGAACTGTGGTGTTGGAGAAGACTCTTGAGAGTCCCTTGGACTGAAAGGAGATCCAACCAGTCCATCCTAAAGGAGATCAGTCCTGGGTGTTCATTGGAAGGACTGATGCTGAAGCTGAAACTCTGATATTTTGGCCACCTGATGTGAAGAACTGACTCATTGGAAAAGACCCCAATTTGGGGAAAGATTGAAGGCGGGAGGAGAAGGGGACAACAGAGGATGAGATGGTTGGATGGCATCACCGACTCAATGGACATGAGTTTGAGTAGGCTCCGGGAGTTGGTGATGGACAGGGAGGCCTGGCTTGCTGCATTCCATGGGGTTGCAAAGAGTCAGACACGACTGAGTGACTGAACTGAACTGAATCTCCTAAACATAGGTGTACCACTTATGTTCCCAAACTGAGTAACTTAGGGCAAAGCTACAGGACTTAAACACAAAACACAGTTGTCTTTTATTGACACCAACAGGCACCAATCTGACATTCATTTTGTAGGAAATCATGTCTGTCTGTCTAAGATTCTGCATCTTTGTTTTAATTGAATATTTACAATGTGTTACTTACAGTAAAATGATTCAGCTGTACATATATTTACATTCCTTCTTTCTTAAGGTATTCTTTCCCGTTACGATTTATTGTAGGATATTGAATATAGTTCTCTATACTATATAGTAGGTGTTTGTTGTTTATCCATTCTATTAATATATATTAGAGCTTACACGTGCTAATCCCAACCTCCCACTGCATCCCTCCCCCAACCCCTTCTCCACCAGTCCATTCTCTATGTCTGTGATTCTGTTTCTGTTCCATAGATAGGTTCATTTGTGTGATCTTTAGATACCACACAGAATGATACATGTACATGATATTTGTCTTTCTCTTTCTAACTTACTTCACTTAGTATGATTTCCAGGTCCACCCATGTTGCTGCAAATGGCATTATTTCATTCATTTTTATGACTGAGTAATATTCTATTGTGTACCACATCTTCTTTATCCATTTATCTATCGATGGACATTTAGGTTGCTTCTGTGTCTTGGCTGTTGTGAATAGTGCTGCTATGAACATGGGGCACATGTATCATTTTGAGTCATGGTTTTCCTGTGTTGCTGACCAAGATTCTGCAATCTCGGTGCAATGATTTCTGTAATCTTTCTTAGAAGGAGATGGGGGTGGGGGTGAGGGACAGAGGACCAGTGTCGCTGCTTCCTATGGTTTAGGCAGGTGTGACGTAAGTTTTAGTAAATCCAACACAAATGGTTGTAAGGATGTAGCCTTTTTAAAAAAAAATGTCTGTATGCTAATATTTTAAAATGCTTCTGGTATCCTGAGTCAAAAGACCTGTTTTTGAAGAAGAAACTAGAAATTTAGGATGGATTTTAACACAGAGTAGGACTAGAGACACAGCAGGGGGCCCAAAGACCAAAGTGTAAATATTAACCTTTTTAAAAGCAAAGGATTACAGCAGGCATTTATTCCTTTTATAATACTTCTATTTTTAAGGAAAATATAATTTTAAAAAAAAGACCCTTACACTCAAGTATTTACCAACTTTGAGGATTACTCACATGTCTTAAAATATCTTTATTTTTCTTCTCTTGCCATTGACTGTACTTCCTCCTAGTCACCCTGGAGCTTCTTCCCCAAAAGGCCATGATAACTGCCTCCCCACCTCACAGCTCTGAGGGTGCCATCCTCACTTTTTTAGGGACGGAGAATGACTGTAACCTTTGAAACTGTGTGTTGCTATTTCAGCTTACAAAATAATTGCTGTTAAAAAATTCATAAACTACAGAAAAGGTCTAGAAAGTAATTCTTCATTATCGCACTGTCATCAGTGGCTTGCTTGAAGTCTTTTACTGAAATGAAAAAGAGATGATACTCTATGTACAAGCATATTACTTCTTTCCACTCATAAAAATTTCCATACGTCATTAAATCTTCCTTGATAACATAATTGACAAAGGCTGCATGGCACTCAATCTCAGGCAGAGATAGTTTACAACTCCCCTGTAGGACTTCCAAGTTTTATGGAATTTTTTATTAATTGCTATTACAAATTATATTTTAATGAATATTCATATATATATTCTTTGTCTACATATCTATTTTTGTAGGGTATACTGAAAAAGTAGAAATTCTGAATCACAGTATATGCATATTATTAATATACATGTATGTCAAATTTATCTCCAAAAGGTTTTCACTAATTTGCTTTCCTTCCAACAAAATATAAAAATGTCTATTTCTTCAAACATTTAACAATGTGAGGTGTGATTACTTTTTTATTTAAAAAAGCAGATTGCCAACTTAACAGAAAAATATTTCACCGTTAAAAAATTCCATATAGAAATACTCAAAGAAGTTATTTTTCCCATCTGAAGACAAATGAACATGTTTGTACACATGCTCCCAAAATTTTGTCTGTGTGTGTGTGAACATATTTATGTATTTGTTTTGAACAAAAATGGTATCCTGAAACTTTCTGGTTTCTATTTTTTATTGGTTAACACTGAACTGTGGGGCTTGTTTTGTTACTAGTTTATCCTATCTCTTTTTCTTATCAATAGCTGACTGGCAGTTTATTATATAAACACACAAAAAATATATGGTCTTATTGTGGACACTCATTGTTTACTTTGCTAGAATGACAATAGTTTCATTTGGGATTAAAGTTAAGATTTGCGTGATTAGAAATGAAGGGAACAAAGATTGTGTTCTTGTATCTCGTTCGTGGTATCAGTGACGAATTATGCTAATTCTTCCAAAAATGTTCCCTCTGTAACCGATAAGAGTCATTTCTATTTCTAATGATTCCATACCATATGCAAGTGAGGTCCTTGGTAGTGTCTGACTTATGTACCTCTTTTACTCATGAGTAATTGTCATCCCAGCCTTTACAAGTTGAGTCTACCTGTTCAGTTACCTGGTTCTATCAATAAAACAAATACTCAATGCCCATAGCTAAGCACCTTCCACTTTTTTTTACTGAAGTATTTTTATTGCTACTCAATATTTTTGCTATTTAAACCAAGACATGACAAAGAAAGGTTCAGCATATTTGTAGACCTTTATAGCATTGTTTCTGTAAATCACCAAGCACTGGGAGAAGGGGGAAGTGCTTTGGTAGAACTAATATTAAGTTTGCAATACAGTTCCTGGGTCAGTTTTGATATATTCATCCAACAAGTATTTCCTGAGCTTCTGTAACGGTTGGGCATTGTGCCAGGTGCAGGGAATAGTTGAGGGGAAAAAAAGACACGGTGCCACCTCTGGGAGCTTAGGCCTAACGGGGGAGTCAGACAGTGGGCAAGTAAAGAAAGCTGAGCCAAAGCTTACAACAGGAAGTTAACCTCTCTTCTGGGCACTATGATATTTGCTGAAGATATTGTGAATGAGGTAGCTTTTAACAGAGGTTAACCAATGAGGAGGATAAGGAATCTGAAATTCAGGAGAGTTTGTCATTGTTGTACCATTTAAGCCCCCATGTTGCTTGGGAATGAGAAGCCTTTGCTTAATGTTGTGTGTGATTATTGATCATTCAGGTGGACCAGTTGGACAAAGCGGCCCCCGGCATCACACACTTGCATTCCCCTTCTCAAGTAGGGCTCCTGAAAAATGGTTGTTACGGGATTTACATCACTTCCCGCGTGTTGAAGGCATCAGACCCCGACACTGATGACAATCAGATCATCTTTAAGATTTTACGAGGCCCCCAGCATGGGCATCTGGAGAATTCAATAACAGGTACTCCCTTCCTTAATCCTTGCTCATTTTAAAATACTCAGTGGTTGGCAATCTAGAGGGTAATTTGTAATTAAGTTCAGGCCCATTTGGTAAATACTCCCCAAGCCTTACTGATAGATGCAGTTTATAAATCAGTATCCATGCTAAAGAGGATTTAAAGCTGAGTTTTCCTAAATTCATCTTGAGTGGGAGAACTAGATACTGATACACAACTGTTTATTATGTATAACTTTTTTTTCAACAGCTAAGATTGTAAGGTATTCATAGGAATACATTGTCAGGACCAAATTCATATTTGTGACTCATTTTCTTATATCATGAATTTCTGAGTGACGTAAGTTCATTAAAAACAGTTTTTTGATGTAAGTTTTCTCTGAATTGTATGTTATTTCTACTTTATGAAGATAGTGATTCACAGGATGGCACAGAATTTTAGATTTTATTGCTAGATTTTCCTATTCACTCTCTGTTTTCATATTTAAGGTAAAATGTTTGAAACAAAGTAATTTTGAAGCCTAATTTAAGTTCATTGACTTTGAGTTTTAAGATGATTACATTTTATTAATTTCTTTAAAAGATATACTTTAAATATTTTAAAAGAGGAGTTTAAAAATAAAACAGCCATAAATATTGTATCAGCTCTCATCTAATATTTTGTTTGATTACTGATGAAAATCCTTTACTTCTTTTTTGTAGGTGAATTTATCCATGAGAAATTTAGCCAAAAGGACTTAAATAGTAAGACCATTCTTTACATCATAAACCCATCTTTGGAAGTAAATTCAGATACCATAGAATTTCAAGTCATGGATCCCACAGGGAACTCTGCCACTCCTCAAAGGTAGATTCTTTTGCTTTTTAAATAGTCGCGCATATAAGGTCCAGAATGTGTCTGATGAGGAAAGTAAAACAGAATCTAAGAGGACAAATTGATAGATGACTTCCCAAGCTCATAGAATTTATTTTGGAAAGAGAAACTTCTATTGTTGCTGTTGAGTCACTAAGTTGTATCCGACTCTTTAGCTTCCCCATGGACTGTAGCCCTTTCCAGGCGCCTTTGTCGGTGGAATTTCCAGGCAAGAATACTGTAGTGGATTTCCATTTTCTCCTCCAGGGGTCTTCCTGGATCAGGGATCAAACCTGTGTCTCCTGCATTGGCAGGCAGATTCTCTACCACTGAGCCACCGGGGAAGTTCAAACTTCTGTTGCTGCTTGATAATCACAGGATATGGGAGTGTTAAAAAGTTTAGTTGTTTGGGGCTGGGTCATTCATTTTATGCATGCATTTACAAATGCATATCCTTTCACACCCACAGAGGTTTCTGTCTTGACGAATCACTGGTATCCAGGACTGGGCTTGTAGGCTCTTGTACATATCATGCAGCAAGAGGTCACTCTAGGACTGTGTTAGGACCCACAGTTTCCTAAATCTAAATTTCTAAAATATCTAGAGAATGAGGGAGTCAGGAAAGTTTAGCAAAACAACTTCTCTTCCCCTAAAACCCAAGCAATTACTAGCGACTCCTTTTGTAAGTTAATAAACCTAACATGGGTAAGGTGAAGACAGTGTGAAAGAGGAAAACAGACTTGGGGGAGGTATTAAGTAATACTTTGAAGTTATGTCAAATATAGGACCCTCAGAAAATCCAGAGTATCAAATCCTCGAAATTAACCATATTAACAGACCATAGTAATTTCACTTACCAGGTCACTAGTCTAGATTTTTTTTTTAAGGTACACCTTGAATAACAGCTATCAAATGGTCCCAGAAATCACAATCCAGTTCTCCACGTACGGTGGGTTTTCTTTCTTTCGAAGTTTGATACCCTTCCTACTCACCTCAGAGAAAAGTTGTTCATTTATTCTAGTTTTAGTATTGACTCTATCAAACCACACACCATAATGAGGACAGCTTCTTACGGGGCTTTTATGACAGAGTATGGACAAAGAAAGACGAGAAAATTGAGAAATTCACCTCTGATCTCTTCACTTTTGCTTTTTCTTTCTGATTCTGAATTGTAGTTCCAGTATCTACCAGCAGAGGTCTCTGTAGTCATTGTTAGAAAAATGCATCTTGGACAAAACCTGTTCTTAGAATTGCACCTCTGTTGCCAGTAGTATTAAAAAAAATCTGGTCCAGGTTTTTATTGAGTGGCTACTATAGGCCAGGTGCGCAGTATAAGCCTCATCTGGGAAATAGGTGTGAGCAAGGAAGAACTGGACCCTGACATGAAAATTCTATCATGACACTTTAAAATTAAAACAGATGCCCACTTCCCATTAAAATGCTCTTGCCTCATAAAAATGGCTCCTTGGGATTATAATCTTTATAGAAAATATATTACCTACTTGCAATTTCAGACAAATGTATTCAATTCTCAAGAATTTTTTAGAAAATCCTACTCAAAAATATTAATAACTTGATTTCACTTGCTTTTTAATAGTTCAACATATAAACATAAAAATATTGATCAGACTTGCTACTGATCTAATGCTGACCATTGGTCTTCCACATGGGAACACAGAAATAGAGCTAGATTGATATTGCTTCACCCACAAACCTCTTTTTTCCCTTGGCCACATCTTGCAGTATGTAGAATCTTAGTTCCCCAACCAGGGGTCAAACCTATGCCCCCTGCATTGGGAGCACAGCATTTAACCACTGGATCACCAGGGAAGTTTCTACATACTGCCCCCCCCACCCCCACACCAGTTCCTCATTGTAACTAAGGACACTGCTTTTGAAGATGATTTATGATTTTGAATAATCTTCAAGTTTATTACAGAACCTCAGAATTTAGAACTTTACTTGAGACTTTTAAAATAGACTCCTACTGGATACCTGTTTTCAGGTACCTATGCTGAAGATGTTTCTAATTCAGCTTGTAATGATTGGAGTCAGTGGAATATAATGCAAAATATGTCCACTGAGAGTTAATCCCCAAATAACTTTGAGTTGATCCGACATATATTAAGTTGTTTTCTCTAGAGTGGGTGGAGGGAAAAGCAAGTCGAAGTTACTAAGCACTTATCTTTATAGGTTTTGGAGGATATAGTTGTCTCTAAACTCATTGTAAGTAGATACTTTTTGGAACAAGAAGAACTTTTTTTTCCAGTAGGAAACAATGTTATGAATAATGATCTGTCCTCCCAGAGCTAGCAGGAACGTAGCTGCCTATATAGAATAAATCATAGTCATTTATACTATAGCTTTCTGCTCTACTTTATTGCTCTTCATTTAATCATCACAACAACCGTTAAGTTAGGTACCATCATAATCCAGAATTTACAGGTGAGGAGACTGAGGCAAGGAGATAGGAAGTGACTTTTCCAAGCTCACACAGCTCATCAGAGAAGGAGGTGAGATTTTGGTACAGAAATTATGACTCTCAAATCTGTGGTTTTCCTCACTGCAGTAAAGTACTTCTTGCCTACTCTTAATGAGTGTGCTGAACTGGCCTAAGGGGAAAGAAGCCATAGACTCAGCTCCATAGTTTTCTCCAATCTTTGGCCATCAAAGCAGCAAGAAAGGAAGAAGACTTACTCCTCAAGGAGCTTAAATGTAAATTACAGGTCTCAATATGACTGTGTACTCCATGGCTAATAAACTGGGGATAATGGGATGATAATATACAGTAAACCACTGGACTCGGAGCCAAAGAACAGGGTTTGGGCTTTGACTTTGCCATTGACCTAGGTCAAGTGCTTAGTTATCTTAGTTATCTCATCTGTAATTTGGAGGCAGTATTGCAATTTATTTAGAGGAACAAATGAGGTAAAACATGTGGGAGCATCTATTTAAAGTCCTTGACAAACAGGACTTGTGGTGGTGATTACTATTGTTGTGCGCTCATGCAGGGGGCAGCGACTGACTGCAGAAGTATCCCAGAGGCCTTTGGTGGCCAGCTAAGGCCCCTCATGGCTTAGAAATGGACTCTGAGATGTTCACAGAGTGAACAATCCATATTCTTGTTAATAATCTAAATGCGGTGAACTTTGTGTTCTTGTTTGGTTTAGGATTAATAGATTAATATTCTGCATATTTCAAGGGGTGAAAACATTCTGCAATGAAGCTAAAGGGACTGGTGGATGCAATCAGGAGCAGAAAGGAGGCTCTTCATAGAATAAGAAGGACTCATGTTCAGTGAGAATTGTCCCAGAGCAATTAGCAATTATTGATTGCTAATAAGTTTTTGCTATGGCAGCATTTCTATTGTGCATCAGTCCTGAAGGGTCAATAGACTTTCCATTAGAAATAGTGTTAGGAAATCTTGATGTGATCAAGTTATTATGACTCACTAATTAGCTTGAGTGCTGCGTAATGCATCACATTGCCAAAGTCACGAAGATGCGTGTGTGCATTGGGAATCTTCAACAGAGGGATATAGTATGCAACATATCTCTATATGGTTTGATTATAAAACCAAGACTACCCTGCCCCAGACTAGCTCATGGCACAAGCTTTTCATGTGATATATTTAGGAGACATTTGTAAATAGAAGTTACTATAGAACGTTGAAATCCACGGGAATTTGCATCAAAATTTAGATTTGGTTGAGTGCCTAAATTTCAGGCACTGTGCTAGGTGCTTTCACATATGTTTTCCATTTTAATCTGCAAAAAAGTTCTCTGAGGGTGATAAGGAAATCAGGCTCAAAGCATTTAAGTAATTGGCCAGCAGCCACTAAGTGAAGAAATGGCAGGGCCCACAGTACACCATGACCTCCTGACCTCAATGTGAGTGCTCATCTTCTCGGCGCATGCCTTAGCATGCCGTTCTCATGTCCAGTGTGAATCTCAAGATGGTCTGCATCCCACCCAAACTCTGTCACATAGGACCTCATCATTCATCAAAAACACCTTTGCAGACCACAGAATGTAGCTGACGTCCGACCAAGGCAGTTTCTTAACATGCGTTCAGTGTTGACCTCTTTCTTGCACCCGCTGCAGAAAAGGTGAACTTCAGAACGAAAGTTGACCCCTGCTGAAGTTCTTCATAACTCAGCGACTGCTTCTCCAGCTGCTTCATGATTCCAAGCACCTCGCTCCTTTTCCTCCCTAGCAGGCGAACTTAGTGATGCTTTAACAACTTTTATGAAACACGTTATAGGGGAAGAGGTTGAAACTCTTGGTTAGGTAAAGCTTTCATGTTACCTGCAAGCCAGAAGTTAAAGTATTTGTCTCTAGATTAGATCTAAGAAACCACAGAGGAAGGAAAGGGAAATAGCCCTTATTAAGCACCCACTGTGTACAGGTGCTTTATACATATTAGCAAATTTTAATTTGCATCATTTGACATGAATGTAATTTCCCTCATTTTACAGATGATGAAAATTGTGGTCCAGAGAGACTGAGTAGCTGACCATAATCACACGCTAATAAGTGGTTATGAGATGTATCTGACTCCAAAGCACTTGTTTGGGGTACTCACTATGCTGCTTCCTGACTAAACACCGTTTCTCCATTATCATGAGAGAAAGACAGAAAGGAAAACACAGGTGTTCATAGCATTTTTATGGAGCTTAATAGCATCCTCTTTGAATTGATAAGTCTTGGATTGAATCCTTAGAAAATATTTTTTAACATTTTGATTTTCTTAAGTCATATGCTACTTGATTATAACTGAAGATCTAGTTATGAGAATAATTTAATCACAGTTTTAGCTACTATAAAACCTTTCACTGAGAAGCTCAGAGTACTTAATGAGTGTTCATTAAGGTTCATTCAACCTCTTTGAAGTAGACTCATTATTATTGTACCTGGGGAAGTGAGGAAACTGAGGCAGAGAGCAGCCAAGTACCTTTTTTACATTTGCTTGTTAATCTAGATTAATGTCCCAAATCCCAAAATAGAGTTTAATCCCAAATGGTTATTTGGTTCATTGTTCCTTCATATAAATGAACCAAGTAGCCACAAAATGGTTAGATAGCATCACTGACATGGTAGACATGAATCTGAGCAAACTCTGGAAGATGGTGAAGGACAGGAGAGCCTGGCGTGTTGCAGTCCATGGGGTCGCAAAGAGTCAGATATGACTTAGTGACTGAGCAATAACAGCCACAAAATAGAATATAAGAAAGTATATATTTTTGACTCTGCTTCAACACTCTTGACCATTTGGTCCAGACAATTCTTTGTCGTGGGGCTTCGGTGGAGGGTGAGTTGGGTGTCCTTTACATTGAAGGATATTTAGCAACAACCCTGGACCCCACTCACTAAATACCACTATCACCTTCCTCCCATTATGAAAAATAAAGCTATTTCTAGATGCTGTCAAATGTTGAGAAGCACGCCTGTGCCTTAGAAAATAAGACATCATGTTTTATGATAGAATGCTCATTTACCAATGCCATCTTTCTCTCAAGCTAATACAATTCACTATGACCTAAAGAATCCAGAATACGTCAGGGCTAGAAAAAACATGTGAGGGTCATCTGGCCTAGAATTTTTCTTTTCAAGCTGTGTGAAATATGTGAATAAGACTGGGAAAAAAAAAAGTTTCAGTGGTTAATTTAGCTTTTCAAACAGTAGGTTAAACATAGCTCATTATTTCCTTGAGCAAATATTTTTTATTTTTTCTTATTTTTATTTTTTTCCTTGAGCAAATATTTATTGAGCATTTACTATGTCACAGTCACCCTACAAGTCACTTGGTGATACATCAGTGAACTAAAGACCCCTGCTTACTTAGCTAACTACCTTAGTACCTAAGTGAATTAAATAGTATGTTATATGTACTTTGGAAAATGAGTTAATCAGATTAAGGGGGATTACATATGTTGGACTATGGAGGTAGATTGCTAAATTGGGTAATTAAACAGTTTGTCTTGTCTTTGACTGAAAGAAGAACTGGAAGTCTCATCCCATTTAATTTCTTTTTCATGCGAGATGTTATATCTTTTTATTACATATGCTAGGTACTGTTGCCCTTATTTTTTAATTTTTATTTTGATTAGAGGATAATTACTTTACAATATTGTGATGGTTTCAGCCCTAGATCATGAAAGACATAGGATGGAGGAATAGAAATTAAACAGTCTGGGCAGACCCCGCAGACTGTGTCTTTCATTCACGATAGTTGTTGAGAACCAAAACTTGGCTTATAGATTAAATAGAATTTTCTGTTGTGATGAGTCTGTGAAATCACTTCAGGAAGGTTTCTCACCTGAGGATGACTTTCCCCATGAGGGACATTTGGAAATGTCTGGAAACAGTTTTGACTATTGTAACTGGAATGGAATGGCATGGCTGCATCTAATGGATCTAGTGAGTAGAAGCCAGGGATGTTACTAAACATTTTTTTTTTTTTTTTGCCTGCACCCCACAGCATGTGGAATCTTAATTCCCTGACCAGAGATAGAACCTGTGCCCCCTGCATTGGAAGGCAGAGTCTTAACTGCTAGATCAGTGAGGAGGTCCCCACTGGGACACATCCTACAGTGCATAGGACAGCCTCCCACCACAGAGAATGACCTGGCCCCAAATGTCGGCAGTTCCAAGGCCAAGAAATCCCGAACTCAGGGCTTGAGGAGTTCTTGTGTCCTGCTGACTATCAATGATTGCCATGTGGGTTTCACAGAAAGAGTGTCTGTAAACTTCATTTCTGACTTCAGAATGAGCTTAGCTTTGTGAGAAGAGAAGAGGGGAGTCATTAAAATGTGAAGATGTGAACCAACCCCTGTCTGCCTGACACCTCCCAGTCCGGAGCTTTCCACAGCTCTCTCATGGGCTTCTGCACCTGCTTATCTACATGATACCAAACATACTTCTGTGTGGCTTCTTGCAGGGAGAATTCCCAGCTGACTGACTACATCTCTTAATTTTCTTTCAAGGGTTTGTGTAGAGTTTAAGCAACTGTAGGGTCAGTGTAGAAAGACCTTCTTAAATACAATATATGGAAAATAAAAAACACTTTCAAAGCATGTGTCACACATATCCTCTGGGTATGCAAGTGCCTCATGATTTATATATTTTTCTGAAAAATATATAGCCTGGCTTAAATTTCGTAGCTTTTAAATAGGTATTTATTATTTGTAGGGAATAGTTTTAAGAAAGTAAAATAGAACATTGTGTAATTACAACCTTAACCTCTAAGCATCATGCAGCATTCCAATGATATATCAGGGTGATGTGTGGATGTTCCCAAACACCAAAAGCCTTAATGCTTTGAAACTGAACATCACTCTGTATGATCCCCTTATGGATCTAGATCAGCAATCAAATCACACTTCACTTTAGGCCTCAAGGTCATCTGGACCTGCAGAGTGACATTGATAAATTTTTGCTGGTCGTGGTTAGCATTAGCAATGCATAGATTCACAGAAGATTGAACCTTGAAACACATTTGAACCTTATGCAGACTTAGTTGAAATCCATCCCCGTGTATCTATTTCACTGGTTCCCACTGCTCCCTTTTCCTTCCTGTTTTAGCTTCCTGTTTTCTCTTCCAATCATTCTTGTTGATTTTGTTTCCCTTTCTTATGTGGCTGGATCCTTTAGGAATTCTTTGCAACATGTTATTTCTATTGGCGTTTATAACATCCGTGTTGCTTGTTATCTTGTGATTCTTTAAGCATTGTCATTTCTTTCTTGATCTGTCTCCTGTCAGATTTGAAATCAATTTCATCAAGGCCCATGAGGTTCCCAATATTATATAATAAAAGTATCCTATTTTCATGTCAAAGTTTTGTGAAGCCCAGCACGCCAATAACAATAAATGTCATGTCTATGGATTGAATAAACATATATATTAATACAAATTCTTGAACCTCTGGAATAATTCCATGTTTCCACACTACCTTTGTCTCGCTGGCTGCTGGTTGGTAGAATAGAACACAGTGCTGTTGAGTTTGTTTTGCTAGTGAACTTAATATATAGCATGTGACTGTGACACACGACTCACTGGTATTACTCTCTATTAGGAATGATCTCCAGGAAAGTGTGGCGTGTTCTTTGAAATTGTGATCTCCACACTCTAGTCAGTAGCACCCAGAATTTCTGGCTCTGCAAGGAAAAACACTGTAAGAAGCAAATTTAAAAGTCTAGAGGAAAGACCTAATCTAAGTGGACGTTTGGGAATAGAGTAAGGCAAACTCTGGGGGTTTTATGAATGGAGAGTGAAAGGAAAATGAATAAAACCAAAACAATGGAGGTGACTTAAATGATCATAGTGAAGATTGTTCATGTCTTTATGTTGCTGAAGGTTACAGGGGGTAAAAAATGTAAGAAAACCTTTGAAGAGAACTGTTCAGGTGAACCATTTCAAGTTTTCTCCCTTCAAAAAGGGAAATATTTCAGGATAAAGATAAAATTGTAGTCCACTGCTTGAGCTCAGACCACAAGAGTCATGAAGAACTTTAGTTGGGAGGAAGAATGGTAGAGAAGGAACAAAACATTTGGTTTCAGATTTCTGTGAGGGATTCTATCTCCGCTGTCTATTAGCTTTGTCATAGCATTTTGCCTTTGAGCTAGTTATTTAACCTCTCTAAGCTCAGTGTTCTTTTCTGAAGAAAAGGAAAAAGACAGTAAAAAGTACCTCTTTGTATTATGAGGATTAAAGAAGTCAGTTTCTATCCAATGTTGGACTCACTAAACATAGAGTGGAAAAAAAGACCACTCTCTCTTTATCAGGTTGATTCAGTTGTATAGCTGCAATCAAGCTATATGTTAGTACAGTCCTTTCACATGTACAGAGGAGAGATGGATAAACTTGTAAAATGCATGCACATTCTAATTCCTAGACACTCCTCAAAGGCATCTTGTTATTAAACTGAGCCTGAGTTTAGAGGAGATCTGTGCCTAGAAATGATCTTGTACCACTGAAGGAGGCCAAAATATAGGAGAGAAGTTTCATATCTATGTCCTTTCCAAAAATGAATGTCTCCTTGAACTTAACCAGCTGCTCCTTTCCCTTTCAAACACTGTCAAGTTTGAGTCCCTTTCTTTATCATTGATCACTGCAGAGCTTGGATAGGCTTTTAATCTTATTTCTGCATTTATAAAATAGAATTCTAATACATGCTCTGTCTACCTTACAGCAGTATTGAGAGTAACAAATGAGATAATGCTAGTAGATGTTCTTTGTGAACTAAAAGGTACCAAACATATGCAAAGAGTTTGTAGCACTGGTGTAGGTTGATGAACCACTTTTTTCTCTCAGTTTGAACCAGTGGTTGCTTTATACCCAGCAGAGGAGCCCCACAGGCTTCCACTTTGCATGTCTCATGATTTTCTTTTTTCTTTTCTTACATGCATAGTTTGGAACTGAAGTGGTCTCATATTGAATGGTCGCGGGCTGAATATGAGGTCTGTGAGAATATGGGCATGTTGCCCTTGGAAATTACCAGAAGGGGATATTCCATGGACTCAGCCTTTGTGAGTGTACAGGTAACAACTCTAAACTATCATTTTTCAAGATAAAGCCTAGGTTGCTGGTTGGTGCCTTTGACTATTTCCTTAGAGAAATTCAGACTGCAGGAGTGTTACTCTGTTCTGGAGAGTCTAAGGACAAAACCTCTTTGTCCCTCCATCATTTAACAAGGTACATTAGCTCCTACATATGCTATTTCTAACCCATCTTTAGTTTTTAAATCTGATCTTTAACTCTTGAAGTTTGATTTCATAAGGTCTACCCAACTTAGTGAACTTGGGCCAAACTCTGCTTTGGAAAGGAAAGTTGTCTGCAAATTTCAGTCCCTGTATGGCTTTCTCTTAGCATGCACCAAGATCACTTCCTATGGTCTCAGTGGATGAAAAAAGTCAGGGATTACACCTGTTTTAAGCATCAGCCAAGTCATGCAAAGTTAAGAGGCTATGTAGCAATACAGGCACCCTGAAATATAAGAAATTTTAAATAATTAATATTGGACTAGTCACCTGATATTTCTTTCTGCTGACGTGGAACATGGAGCAAATGGAAGCGGTTTTAAGGAGTCACTAGAAAAACTGCACATTGGGAGAATGAGAGCATGAAAAGCCTGTATATACTAATGCTGGTAAAGACTTCCTCCTTAATCTAAAGGGGAAAAAAAGCAGTGATATTAGGTTCTGGGGGGAAATGCCATCTCAGTGAAGTCTCAATTACAATAATAAGTTCAAATCACCTTCAGAACCTTGTGCACGTAGATTATACTATATCCCAGACTCAGCATTTATCTTTCCAGTGGGCATAGGTTCTGTTTCCCTGATCTACGGGTGCTTTATGATTGTTAAAGGATCAGATAACTTGGTGTCCCCTATAACTTCCCAGTACGTTGGTTATGGAAAAAGAAAGACTCTGCGTGGATGGTTTCCTAATAATCTTCTAGGCCTCCAGAGAAAGCACCATATGCTCTAGTCTGGAGTTTTGGGCCACAGAACTGTTCACCTTGCCAGGCAGGAAGAACAGTCCTGGTGTGACAGGGAATCTTTTGTCTGCTGAAGCTGAGCATGCACAGTCAAGCTGCCGGCTGTGTCTGCAGCCTTTCTCAAATAGCCTGAGTCTTTCAGGGACCACTCTGCCCACAGCACAGCCTGCCACTTTAGACCGGAGCTGATTGGCTGCTTAAGAAAGCGCTTCTACCTTCTGTGTTGCCTTGGTTTGAGTCATCAACCTGAGCCGGACTGACTGCTGCAACCACCTCACTTTAGCCCATTTCTTTTCCCACGTAGGATTCTGTAAACTCAGTGGTGGTAAATACTAGGTAATTGCACGTGCAGGAACCACACGGGGAAACGCAACTCCCAGCATATGGTGGGTACAGGTGTACAATGGGCTGCCTTTCCACAGGGAAAGGTTGTTTGGGAGGAACCTTGGCATCATAGAGAAAGAGCAAATAGGGGCTTAGGAGGCAGTACTCTTTTTTTATTGGAGTGTAAATGTTTTACAATGTTGCATTCATTTCTTCTGTATAACAAAGTGAATAAACTCTGTGTATACATGTATCCCTTCCCTCTTACATTTCCTCCCTCCCCCCTGGAGCCCACTCATCTAGGTCATCGCAGCAAGTTGAGCATCCTGTGCTATGCAGCAGCTGTCTGTTTCCCACGTGGTAGCTACCTATTTTGCACACGTTGGTGTATATATGTCGATGTATCAATATACAGCTGTTTTATACACTGGTAGTGTATATATGTCAATGCTACTCTCCCAATCCATCCCACCCTCTCCTCCGCCCTCTGCGTCCACATATTGGTTCTCTACGTGTGCAGCTTTATTCACCTGGCTGGACTCTTCTTGAGCAAAGCATTTCCACTGCAGACCACTGGCAGATGTTAGGGTATTTCATAGAAATGGAGATCATGTCTGAGACCAAAGAAATAGGAATCTGTGCATTTTGAATTGTGCCCTTCGTCCCTTGTAAGAAAGTGAAGAAATGAGTAACCCATTTTCCCAAACATCTCATTCAATGACCTCTTTTTCAAACCAGCTGAAGCCTCTTTTTCAAACTCTTTTTCAACGTGTTTCAAACTAAATATGTGTTCCTCACATATATTTAGGCTCCTCGGGGGAAGTTAAGGTCACGATGTCAGAGTCCTTAAATCATCTCTGTCCTTCAGCCCCAGGGAAGGGGATCAGGGGAGCAGCCAGTAGTCTCTTTAGACTAGAGCAATTTTATTTTATTTTTTTTACAACTTACTTGAAGGAACTTCTAGAGCCCTGAGTTCTGGGTGTGGGTGGCCTCTGTGTGGCTGTTCCCCAGGTCCTTCATCCCCACAGAGCCCTCCTTCCTGCCTGTGAAGGGGAATGGCTTCATCCAGACAGGAGAATCGACCGGACTTGTGTTCATTCATCTGGTCTGAAGGCTGCGCTCTGAGCTCGTGGGATCCCTCCGACTGGCTGACAGAGCAGCACTCTGTCAGGAGAGTGCTTTTCCTTCTCTCCTCTGTTCCTCCTCTTCTCTCCACTTTTCCTTCTCTCCTCTGTTCCCTTCCTTTCCTCCAGGGCGTGATTTTAGGATGCTGGGGTAGCGGGAAGGGACTGGAATAAAATGATTATCTGTAGCAAAGAGAAAAATATTGTTTAAAATTCACATTACTTTCTCCAACAACTGAATTATTTATAAAGGAGAAGCCAAAAAATAAAAAGTTTTATGTTTACTTCCATTGATATTAGTCTAGGAAAAAAGTTAACTTTAAGGAAAATGGACCCAAGATGATGTATTATAATAAAACATAAGTTTATGTTAGAAACAGATTTAAGAACATGAGTTAGTCTAGTCTGAGATTAGACTCAGTATTTCTCTATCACAGCATATTTTTGTTAAAAGAATGTCTTTTTTTTTTTTTCCCTCTTAAGGTCAACCAAGTGTCAGCTACACTTGGAAAGGATTTCACCATGACTCCATCGAAGCTGGTTCAGTTTGACCCAGGTACACTGTGTGTCTACACTTTGTTTCATGTTTTTGTAAGACAGTCTAGAGATTGTGGAAAAGACAGACTATTATACAACTTCAGCCAACTAGAACTCCTCAGGGAACAGTATTACCTCGCTTCCAGAGAGATCAGTTTGGCCTTGAGTTTTGTGCCTCATATTTTATTTTATTACTAGTGGATATTTTATTTTAAATGAGATGAAAGATCATAACAAATAAAATAGATAAAATATTAAAGCAAACATCCAAAAATCCAGAAGAAATGCCATTTTAGAAAATGATTTAAAGGTCTGACACAAAGCTGAAATAATGTAATTGTCTCATATTTTGATGGAAAACTTCAGAATGTTATAGTCATGTAGATTCCAATTCCTAAAGGGCATTTCTAAATTATCTGTCTTGGAATAGCTTGATATGAGCAGCTTTCAGGGAAAATCATTATTTAATTAGATAACACCTATTTTGTTTTAGGCCTTTGGAAAAAATTTGCTAGGTGCAAAAGTGAATATAAAAGCATGGGGCCCACTCTCGTAGATGTTCTGTGCTGTACTGTGTTTTGTCGCTCACTCACGTCTGACTGTTTGCGACCCCATGGACCGTAACCCGCCAAGCTCCTCTGTCCATGGAGATTGTCCAGAATCTGGGCAATCTGGACAAGGCAAGAAGACTGGAGTGGGTAGCCATTCCCTTCTTCAGGGGATCTTCCTAACCCAGGGATTAAATCCATGTCTCCTGCATTGCAGGTGGGTTCTTTACCATCTGAGCCACCAGGGAAGCCTGGGAATACTAGAGTGGGTAGCAGGGGAACTTCCCTACCCGGGAATCTAACTGGGGTCTCCTGCATAGCAGATGGATCCTTTACCAGCTGAACTACCCAGGAACTACCCCACAGATGTTCTATCCTTTGGGAAATACAGACATGAGACATGCACTCATTGATAGAGTGCATCGGGACCCCGAGGATGCGCCACTGCGCTGGCTGAGAAAAACCCTGGAAGACATCCTAGAGGAGATAGCAGCAGCAGAAGGGGACTTAGCCCTAAAGACAGACATACTTTTGGCAGCTGTGTGTGGCAGGGGCACCAAGGCAGAAGCCATGCCCCCTTTCTCTGGCTGTTATAGATGGGGGCTGGTAGCTCCCCCTCACTGTACTGCATGGCTCTCTCTCTCTCCCTCTGTGTGGGACAGACCTCGATCACCTGCCCAGGGATGAATGGAAGAGCTCTGAGAGGCAGCCAGGGCTAGTACCTTTGTGCTCTCCTGCAGAGGACACGTTCTGTACTCTTAAGAACCGGCCACCTGATCAAAACTTTTGCCATTGTCTGCCACTGACCCATGACGTTTTGGCAAAGGCAAAACAAAATTGCCTGAATGCCATCACCACTTCAAAACTGATAACTTACTATTAAACATAGAGAAGAATGCCTTTCTGCAGCTCAGGCTTCCCTGGTGGTTCAGTCAGTCAAGAGTCTGCCTGCAGTGCGGGAGAACTGGGCTTGATCCTGGGGTTGGGAAGATTCCCTGGAGAAGGGTATGGCCACCCCCTCCAGTGTTCTTGCCTGGAGAATTCCATGGAGGGAGGGGCCTGGTGGGCTACAGTCCATGGGGTCACAGAGTTGGACGTGGCTGCAAGTTATATGATGTTTGGTGACTGTGTTTGCTTGCTGGGGCTGTCCTAACAAAGTATCACAAACCTGGTAGCTTTAAAACAGGAATTTGTTTTCTTATAGTTCTGGAGGCTAGAAATTCAGGATCATGATGTGGGCAGGGTTGATTCCTTCTGAGGGCTGAGAGGGAATCTGCTCCATCCTCGGTTCCGTGATTCGATGCTATGCTGGAATCCTTGGGCTTCCTTGGCTTCTGCTGTTTCACCCAGTCTCCGCCTTTGTCTCAGTCAGGCGTTCTTGTGTGTGTCTGTGTCCAGATTCCTGCTTTTTATAACAACACTAGTCATAATAGATTAGGGGTCCACTCTACTCTAGTATGACTTCATGTGAATTGCATCTGTAATGCCCTTATTTCCAAATAAGTTTAGGACTCCACCGTAGGGATTTCTGAGTGACACAACCTATAACAAAGAGCCTCACATTTGACATGCCACAATCACTGATGCTGGGAAGGATTGAGGGCAGAAGGAGAAAAAGGTGTCAGAGGATGAGATGGCTGGATGGCATCACTGATACAATGGACATGAACTTGGGCAAACTCCAGGAGAAGGTGTGGGACAGGGAGGCCTGGTGTGCTGCAGTCCATGGGGTCGCAAAGGGTCAGACACAATGGGGCGACTGAACAACAGCAACCCCAATATTGCTACTGGCCTCCTTCCTATGATGCTTAAGTTTCTGACTTGCCTCAGCTTGTTCCTCAGCCTGACCGCCCTTAGTGAGAAGAACTATTCCTATAACGTATTGAAGTTTACCTTTGAGTTGCCACAGGCACTGGTTCTGATCAACCTCAAGGCGAAAGGAGTTGATGCACTTGCACTGTGACTTGTATGTACTTCAGATTAAGGCAGGTTCGGTCTTTCCACTTTTTGAGAGGCAAGAGTCTTTGTTGTCTGTCATCTTTATTACTCGAGGTCTGTTTGTGACAAGATCAGGAGTGAGTTGGGCTTTGGGTGGATTTTGAGCAGACCCCTTCCAGGTTCCTCTGGGTGAGAGAAATGCCCATTTTTCTGGAAGAGTTTGCATGCTGGGTTTTTTTTTTTTTTTCTATTTTTATTTTATTTTTTTATTAGTTGGAGGCTAATTACTTTACAATATTGTAGTTGTTTTTGTCATACATTGACATGAATCAGCCATGGATTTACATGTATTCCCCATCCCGATCCCCCCTCCCACCTCCCTCTCCACCCGATCCCTCTGGGTCTTCCCAGTGCTCCAGGCCCGAGCACTTGTCTCATGCATCCAACCTGGGCTGGTGATCTGTTTCACCCTAGATAATATACATGTTTCAATGCTGTTCTCTTGAAACATCCCACCCTCGCCTTCTCCCACAGAGTCCAAAAGTCTGTTCTATACATCTGAGTCTCTTTTTCTGTTTTGCATATAGGGTTATCGTTACCATCTTTCTAAATTCCATATATATGTGTTAGTATACTGTAATGGTCTTTATCTTTCTGGCTTACTTCACTCTGTATAATGGGCTCCAGTTTCATCCATCTCATTAGAACTGATTCAAATGAATTCTTTTTAATGGCTGAGTAATATTCCATGGTGTATATGTACCACAGCTTCCTCATCCATTCGTCTGTTGATGGGCATCTAGGTTGCTTCCATGTCCTGGCTATTATAAACAGTGCTGCGATGAACATTGGGGTGCATGTGTCTCTTTCAGATCTGGTTTTCTCGGTGTATATGCCCAGAAGTGGGATTGCTGGGTCATATGGCAGTTCTATTTCCAGTTTTTTAAGAAATCTCCACACTGTTTTCCAAAGTGGCTATACTAGTTTGCATTCCCACCAACAGTGTAAGAGGGTTCCCTTTTCTCCACACCCTCTCCAGCATTTATTGCTTGTAGACTTTTGGATAGCAGCCATCCTGACTGGTGTGTAATGGTACCTCATTGTGGTTTTGATTTGCATTTCTCTGATAATGAGTGATGTTGAGCATCTTTTCATGTGTTTTTTAGCCATCTGTATGTCTTCCTTGGAGAAATGTCTGTTTAGTTCTTTGGCCTATTTTTTGATTGGGTCATTTATTTTTCTGGAGTTGAGCTGGAGGAGTTGCTTGTATGTTTTTGAGATTAATCCTTTGTCTGTTGCTTCGTTTGCTATTATTTTCTCCCAATCTGAGGGCTGTCTTTTCACCTTGCTTATAGTTTCCTTTGTTGTGCAAAAGCTTTTAAGTTTCATTAGGTCCCATTTGTTTATTTTTGCTTTTATTTCCAATATTTGCATGCTGTTTTGAGTAGATATTAAAGACCTCTGGAGGCTCTAAATAGTTAAGAGTGTCAGTTCAGTTCAGTCGCTCAGTCGTGTCCGACTCTTTGCGACCCCATGAATCGCAGCATGCCAGGCCTCCCTGTCCATCACCAACTCCCGGAGTTCACTCAAACTCATGCTCATCGAGTTGGTGATGCCATCCAGCCATCTCATCCTCTGTTGTCCCCTTCTCCTCCTGCCCCCAAACCCTCCCAACATCAGGGTCTTTTCCAATGAGTCAACTCTTCGCATGAGGTGGCCAAAGTATTGGAGTTTCAGCTTCAGCATCAGTCCTTCCAATGAACACCCAGGACTGATCTCCTTTAGGATGGACTGGTTGGATCTCCTTGCAGTCCAAGGGACTCTCAAGAGTCTTCTCCAACACCACAGTTCAAAAGCATCAATTTTTTGGTGTTCAGCTTTCCTCACAGTCCAACTCTCACATCCATATGTGACCACTGGAAAAACCATAACCTTGACCAGATGTACCTTTGTTGGCAAAATAATGTCTCTGCTTTTTAGTATGCTATCTAGGTTGGTCATAACTTTCCTTCCAAGGAATAAGCATCTTTTAATTTCATGGCTGCAATCACCATCTGCAGTGATTTTGGAGCCCCAAAAATAAAGTCTGACACTGTTTCCACTGTCTCCCTATCTATTTTCCATGAAGTGATGGGACCAGATGCAAGTTAAGAGTTTAGAGATTATTTAAACATTTGAAGAAAATAAGAAAACATAGTTTATAAATGAAAAAGAAATGGCATTTGGCTGCTTATTGTTTTGGAACTCATTAGCCAGAAACTTTCATAAACTGTTATCTTCCTTTGGAAAATGTTACATTTCCCCCTGTCCACTGATCCTGCAAATACTTACTTACTCCCATCTTGTTAATCCTTACTTCTTTTAGATCTGATGTCTTCATCCCCATTCCCACCCCTTTTACCCAAGGTAATCTGCTCATTTCTTTAAAAGCAGTGGTTTCCATGATTGGGGAAGAAACAGACAGTGAGAAACCAAAGAGTGAATATTTTAAGGTTGGAGCTCTCTTGGAAGAAGCTGAAGAGAAACTGAGGGACTTTTTGCTCTAGGGATCTGTACTTGCCTGGCAGTTTTGTGCCAAATCGAAAACAAACCCTGACTACTTGACATCCTGCGATTGTGTCTAATCTTGAGTCAAAGTGCAAATATTCTTAAGCAAATGATTGTTTTCCTTTAAAATAGGTGTTCTTGAAGGCTTTGCTACATTCTAATTGAGACTTCACCATGCCTAAGAGTCAAAATGTTTTCTAAAGGAACAGCTCTCTCATGTGGCATTTGCAAAAAAAAAAATTGAGAAAATGTCTTTCAATAGTGAAATCTGTTTTGCAGGAAAATATCCAGGAATTAACTCACTCTGTAAAGTGGGTTCTGTCTGCATAACCTGACACTTCTCTTTCCTCTTCAGCACCTTTTGTTTATGGGAACAGGGGGCCAGTTCAAGCCTTCTGAAATTGTTTATAATCACTGTGACTTCACAAATACTTTGCACCTTGAAGGTGGGAGAGGAAGGAAAAAGAAAGACTAAGAAAATTCTTATTTCTAACCCCATTAACCAAAAAAAAGTGGGTCTTATGTGCACACCCGGTAAACATAGAAGCAGAGTTGAAATGCAGGCAAACAAACTAAAAGTACTTCAGTGAAACTTGGAATAGATTTTCTCTAATTATATGGTTCTACTCCATAAGGTTTTAAAAAACTTTAAGGGGTTTTCTTTAAAGGTGGGAGGATGGAGTTACTATAATTTAAAAAAAAAATTTCTTAAAATAAGAGGGCAAATGGTTGAGACTTGGAAAAGAATTTTTTGTATTGGATTTTTATTTGACCGCTGCTTAACTTTATGGCCTTTGAGAGTCAAAAGAGCTCTCTAATTATTAAAAGCCCTAGTATTCATATGCTTTCTTCATTGTCAAGTCTTTTCTCTTCATGCCAGTTTATTACAACAGCTACCCATGTGGACTCCCAACTTCTAGCTTCTTTGCTTGTCTGCCCGGGCCCCTAAATCTTCCCACATAATACTTTTCAGTTTCAGTTTTCTAAGACACCCATTTTTAAGAGCCTTCCTTGTTGCCTGGGGTTTAAAGCCTGAATCTGACCACCTAGGGTCCAGGGCTCTCTGCAGTCTGGCTGCAAGATGTCAGTGCTGCCTTATACCTCTCTTCCCTGGCAAAACCCTTCTACTCCAGCCAGCTATTCTGCACAGCCCTCCTGATTAAGGCCTCTGCTTTGCTCTCTGACTTTGCTCATGTTGTTTTCCCATTCCTCCCTCCTGGTCTTTCCAACTCTGGAGCCCACATACATGTAGTATTTACTGTCTGTTCTGTATCTGTTGGCAGATGAGAACAGTGAGAAAAGAATTCAGATTTTTAGATGAAAAGGCTGGAAAAAAAATGTTTAACTATTTATATAAATGAGTTCATGGGAATGGTGAAGAATCTGCCTGTTAGTGCAGGAGATGCTGGTTTGATCCTTGGGTCAGGAAGATCCCCTGGAGGAGGGCATGACAACCCACTCCAGTATTCTTGCCTAGAGAATCCCATGGACAGAGGAGCCTGGCGGGGGTACAGTCCAGGGGTTCGCAAAGAGTCAGACACAACTGAAGCAACTTAGCACATAGAAATAAAAGCACTTGAATAGCCGATGAGTAAATGACCCAGAATAAAGTTTCAAAACCTAGTTCTTGAATCTTACACCATAAGTTTATTTTTTCCCCTTAAAATTGAGCCATCTTTCTCCACTGAACAATACTTTCTTTTCTTCCCACCAACTCTTTTTCTTCTAAATAAACCCTTAGGGCGATGTCCTGCTATACATGTCATGGAAAATAGTCAGGATTCGACAATCTCTGAAGTTTCTTCCAACATTAATATTTTGTGTTTCCAGGGTTGCTTTGCATCCCATCTGAGTGGTGACAGGATGGCTAGAGATACACTTGTAACGTCAAAACTGTTTTGTATTAAGTTCGCAAAGTTACTGTGATCCAAGCTTGATTGTAACTCCATGAACAGAGGCAGACAGAAAGTGAGAAAAAAGAAAAAATTGGCTCCATCTATTTCTAGAAACCCCCAGCCTATAAATTCTCCACAGGAGGATATCAAACTCTGGAGTATTACATCATCAGAAAAAGCGGTTGCGGGCTACAAGGATCGCAGGAAGTAGGGCAGCCGATGGAAGCAGCTGTCGTTAGAAATCAATCATTTCAAGGGTTCCATGAATAGCGTGGAGTACCATCCAATAATCACTTCTGACTGCATCAACATCTTAAGATTTTCCAAACGATTAAGATTTTAAGATTGCAGTACTTGTTTATTCTTAAAATAAGAAGGGGCAGGTCAGGAAAAAATTAAGTCTTGGGGTCTCAACAGCTCACCATTTTTTGTTCATCCCTTCCCTAATGCAGCTTGCTTTATTTTTTGCTACAGTGTTTGCATTTCAACGGAATCATCATTGTCCAGGAACAAATGTGGTCTTTTAATATTATTTGGGAGAACAGCACGACTTCAGCAAGTTGGTTGCAGTACAATGGCTCACTCAGGCTACTGCAGTCTGGCTGCAGACATGTTAATTAATATATTTCCCTGACACCTAGTTGATTGAAATAGCAATTAAAGAGTAATTAAAATGTTTACTTCTTGTAGGAATGTCAACTAAGATGTGGAATATAGCAATTACCTATGACGGATTAGAGGAAGATGATGAGGTCTTTGAAGTAATTCTGAACTCCCCTGTGAATGCGGTTCTTGGCACGAAGACAAAAACTGCAGTGAAAATTTTGGACTCAAAAGGAGGTATTCTTTTGATCCTCATCTTGAAATCACGAGCAGTCTTGGCACTGTAGCTGCTTGCTTTCAACAGCCAGTGTGCTGGATAACGCTTTCAAATCAAAATGCTTAATTTCTTGTCAAGAAAGCAACCTCAGTCATGATGTAGGCCCTTTATTCTGGTTTCTGCTTCATGTGGCTTTCCTCCTGCTAAGAACGATCGTTGGAGAAAAGCAACAAGTCAGTGCCTCATTGTTTTTTTCCCTACCCGTTTGTTGTTCTCACCAAGGGGGAAACAATGTTGGTGAGAATCTATCGACAATTATTTCCCCGCCCCGAGTTTGTAGGGCTGTAATTATCTTCCTCTGTGGAAGAGAGCTCTTAATGCCTAAAATCTGAGCCCTCACTGTAGTGTAACCACGAAAATTCTGAGGGAGGAAAATACATGTGAAAGGTGCAGCTGGCGTGGGGATTCAGGAGCAGCTAGAGAATATTAATGAATAACCTTGGGTTGCAGAGCCAAACAGGTCCTGGATGGTATAGGCTAAAGAACAACCTGGGAACTAAATAAAGATCAGCCAAAGTCCTTGGTACGCTGATTTTTTCCTGCCAAATACCCTCTACTTATTCATCTTTTTAGCATTTGACAAGTGTCCAGTTACAATGCTTAGTCTTACACTCCAATTTTTACACTGGTCATGCCCTATGGGCCATATATTTTTCTTCGCTTAATTATCTCCACTTCTCTTTCTCATTCTATAATAAATATAGACACTTACCTCTTTCCTTTACCATACTCATATTTCCATATCTCTTTGTACCACCTTGCCTCACCAAATTCTTTTTTTTCCAGTAGACTTTTCTGGTCACATTAAGTACATAAATAGATGAAGTACACGTTTGACACATGAAGTATAACGTATCCAAATGTGCCTTCTGGGTTTAGGCTTTTTTCATACTAATTGGCAATATTTCTAATCAAAGGAGAGCCATTAAGATTGACTGAATCTTTGTTCTAACAGTTGAATGCTCATCTGAATAACTGTTATCTGATTTCACTAACATCTTCCAACAATTTCAGTTTCTACCTATGGAGACTGGGGAGAGGGTGAACAAGTAAAAGTGTCTGTGGAATGATACTTGATCAGGGAATAAACCCAATAATATGGAGGTATTCTGTTGATATGAAATGAAGGCAGTCTATTTCCCAAGTAGATGGGATGATTATAAAATCACCACAATGATTTTCATCTGTGGTTTGTGAAGTCAATATCATGACTCATAATCACCCTGTAGATGTGCAGAAGGGCATAGCTTTCCTGTATGGAAACTGATGAAGAGTAAAGGGGTTTCTGGCAAATGGCAGCAAGACAACATCTGGTGGGAAAATCATCCATCTGAATTTAATAACAAGCTGCGTCGATGTGATCACTTATCTGTTTATGTAAAATGAATTGACCTGCCATTTTGTGTGCTACCAGGGCAGTGCCATCCTTCATATGCCTTCAATCCAAACATGCCCCGTGCGTGGGAGAAGGGCATTTGGCACCTGCTCTCCCCAGGGGCTTCCTCACCCACCACTTCTGGTTCCTTTCATCTGGAAAGAAGACCCCTTCCAGCTTCCAAGCAGCTAGCAGTCACCAGGGGTGACGCCCTGCGGGACTTTGGTTCTGAAGATCTTTCTTCAGTGAAGCTTAGGACCGGAGGGGATGGCAAAACAGTAAGGATGGGGACCTCCTGGGTTTTGATGTGTGGAGTGCATATGAAAAGAATCAAAGGATCTTAACAAGTAATCTGAAATGTTGAGGAGGCTGTTTTGGTTCTCACAGTGAATGGGGGCCATAGAGATTCTCATGGTTCCTTGTCCCATCGTGAAGTGGCTTTTACATACAAACATCAGCATAGTTCATTAATTGTACTGACTGAAGTGATAGATAACCTGACTCATCCATACAATTTCTGCTTTGGTTCCTTTTGTGATCAAGACAGATAGGGAATGACTCGTGGTCCTGAAAAAGAATGAGATTATTTGGGTGTGGAAATCATGGCTTTGAACTTACTAGCATAGCATTCTAGCTAGACATACACTTGTGAGTAAGTGTGTGTTTGTGTGTTTCTTGGACCTCTGTGCACTATAGATGTACCAAAAAAATAAGGATGTCTTTTCTAACTGGAACTAAGAATAGATGAGTCAACACTGATAAGTTGTGGTTGGTCCAGTGACTTTTAAAAATTCCTATTATTTGGGCCTGGAAAATCTTTTAAAAATATGTTTAGAAATTTTTAGTTACTAAAAAATCTTATTGGAAGGGTTTTGCCCTATTATTAATTATTATTCAAGCCAATTTTGTTCCTGTTTATTTCCTGTCTTGATTTCAGGTGTCTGCATCCTCTGTTTATAGAAATAGAACAGACAGCATCTATAACGTAAGCATATGTGTGTAAGCAATGTGTGTTCTCAGTCACTCAGTCATGTCCAATTCTTTGCAACCCCCAGGCCTGCCAGTCTGAGAGAATTGCTAAGTTTTTTTGTATTTATGGTGCAAAATATCTAGTTAAACTACCTTTCGTAACTTTTATATTTATATATTTTCCTTAAAATCCTGTTTGAATTTTGTTTAAAGACTTGGGTGGTCAGGAAAAAATCCTTTTATCTCTTTATTTTGATCCAGTTTTTGGATTGCCTGTTTTCACAACAAATGTTTTTGTTTGATGTCTTGTTTTGTTTTGTCTTCATTGTTGTTTGCTGATTTCCTCAAGTATCATGGGATGATTTCCCTGAAACTGGAGGATGACAGCTCCCCAGCTCACAGACGGAAGGCCAGCGTATCCATTATTAGTGAGCCCCAAAAGGCAACCAAAGTGACAGAACCGCCTCGAGCCGATAAGGAGGAATCCACAACCGGCTCACACTTCCCCAGACAGGTATGAAAATCTCTTCACTTCCTACTCACCTTACAACAAGCTGTTTCCTGAGCCGAAAAACAGCCTTCCAGTTGGGGAATAGTTTACTCAATTCAAACACTATTCGGCAAATGATGACCTAAAAGAGGTAACAGTGTGTCAAATCTAAATTACTAATCTAAATTTTACAGGGTGTCAAATCTAAATTATCTTTCCTTCCCATAGGACCCATTGCCCTCATTCCCAAAGAACTGCACACTGGAATTAAAGGGACTCTTCCACTTTGAAGAAAGCCTCCAAAAACTGTACAAGTGCGATGGAATTGCCTGGAGATCCTGGAGCCCCCACACCAAGGTGGGACAGGCCAAGCAGTCAAGTCCCATCGTAACCCAAGAGAGGGAGAGGAGGTGCCCTGTCCACTATTGTTTCCTCTGCCTGCCCTGTTATGCTTTGAAGGTGAAGAGGAAAAGATGGCCAGTTGATGTTTTAAAAATCACAAAACACAGTAGTTAAGCACTACAATTTAAAAAGAGGCTTACTTATTTTATTCAATTATTTAATGTTAAAGGTGTAAAATTAAAACATGGCTGACTTTATCAATGTGTCCCACAAGAAGCCATTGCAGTTCTCAAAGTGGAGAATTGGGATCGGGCTGACCTCTTGCTAGTGACAAAATTATTTTCATTAGAGGACTCACAGGATTCTCTATGTTGAGAATAGACTCTAGATTGTAAAGACCATTATGATGTGAACATGGACAACTATTTTTCAGGCAGTGGAAGACAAATCCTGCCCAGCTGGGTGGCACCGTCATTCGGGCTATTGCCACTCCTTGATCACAGAGCAGAAAGGCACATGGACTACAGCTGCCCAAGCTTGCAGGGAACAGTAAGAAACCCCATTTCTCATTTGGTTGATGTTTCTTTGTTAATGTTTCTGTTTTCTCATGGAACTCTAGTGTGTCTCCATTCATTCAAGTGTTGAGTGTCTAACATCTACCTGGCTTTGCTTTAGGAGCTTGGAGGGAGTTCTGTTGTTCAGAACAGATTTGGGCTGACCTTACTGATGTATCATAGCTCTTTTATGATAAACTGTGCCGATGTCAGTTTTATTTTTTAGCCTCTCCATCTCAAACTTTTGAAGAAAGTCAGGAGATTCTCGGAGTCAGCAGCATGACAGAGTCTATCATTTTTTGATTAAATAGGAATCCCAGCCCACTGATTTGGAAATATATAGCAATGGAAGATCTCATAGCACCAGGCCTATAACAATATAAGAGGCATTGATGGTTATGAAACCAGATAGGTTGGACAAAATGTAATTAGATAACACTCAATGAAAGATGACTTGTTGTCAAATATTGACAAAATTTATCCATTTACTCTACAACATAGTCAGCCTCTGTGATTTTAGCCATTCTAGTGGGTGTAGGTGATGTTTTATTATGGTTTTAATAGACTAATGCTACTCCAAAATTGCTGATTTATCCCTCACCCTTTGCTGCTTTGATAACCATGAGTTTTCTGTGTCTGGGACTCTATTTCTGTTTTATAAATAAGTTCATTTGTTTTATTTTTTAGATTCATCAGCTGATGTGCATTTAGGTTGCTTCCATGTCTTTGTTTTTGTAAATAGTGCTGCTATGAACATTGGGGCGTATAAAAATCTTTTCAAATTAGAATTTTCTTCTTTTCCAGATATGCCTAGGAGTAGAATTGCTGGGTCACATGGTAACTATAATTTAAAATTTTTAACGAACCTCTGTACTGTTCTCCATAGTGGCTGCACCGATTTACATTCCCACTAACAGTATAAGGGGGTTCCTTTTTCTCCCCACCCTCTCCAGCATTTATTAAGTATAAGTGTTTTGATGTTGGTCATTCTAACCCATGTGAGGTGATACTTCATTGAGTCACATTTCACATAGCAACATTGAGTACCTTTCCATGTGCTTGTTGGCTATTTGTGTGTCTTCTTTGGAGAAATGTCTATTTAGGTCTTCTGCTCATTTTTGATTGGGTTGTTTGTTTTTGATATTGAGCAATATAAGTTGTTTACGTATTTTGGAAATTAATCCACTGTCAGTAACATTGTTTGCAAATATTTTCTCCCATTCTGTAGGTTGTCTTTTCATTTTGTTTATGGTTTCCTTTGCTGTGCAAAGGCTTTTAAATTTAACTAGGTCCCATTTGTTTATTTTTGCTTTTGTTTCTGTTACTCTAGGAGACAGATTAAAAAAAATATATATTGCTGAGATTTATTTCAAAGAGTGTTCTGCTTATGTTTTCCTCCAGGAGTTTAATAGTATCTCTTCTTAAATTTAGCTCTTTAATCCATTTTGAGTTTATTTTTGTATATGATATTAGAGAATGTTCTATTTTCATTCTTTAACATGTAGCTTTCTGTTTTCCCAGCACCACTTATTGAAGAGACTATCTTTTCTCCATTGTATATTCTTGTCTCATTTGTCATAGATTAATTGACCATAAGTGTGTGGGTTTATTTCTGGGTATTTCCTGTTGCATCTGTCTATGTATCTGTCTTTGTGCCAGTACCATACTCTTTTGATTTCTGTAGCTATATATTATAGTCTGAAGTTAGGGTGTATCATTCCTCAAACTCAATTCTTCTTTGTTTTGGCTATTTGGAGTCTTTTGTGTCTCCATACATATTTAAATTTTTTTGGTTTCCAGTTCTGTGAAAGATGCCACTGGTAATTTGATAGAGGTTGCTCTAAATCTGTAGATTGCCTTGGGTAGTATGGTCATTTTAATAATATTGATTCTTCCAACCTAAGAACACAGTATATCTTTCTACCTGTTTGTCATCTTCAGTTTCTTTCATCAACACCTTATAGTTTTCTAAGTATCGGTCTTTTGCTTTATTAAGTATCCCTAGGTATTTTATTCTTTCTGATGCAATAGTAAATGAGATTATTGCCTCAAATTCTCTTTCTCAACTATTTTGTTGTTAGTGTACAGAACTATAACAGATTTGGGCAATTAGGTGGATCAATAAAATAAAAAATATATTAGGATACTAATGCAGGGTTAGCAAAATGATGACATCAATAAGATTACCTTAAATTGCCATGGTTTCATAACAAATGTTTTTTGACACCAAAAATCTGGAAGGTCATAATCTCAGAATAATGATATTAAGAAATACATACATAGGTATTTTGTTCCACAGTAAACTATTATAAAATCTAATATAAGAGTGATGGAAATTTTGTCTCCCCTATTAATTTAAAGGGATTGGTGACCATATACAGCAAATCAAACATTATGTAATAAGCAATTTCAGAATTAATTTTTTCATATCTTTGTGAAATTAATTTTGTAAACTGGTTTCAGGGAATTGCTTTAAACTATTGTACTGAGACCTTTTTTTAGATGTAAAACTGAAAAAATTTTCAGAACAAGAGAAAGTTTTTAGGGGGCAACTGGAGATTTTCCATCATATTTTAGAAAGTGACTCATTATGTATCTATCAGTAATATAAAGTATTTTGAAGTGTATGTTATGTATGTACCATATTGCTCTCCAGAAATTAAGGTGTCTATCAAATACCATCAAATATTTCTGATGGTATTCCAAGGTGTATAAGAGGTAAAGAAAAAATATTTGCTATGAGATTTTTAAAATATCATAAAAATACTTCAAATTTTCTAATTTTAAGTGAAGAATGGGTATAAATATTTGACCTGCTGACGTTTGTATGAATCTTCAATATGCATTTTATTTCAAAAGGACACGAAGAATGATTATCCCAAGAACATTTAAAAATAGTTAGAGGCATTTCAGAAAATATCTAGCAGCAGATTAAAAACAAACTAAAAGATTTGGATCAGTCACTTTAAAAGGAACATTTTTGAATGGCAAGGCCTCCTCCTCAGTATAATTTTCCTCTGAGCCCCAAGACCTCCTCTGTCATTCAACATGTTTTCATTCATTCTATGGGCCACTGCTTTCCCTCACCCATTACTTTTCAGGTTCATTTAGACCTCTTCTTCTCTAACCTCTTTGCCTTGAACAATGACTATTCCCCTGGGAATTATCAATTCTTTCTATGATGTAAAATTAATAGTTGCAACATTTTATAACTTGGCTATTTACTTTCTCATGAATACATTTTAGGAGATGGTTTTAGAGTCTATAATTAGAATTAATACACATCTAGTGTGTTTTTTAGATCTCAGGGACCATTTTTCAATTCTGATTTATATTTCCTCAGGCTCCCTTGCTACCTGATGGTCTTTTACAGATGGTCATTTACAGCATGTATGTTTTAAGAAACACAGCAAATTTTACTTTATCTGTTGCCCCTAATCAGATTGCTAACTCAACTCAATCTTTATCTCTTTTCTCCTTTCCTCCCTATTGGTGTTTTATTATTTTTCTAGCCCAGAGGAAACAGATTCCGAGATTAGGTATTTCTTGAGTTTACATATCATAATCTCATCTGCTCATTTCCTTAGGCAGTCACTGTACATTTGGCAATTCTATTATTATAAATCATTATCTCTGAAACCATTTTGGTTTCCCACAGGAGTGTCTGGAACCCCTGCTGACCTATCCTTAAAGAGTTAGTCTAAAATATATCTATATTTAATCAAAAAGTTCTAATGAAGTAGATGTTTATTTCTATAACTGGAAAAATTCAGATTTATGTTTTTAATTCTACACTATGAATGCCTTCAAATTTCAGAGATGTCAAAAGATATATATTTGTATGTTTCTCTATATTTTATTTTTATATCTCTATAGTATATATGTATCTATATGGTTAATATTCTCTCTTTTATTTGTATATGGGAATAAAAGTAAATGATTGGCATTTTTATAAAATGAAAATGCCTAAATATTTTGTAAATAACTGTGGCCTAACATTTTACCTATTCTAAACGCAGCTATTTTATCCTCTTGCTCTTGCTCTTCTCAGAGCATCAATAAAGAAATCAAACTTGTACTTGAGCAGCTAAAATGGATTTTGCAAAGTCTTATTTTAAAGTTAGTTTCAAGGATCTTAAAGCAGAAGGAGGTGTTAAATATCCTTGAATAAAATCTATTCCTTCCTGATAAAGACTCTGAGGCTGAAGTTACATCCATAAGGAAATTGGGGACCGAGCAGGAAGTGGAACCCAGGTCTCCCACACTCTAATATGTCACATTAATTGAAACAGCCCCTCAAACCCTCCCTTGGGCTATTTTTAATACACATTTCATATTCTGTGTTTTAAACCCTCAGCACATCAGAATTGCCATATTGGATCTGAGGGAGAGGGAAGAGAATTGGCTATCAAGTCTGTTGTAACTGTCAGACAGAAGCTGACAGTAAATAGAAATGTCAGAACCAAGTCACATGACCTGAATCTGGCACCGTAAGGACATACAGAGAAGTAGAAAAGTGCCTACATATCTCAGAAGGCCTAGGCGTCATCACTGCATTATATCACACTAAAGTACTATATTAATAGGAAAAATATCGTTAAGAGATAGATTAGATTATGTTCACCATACATGATCTGGAAAAGCAGAGAAGTGAATCTAAAGCTTGGATAGTTGTAGGTAAAATGAAAAAAAAAATTCAGTTCAGCAACATAAACTTGTGATAAGTATGTATTACTAATTATGTTTCTTGATTTTTAAAACATCAATAGATATTAACTAGGCAAGAAGATCGTGGTGATTTTTTTCCCTTTTTTGTTGTTGAAACTTTCTGTATCAGAAAAAGAAGAAAAGAAAAAAAAATTATCTATTGGCTTTTTACTTAGAGCATTTTAAAGAGTTTTAAATGAACACTATTGGGGAACTGGGATCAAACATTACTTACAGGAATAACTTAGCTAGCTGCAAAAATAATTCATAAAGAATTCCTTGTTAGTGTCTGTCACAAAAAAGACAAGATATAACAAATGCTGGCAAGGATGTGGAGAGAAGGAAACCCTTATGCACTGTTGGTAGAATTGTAAAATGGTACAGCCACCATGGAAGAGTATTGAGGCCCTTCAAAAGTTAAAAATAGAATTACGATATGATCCGGCAATTCCACTTCTGGGAATATGTCTAAAGGAAATGAAAGTACTAGGTTGAAAAGGTGAAAAGGTATCTGCACCCCCATGTTTATAACAGCATTTTTTTTTTTTTACAAAGTGAAGACATGGAAACAATGTAAGTGTCCATCAACAGATGAATCAAATTTGTGGTTATAAGAAGTGAGGAATTTGGGGTGGGAGAGTTGGATGAAGGTAATCAAAAGATACAAACTGCCAGTTATAAGATAAAGAATGTGGCTGTGATGTGTAACATGATTATTGTGTGGTAGATGTGAAAGGTGTTAAGAGTAAATTCTAAGAATTCTCACCATAAGGAAAAAACATTTTTTCTTTTTTTGGTTACTATATGTAATGGGTACTAACTAAATTTACTGTGGTAATCAAATTTCACAGTTTATGTAAGTCAAGGCACTACGCTGTAAACTTTAAACATACAAAAAATACAATTATATTTTGGAGAAGATGTTTATATGTATCTGTAAGAACAAGTGTTTTAATTTCGTCATAACATACAAAGGTTTGACCATGAGGCTGAGCTTCTTTCCCTGAGTAGGATGAAAAAGAGTCACATATATTTGGGCATTTGACTAAACACATCAAGCTCAAAATGTTGGCTTCCAGTAATTTTATTGATAGTTTGGGTTACCTTTCTAATCAAATTAACCAGGTAATTGCCAAATTTATGCAATTTAGAGATAAACTTCCCATAAGAGAGGTCATTTTTTGACACTAAGTAATTAATCTGTATAAGTAAACAGCTGGTGATTTTCTGAAAAGAATTTGTGCTTTAAAGCCCAGATATTATAATACAGTATCACTTCTTTGCTGTTACCTACCCCACCCTGTGACTTAGCATGGATGCAAGCACCCCCTCCCCCATAGATACTCATTAATATTAAAAAAATGGAGTATTAAAATCTTGGAAAGTTCTTTCTACATATACACCAGTTTTCTAGTTTGAACAAGCTTTGATTTCCATTTTGCATCTCACGTCAGCAGAAATGCTGAACTCCCCGTCACTGATGCTCTGATTTTTCTGTTTGCACATAGTCACCAGGGCAGCCTTGTAACTGTCATCTCCAGGCAGCACATGCGATGGCTTTGGGACATCAGCGGAAGAAAGCCCTTTTGGATAGGCAAGTATTGGTGTAACCCTGAGGAGGAGGGCAAGACCATAAAGAGAATGTCTCCCTTCCCTGGGTCAAATACTTGTGGTCTACAATAATAAGCAGTGGTTAGATGGTTGGACAGTTTTATCTTTTAAAACTCATTTTAATTACATAATACCTTCATTTATAGGCATCTATTTCAAAGAAGTAATGTGGTTCAATTTAAAAGCAAGATAACTTTTTAAATATTATTTCTAAAGACAAAAAATTTAAGATAGTTGTAAATAGGGAATGGTTTAATAAATTATAGCCATATGAAAGAATATTAAAGATATGACAATGCCTTATGTTTATTGATTCATTCAATAATGGATGCATATTATATATAAAATATGTAAGGTACTGAATTGATGGCAAGGTGCTAAGTGAAAAACACAGTCTACAGCCATATGAAGCATGAAAATATTTAGAATAAAAAAGCATATATACAAGTGATATATATACATGTAATATATACCTATATGTATTGACATAAAAAGAAATAAGCCAAAGAGTTAGAAATATTTTTTTTATCTCTAGTTAAAATAATAGCTAATCCTAATTGTGTCCTTTTTTTCTAAAGTTTTAATATTTTCTACAATTTTAACAGTAATCACAAATCTTTTCAAGCCACTTTAGAAACAGAGTTCTCAGGATATACTAAAGTAAATATTCTCACCATCTCTTCAAGATACTGTATTTAAGGAAATAATAATAAACCCACTTGGCTTCTTAAAAATCTCTGTGATACTCACTGAGTGTGTAATTCTGAAGCCATCTGAGAGTATTAAGTGAAGCCTGGAAGATAAATTTTCCCTGTGTCCACAATGACTAATGTCAAGTTTCTAATTCTACAAAGTTTTGGGGCGTAGCATCACCTGATCAATAGTTCACAGAAACAATCCAGAAGGACACAAGTCATTCCCAACCAAGAGGACTTCATTTTATCCTACCCCAAAATATCAAATGAGAACCAGTGGGGAGAAGGTTACATGCTGCATAACAAAGACCACTTTCACAGTCAAATTTGGTTTGTGAGCTGCTAGGTAATCCTATTGCACAGGATTCTTTTTTTTATTCTGTTATTTTTATCTCTATTCTAAAAGAGAGGGAGGAGAGGAAATTCTTTAAAAAAATTTTTTAGTATTTTTAAATTGGAGTGTAATTGTTTCACAATTTTGTGTAAGTTTCTGTTGTACAACAGCATGAATCAGCTCTATGTATACATCCCCTCCCTCTTGAGGCCTCCCCCCTCCATTTCACCCATCTAGATCATCACAAGAGCGTTGGTCTGAGCTCCCAGTATTATAGCAGCTCCCTACTAGCTCGCTATTTTATACATGGTAGTATATATATGGGGGCTTCCCTAATAGCTCAGTGGTAAAGAATTTACCTGTAATGCAGGAGACCTGGGTTCGATCCCTGGGTTGGGACGATCCCCTGGAGGAGGGCATGGCAACCCACTCCAGTACTCTTGCCTGGAGAATTCCATGGCCAGAGGAGACTGCAGGCTACAGTCCCATAAGGTCGCAAAGAGTTGGACACGACTGAGCAATTAAGCACAGCACAGAACACAACACAGTATATATACATCAAATGCTGCTCTCTCAACCCATCCCAGGAATGCTTCCTTAAGAAAAATTTTAAGAGCTTTGTAACACTGAGATGTAACTAAAAAAAAAAAAATGCCAGTGGGAGTAGAGAGGCAAATTGAGAAAAGCTGCTTTTTATTAAAACTGTAGCAGATTAAAAAAATCTTAAGCTCCAGACTAAAAATAATACTTAATAAGCTACTTTCAAATATGATACCCAAGAATCACAAGGAAGATAAATAGACAGGAATGTATCTGTTTCCCTGTGACGGGTACTCTGCCTGTAGGAAGTATGAATAATAAGTGCCATTTATTAACACTTCTATGTCATGAGCTTTATGTGCCTTATCTTATTTAATCTTCAACATAGAGCTAGTTCTTCTTAGATGCACATTTCTGAGATAATACTTCTGAGAAATTATAATAATAATTCTGAGAAAGAGAGAGGTTAAATAACTTGCCCAGGTATGTTCACCTAGCAAGCGGTGAAGCTAGGATTTGGATTCCTACCTGGCCTTACACCAAAGCCTCATAGTCTCAGGGTATCTTATAGGATTCCCAGGTCCTAGTGCATGCTTTAGAATGTAGGCTCACAATTGCATGTGATTACTGAGCTTAGAACAGTGGGTTGATATGACATCCAGTTGTAAATGTAGTGACGATCATTTGGCGCCCTTCTTTGGTTCATGTTAGGTTTGAATGACCAAGTGCGTGCTGGCCACTGGGAGTGGATTGGCGGTGAACCTGTGACCTTCACCAACTGGAGGAGAGGGCCCCCGCAACGTTCAAAGCGTGGCAAAGACTGTGTTTTGGTTCAAAGGCCAGGAAAATGGCACATAAAGGAGTGTAGGAAGGGAAAATCTCACAATTATGTGTGCTCCAGGAAACTCTAACTGGCCCTACAAGTGTCCACTTGGGATGTTTTTATCTATTTATTTCCATGATTTGTGCATATTCCTCAAAAGAAAGCAGAGGGTTGTGACTGATGTGGTACATTTCTTCTATCAAAGTGTTTGAAGGATTCTATCTAGTAAAGAAAAACAATGGTTCCAGGAAGATTGATAAATGAATGTTTCTTAGAGGAAAAGATAAATTTTTTGCAACTCAGTACATTTTGAAATAAATCCTCAAGGTATTATGTGGTACAAAATTTGATTATTCTGGAGACTTTATACTTCAGTCAACAGTAATTTCATGGTCCTCAGATTTTTCCCCCCAATACTTTAAATGAGTACATTCTGAAATCTATATTGCAGGTGCTTCCACCACTTCCATCTAAATGAGGCTTACCCTGCCAGTTCATTAAATCAAGGTTGAACTGCAAAGGGTTGCTTTGTCCCTTTGGAGTCCTTTCAAATGTGAAAGTTGAGAGGCGGTGGATAAAAAGAATTCTCTGTGGTGAAAAAGGAAGGCTTTAGATGGAAGAATCTGGCAGATGGAAGGTCATCTGCAAAGCTGTAGTTCAGGTAAGAATTCAGGGGTTACCTGTCCTTCAGAAGTCTACCTGTCACTTCCCACAACAGAGTTCCTTTTCCAGTAAGACGGTTGTGCCATTCTAAAGCAAATAATTGGGTTTCCCCGGCTTTACAGAGTCAGGAGACATTTGAAGAAACAATGAGCCTCTCTGTTCATTCGTGCTTGTAGCATTGAGTAGTGTTTCTCAAGGACACTTGGAATAAAAAGCATATATGGATGATGGTTAACATATGGAAGAAAAATATGGCTTCCTCAAAAGTGTCCCAATGAACTATGCAGATGAACAAAGAAAAGTAGTACTGAAAACAGAGTCCTTGAAAGCCTATATTCTCAGAAAGGATTTTGATATAATTGTGAGCCCTTAAATATTTAATATGTGTAGAATTGCCATGTTAACCTGATCCTCTAATGAAAAGGTACCTTATTAATTTATAATGGCAGCTGAGTGAAACATTTTTGTAGCAGTGAAGCATGTTGCAGCCTTACAAGAACTCCCTTCTGAAATCAAAGCTTAATTACAGGAAATTAGAAATTTATTTCTGAAACATTTACTCACAATTTTCCTCTTTTCATAATCCCTGAAAAATATGGTTGTGCCCCATGTAACTTGCTATTATGAGTACCAGAGTCACTTCAGAATCAAAACAGAGTTACCAAGTAGATCAAAGTTTTGGTGCAGGTTTTATTATGATAATACCTTGCGAGAAACTAAAAGTGACTGAAGAAATTCAGTCTCATTTTTTGGATATAAGAAACAACAAGCTTGTTTTATTCGCACTTGTTTATCAAGATTTTGGTTAATAGAAATATTTACAAAGACAGATTGGAATGAGATTTAGACATTCTACCTCTTATTAAATTCCAACATCAGTGTGGAGTCAGGAGGCTCCTTACCTTAGATATCACAAGCAGAATCTGAATTGCTCTGATATAGAGGTCTTCCATATGACACAATCAGCTTCTGGTGTTGAATCAGAAGGTGTAAACCCATTCTCTGTATCAGTTGATGTCCCTTCTGATCCATGGGCCTCTGCAATGTTGAAAGATGGGATGCTGAATAAAGAAATGAGGAGTTGTTTACTTGAAGGATTGTATCGTAGGATGGAAAGTAAATGGTCAAGGAATGAGGAATTCCTAGATCTACATTGACTGGAAATCCAGAACCATGGCAACTGTGTAAACCTAGTCAGTGTGGTAGGTTTTATTATACATTTCTGCCATGTCAGTGATATTAAAATGTAATGCAAATGTTAGCACAAAGAGAGAATGCTTTGCTTTTTATAGCAACTGAAAGAAATACTAGAAGAATGTTTAAAATATTCCTGGTCATGAAAACATTAATCAAGTGGTAAAATCCAACTAATTGGAAGAAGGTACAAATAAAAATTCAAGCAAGTGTGGATGCTAAGCAATATGTGCGTGCATGACCTTCATCTCCTTCTCATGACTGGTCTTTGACTAATGGGGGAGTAGTAGTAAATGATCGTCATGTTTCTCTCCACCTTGATTGGTTATTGTCATCCTTTAGGTTATGGCGGGAAAGGGAAGGAAGGAAATGGAGTAATGGTATTGATAGAATGGGAAAGGCAGATTATAGATAAGGGGAGAGTGGAGAGAAGGATTGAATAGGAAGAGATGGGAGTTGATTAGTAGCTAAGAAAGAGAGCATCAGAAAGAAGGACTTGAATGCCACCCAGCTCTTCTCTCCAGACTTGAATACTGACTCAGGAAAAGTCCCATATAATCCAAGGGCATTAACCCAGCTCAATAATGTGTAGCTTTCAGAATCTTGTGACTGTTGGTGTTTAACAAGACATACATATGTGTAGTATATATCTGGTAACTATAAACTCAAAAAACACATGACAATTATTCCATCTTCTTCCAAGGGGTGGTAAAAATGAACCAGGTGACATTTATTTACTTTTTTTTTTTTATTTACTTTTAAGACAGCCAAAAAGAATATGCACATATTTAATACTAGCATTCTGTATCAGCTAAACCATATACTAGTACTGATTAATTTCTGTGACAAAGCAGCATATTAATTGTACTGTAACCAGTGTTATACAAAAATTAATAAAATAAGCTATTTCTAGTTCTGAATTACTATTCCTTTAGTGTTTAACATTTTATATTTATTTTACCCATTTAAGAAGAAATGGAGGGAAAAATTGAACATGTATTTTTTCATCCTTACTATTTAGATCAGCCTTTCATTTTACAGCTTCCATCCATTTATCCATCTATCCAGTCATCCATCCACCATCCATTCAACAAATATTGACTGTGAAGTGCCTGATACTGTTGTAGATACTGGATATACGTGGTTGATGAGATAGGAAGTTAAAGTATAAAAACATGGTACATATATGTAAATTTCTAATAGTTGTTTTTAAGCATGGAGCTTTTTTTTTTTAATATATATATCAGGGAGAAAGTCACAGTAGAAGTGATTGATTACATTATCCCTTTTCAGAATCAAAGGGAAAGCCACACTGATACAAAGAGCTCAGACTGTCTTTTGTGTTATTTCTCAACTGATTAAGAAATTGGTGTGAACTTCCTGAATTTATAATCAGGTCAAGGTGTTATTGATAACAGCTGTTTCAAATTTCCTGTCTCCAGATCAGGTTAGGAATGAAAGATTTCAAATCTGGCTAATTAATTTTGTAACAATTATTTTTTCCAAAGAGACAAGCTGTGTGTGTCTCTGTGTCTTTGAGATCCCTGGAGTAACAGGAATAAGGAAGAGAGATCTTTGATGTCATCTCTAACATCATATGGCAGAAAGGACCGAAGTCCTCAGAAGTTAAAGTGAGAAGAAATCAGCACCAGAGAGCTACAGTCTTCCAAACTGTAGGCTGGGTCTCTTCTAATTATTCCATATGTTTATTACCACTCTGAGCAAATGGTTTATTATATTCCAGTAAAATACCTCACCACTCCAGTGGTGAGTATTATGAGGTTCACCATATACCTAAAAACATTATTCTAAGTAAAAGGAGATGGATGCAAAAGGCCACATATTGAGTGATTCCGTTTATATGAAATGTTTAGGCAGAGGATCGGTGGAAGGGGAAATTGGACCTAACTGCTATGGGAACAGGGTTCCTTTCTGAGGGAATGGAGGTGCTCTGGAATTAGATGGTGGCAATGGTTGCACAACACAGTGAATATGCTAAAAACCACTGAAGTGCATATTTTAAAATGGTGAATTGTATGTTATAGGAAGTATATCTCAATAAAAAATGCTATTAAAAATCACCACATAAAGATGTATTTTAGAAAACTATAAACGGGTTGATGTATTAGCTGTATGTTTATGCAATTCATCCAAGATACTTTTTCCAGTCTGTGCCCCAGGTCTCTCTCAGGTTTTTGTTTATTTGTTAATACAGTTGGTTAACGGAAAGAAAATGCTGATTTGACAGAGTTTTAAATTTACAGTGCTGCTTTATTGATCTTCCTCCTCTTTCCCCCCATTAATCATGGGAGAACGGTTATTGATGGCGGCATGTGTCTGGACGCCTGTAATATCCAGAATGCCTTGATTTTCTTAAAATTAATTTTATAAGTCTTTAGAACAGGATCGTGCAGGAAATGAATATACTGTCCTCATAACTTACATATATAACTGTTCATTTTGAGTAGTTTTTATGGGTCTCATATATTCTGCTAGGCAATAAAATTTAGTTTATCTTAAGACAGAAAGGAACAAAAATCAACTGACACTTCCATTAAAGGCCTTATGGTAACCTGCAATACTTTTTCCGAGCAATGAAGTGTATGAGTTCACCTTTTACTTCTATTCCCATCTGTATTTTTGCTTCCCAAAGGCAATCAATCCCAACTTACCCTACAGAAGAAAAGTGGAAAAAAGATACATTGTCCTAAAACTAGTCAAAGGAAAGCTGGAGTGGCTATGTTATCAGAGTAAATTTTAGAGCAAAGTATATTATCAAGGGTAAAAACTTAACATTTAAAGGAGTCGATAAATCAAGAAGACATATTTATGCATTTAATAACTAAGTTTAAAAGTACATGAAGCAAAAACTGAGAGAACTGTAAGGAGGAATAGACAAAATCTCTAATTATAGCCAGTAATGTTAATACCCCTCTTTCAAGGATCAATAGAACAAGTAGGCAGGAAATCGGTAGGGTTATAAAACTACGGACACTGTTAACCAAATTAACCTCATAGACATTTATCAAACACTCCACCCCAAAACAACAGAATATACGTTCTTTTCACGTTCTCAGGGAACGTGTACCAGGGCAGGACATATTCTGGGACATAAAATGAGTCTCAATAAATTTTAAAAAATTCAAGTCAACAGCAAAATTCTGTAAAGCAATTATCCTTCAATAAAAAATTAATTAATTAAAAAAATTCAAGTCATACAAAGTATGTTCA